TCCAGCCCGATTCCGTGATGCAGGCATCCCTGCGTCCGTCCAAGCCTTGACTGCAGAAACAGCAGAGCCCTGTTGGTTCGTGGGCGCAGCGCAGGAGTCGTTCAACAGTCCGTTCTCGTGATATCGACAATGCCGACACCTCACTGCGATGCCCTTCCATCTTCTTCAACGTAACACCTGTCTCCAGAGTCCAGATCCCAGAGATGAACTGTCTTGTCCCGCAAGCCTGTAGCTATTCGTCGTCTATCGGGAAAAGTGCGACTGCATTTACGCTCTCCTCATGACCTTTAAAAGTTCGAAGGGGTGTGGTGCTTGGAATGAGCTTCGATATTTTACTGCAGGTTGATGATGGTGTTGAGCACGGTCAAGGTGGACTTTGGAGGGTTTGCAAGCGTCGTTCTCTGAGCTGCATAGGTGTGTGTATTGTGCGTTTTCATGTTTTTTCAGTACTTTATACCAGTTTATTTGCACAGACGCCCAAGACATGAGGTGGACTATTGCAGCAATAATGCTCCTTATCGCCATACCCGTCTTCCTCGACAGCGTACACTCCCAGTGCTTCTGTACTGTGCACATGGGTCCGACTCCGACTCTATCTCCGCGGCTTCTAGAATGTGTCCCCTCGCATCCAATTGTGGTACGGTTACTACTTCCTGGCGCTTGAATCTGACTGACAGTATCTATCCTAGTACATGGCTGCATAAATATTGTTATTTCTCCGATCTTGTGTCGAGCAGTTTCTCCAGCACATCACCGCGTAACTTGTCCGAACGCATGCATATACCTTACCGCAACATCCCCGATTCATATCGTATCGTCGACTCTCGAGATCTGCACGTGCACTAGATATGTGCTCGCTTCTCGCGTCTCAAACCCACTACTGATTCCTCATCACAAACTAAGCTATGCGTTCAATTATTGAACGACAGTCACCAGGGGTGTTTGAGAATGCGATCTCTCGTGGAATACATGCTCCCAAGCGCCCTATCTCTTTGCTGGCGAAGCGCATCCTTGGTGTATATTTCTCTGAGAGAGATGGGTCAGCATATGCATGTAGACGTGATCCTGACAATATCTGGTCGAAAGGAGTGAGCAGAGGAAGACTCGAAAAGGCACGCGTCACTCAATACGAGACACATCGACATCTGCATTCGTTCCTACTTCTTTCCCATCCGTGGCTCCCATATTGGAAAGAAAGTATGACTCTTCCTAAATCAATTAGGTTCCCCAAGCTATGCATGCGCAGAACTGAGACGCGCGCAACGAGTACTAGTGTCTGCAGTCACATACTAGTACTGTGGCACCTGGTTATGGTCATGCGTAGCGTAACAGAGTCTGTAGGAAGTGTCCCTCCAATCGCATCGTGATTCATCATAGAAGTTAGCGTTCGCCATGACCTTGCACGGCCGAGCGAGTTCAAGATATTCACAAACTTTCACAAATTATTCTCCTCGAGTGATGTTACATTTGCTTAGTATGCGCAAGCCAGGTTTTATATATGGAAGAGACGAGATTACCTACAGACGAGGACGCAAAATGATAATAATATCACCTAGCGATAACGTACTGCTTCAAGTCAATGGCAGGTATTACAACAAGAACAATGATAGACCTAGGATCCAATTCTTCTAGCAGCAGCAACGCGACCGACCGCCTCCATGTTCCCCAATGTCTACCTGCGCTGCTACTGGCTGTTGCTGCTGCTGGGTATTGGGGTCCTGTTCAGGAAGATCATCAAAATATTCATCAGGTACCATGTCCTCGTCCTTGCCAGGGGCATCCGCCGCAGCATTGCGCTATAGATTTACGCTTGAGACACTCGAAACACATTAATAAAAATCGACCCGCACCTCTTTACCCTTCGCGAAAGGAACGTTGACGACGGGTGGTGCGGCATGATTGGACCGCTGGGTGAACAGGTGTCGTATGTGGGCTTTGAAGGTGGTGGCGGCAACAACTGGTGGTGGGGAAGTAGGTGGTGCTGGTGCTGGATAAGAGCTTCTTGTCACGGCGAGCCTGATTTTCTTGAAGCGCCCCACACGCTGCTGAGGCCGTGGCCGGGAAGTTTGTGGACGCTGTAACAAATGGTCTGCGGGTGAGAAGCGAACGATACATGGTTGGGCGCACATCATGCATTCCCCGGAAAAAATCAGGTTCTGCATCGTAGCCATTTTGATCTTGTCCCGGGACCTCTGCCTGTATAACGGTCAGTAGTGAAAGGGCTAAGAAAGGGAGTACATGCGCCAAGAATACGGTCATCGCGAGCAGCGAGCGCGCTACATTGTTCTTTGAACTCTGAGTGAGATGCGAGTGAGTATGATAGCCTCGTGTGACATTACTGAAAACTTGCCGTTGGACCAATCAAGGCAGCTGACCTTCTCAGTTGTGTTGATGGCGTCTATCATGTGTTGGTGGGATTCGAGGGCTTCTTCGACTTTACCTGCCAAAAGGAAAGCCTGACAGCGTTTCTGGTGTGTAGTGAGCCAAAATGACTCAAGATCCCAGTCGAAGAGCTAGACAAAGCACTCAGTAACGAAAACAACATTTTAGGATGAATCATGTCAACATACCACCGCCAAGTCCTGGTATATTTCATGAATGTCCATCTTGAATTTCAGTGAGAAAACAATGGAGTTGACAGCAGCAGTGAAATGGTCAGCGGCTTCGTCGTGATGTGCATAATCCAAGGCTTTGATTCCTAGCTGAACGCGTAAATATGCCTGATGTGCGAAGTTGCGAAGATTAGTGCCGATGACCGAGCATAGCCGTATGATACTTACATCCACAACATGACACGCACGAGTATCGGATTTCGGACAAGCGGCGGCCAGCTTTTTGACCAGCAGCATTGCCTCCTCGTCTTGATCCGCGTTGAAGAGGGCGATGGCCTGAAATGCGGAATGAAGCAGAGAATATGGGAGACAAGTCGAACCTACCTTGATCAAGAGAAGAAAATGTATGGTTTCTGGATCTTGGTTCGCGAACATGGATGCGACGTCAAATGCTGCCCTCGCATCCCGGACTTGACCTTTTCCACAGAGGGCAATGCCCTCCGAGATATAGCCTATCAACGAGGGCTGGATAGTGATGGACTATGTCACAGATGAAAGTTAGCCTTTCGTGAGAGGGCCATGGTCAGTCGGTACAACTCACCTTGATTGCATCCTCAAGGGCTTCGTCCCAGTCTTGTTTTCGCGCCATAACAAATGAGCGATGGGCATATGAGGTATAGTCGTTGGTGTCGCTGTCGATCTCTTGGGTGAGTAGCTGTTCCGCAGTAGACAAGTCCCCAGTGATGCATGAATGGCGGGCTGGCGTGATAGCGAGGATCTGCATGAGGCATGCTCGAATTGCGTGATACGAGTCAAGGATGGAAACTCACCTTTGTATGAACACCCTTAGGTACTTCCCACTCTGAGATCTGATTATCATAACCTCCGCTGAGGATGTGCTTGCCATCCACGGAGAATGTGACACATGTCAAGTTAGATGAGTGCTGGAAGGTGGCAATGATTCGTCGATCTGAGAGCCGCCAGAGACGGACATGCTTGTCCTTAGATGCAAAAGCGACGAGCGTTCCAGCAGGATTGATGGCGATGACATCGATGCTGCTAGTATGGTTCTGCAAGGGATCATAATCCTTGAAGCTCACTGGTAACTGGAAGCACTGGAAGTGTACCAGGCCTCAAACTAAGTTGAAGCGGTCAAGCGTGAGCAAATCGATCACCGACCTTCTTCCAGGTTGATGTATCCCACTCTTGTATGACCTGAGTTAAATTACCACTTGAAGAAAGAAGGCGTGTGCCATCGGGCGTCCATGCGAGTGGGGAGTTGTAAGTCTGAATCTTCAAGGTTGCGACGCGTTCCCTTGTGCCTGCATTATAAATTTCGATATCGCTCTCGGTTGCGATGGCAAGAAGTTCACCAGACGGTGAATATTGAACCTGGCGGACCCAATCACTCAATTCAATTGGATTTCCTTGCTGCTGCCATGTTTTGGTGCACCACAGCTTGACCGTGTTCCCGAATGAACCGGTGGCCAACACCGTACCATCCACAGAAAAGTCCAGCGAGCTGACATCTTGGGAGTGGGTTTTGATGGGTTGGGTGAGAGATTCTCCTGTTTTTCCGTTCCAAACGATGACCTCTCCAAGTGTATCACCGCTTGCTATCATTTGCCCATCTCGTGATACCGCCAATACCAAAACCTCACTGCGATGCCCCTCCATCTTCTTCAACATAACACCTGTCTCCAGATCCCAGAGATGAAGTGTCTTGTCCACCGAGCCCGTAACCATTCGTTGTCTATCGGGGAAAACTGCGACTGCGTTCACGCGTTCTTCGTGACCTTCAAAAGTTCGGAGGGGTGCGGTGCTTGGAATGAGCTTCGACATTTTACTTGAGATGAATTTGGAGGGATTGTGAGCGTCTTCGTTTATGTTGCAGAGGTGTGTGTAAAGCTTATGATTGTACCTTTTTTATGTTAATTCACTACATAGACGCCCAGTACACGACGTGGTTCGCTATCACCGTTGCGGCAAGAGTGCTCCCTATTGTCACACCCACCTTCCTCCACAGTATGCCCTCCCGCCGTCTCTACAGTGTGTACATGCATTTGACTTTTATCTTCACGGCTTCTAGAATGTATTCCCTCGCATTCGATTGTGCTACTAGTAGTGCAGTTAGTACTTCCCGGCGCTCCAATCTGGCTGACAGCTCTTCATCCTTTTCGTGTTAAGCAGTTTGTCCAGCACTTTACCCTGTGACCTGCCCGAACGCGTAATTTACCTTACCTGCAATATATTTTGTACACTTCTAACTGATCTGCGTTTCCACCTGATGTAGCCACATTTCTTTGTTCTCGCGTCTCACACCCGCTACTAACTCTGCGACGGAGGAGTTTTCATCTCCCTGAGCGCGGTCTATCCAACACTTACATGATGATCTTTCCAATGGTGTTCGCAGCCTTTCTTCCAACGCCTTGCTCATGTTTTATCTCAGTTTTCAGCTTCGTCGACTCCCGCCCAACTGGTTTCGATTTTCTCATTGGCCAAACCCCCATCCTCATTGGAAACCTGGATCACACATGTAGCGATGCAACACGGATGTCAATTCTACTAATCCGCACTCACCTATCACTGCAAATATTCAAGAATACTATCAATCGTGGACTCAATTCTCGGACCTACCGAGACATCAATCGAGTAGAACAACTTCCAAGTGATATTTCAGCTTTCTCTGCCTAATGCACTGACCTCAATTAGTACCATGCGCCAGGTCCTGCCTGATCGATTCCGCAAATTACTCGATTGTTCGGCAGCCCTTTATCTTCCTACCCCACGCTTGCGCAGCATCCACGCGCCTTCCTCTGCCTACCGCACCAAGCGCAGAGACCAATACCATTCATGTTCACAAACGTTGGCGTGTCACATTCCTCAGCGTCGATACCGACATCACCACAAACTAACTTATCATTGATGTTTGGTACACTAGCACGGCTGCTAACACGAATCCCCGGCCTATTGCTATATCACATTCGCTGTCTCCGCCACAATTGTTTTATGCCTCGAGATCGCCTGACCTATCCTTTTCATTCGCATTTGATCAGCACGCTTCAACTTTTGGCACCAATCCTGACAAAATCCTGGCTGTTGTTACATGAGACCTGAGAAGCGCACAAGACCGAAGGAAGAGTAATATAGCTAAGCTTTCGTTTGGTCAGCCTTCTCATAGCTCATTTTTCAGTGCTTCATCGGTACCAGTTCGACGTTCAGTTCGGCACTGCTACCCGGAACATCTACTTTCGCCACTGCTGCGTCATGAGGTGATCTAACGAAGATTGCAAAGATAGTCGCACAGGCCACAAGCGCAAGGTCCTGCGAAGATTCCGACAGGGCTGGTTTATTCTATTCTTCTCTTCCTGAGTTTTGGGTTGACATCTCTTGTTTCTTCTTAGTGACTTTACGCATACAGATCGATCTCTTAGCCAGTTCTCTCTGATTCCAACTGTGCTTTTTACGTGTAGAAGCGGAACGCTCTTTATCGACAACGTACACGACACATTGCGGCTAAGCGGCGAAATGGACATGGTTGGAATCCACGACGCTGACATCTGGTGTATTGGGGATTAATCCCCCTGTCCATCACGGTCGCCCCGTTGCGTTGCTTATTTCTCCCGAGGTAATGGATAACGGGAGGGTTGTTGCTTGACAGAAAGACAAAAGTGTCGTACTGCAGCAGCCGTGCCGATCTAGGGGGTAAAGATGACTGCTTGGCTCAGGTTTCCTCGTCCCGGCAAGCACATAAGTGATGCGTCACCTTGAAATTTTACAAGTTCTGCCTGGTCGGTGGTACTAGTTCTCGAAGGTGTCACGCATGCCGAGGCGTCGTGGAACAGAAAAATTGTGTCAGTACAAATGTATTCAAACAAGTACATGATAGCAGCCAACATTTGAATATAGATTCCGAATTCACAAGTACACAAAGAAATCAATGATATATCTTGGATCTCACTTCTTATCGATGCTGATGACTCCAGTGGGAGAATCATACGTGATGATCCACGTAGTACTGTCTTCGAGTTTAGCGAGATCTTGTTCGAAGAGGCAATCAGTCTCGATCTGGCCCTTGATCAAGCTATTCTCCTTGTACTGCGTGCCGATATACCCGCGTAGGACTGGAGTGAACTGTGCGTTCAACTTCTGCCCGTGCCCTACGCCGCGCCAAACTAGAGTCGTCTTGGGTGCTTCTCCTGCCTTCTCAATGAAGCCTGGACAATATGTTGTAGCGCAATGAATTTCAAGATAGCAATTATACCTACCAACACCTATATCCTCCTTGTATGGAGCGTTGTTTGTACATTGAATATTTTTCTTCGGCACCAAGGCGTCGGTTTTGGGATCCTAAGCTTGTTTCGCAAACTGATATCGAGAAAGGCAAGTTGGGCGTACTTACGGAGAAACGGTAAATTTCTTCTGCCAGGGTTAAGATGGTAGATTGCCCAACCTAAGTAGCAGTCCATCAATTAACAATCAATCCGTGATTTTATCAGACTCTCACATTGATGGGGACCTCGGTCGAAGCACTTTGGATGACATCGTTGGAAACAATGACCTTGGTGAACGCAAGTCTGAGGGGTGCATTGTAAATAACTCTCCACATAAGCTTTGAATGCCTCTTACTGTGATCGATATACAACTGGGGAGCGGTAGGGGCCTGCCAGTGACGCTGCTTATTTAGATAGCTCAAAAGCACTGATAATATTCACCCACCGTCAGCCCCAAATTTCCTGACCCTATTCGAAAAGTTACATCAGTGAGCGCGCACGACAACAAAGACGAAAAGATGAAGAATAAAGGGATATACGTACGCAAAAGCCGATGGGTAATACTTCGTGTACAATTCACCGAGAGGCTGATCGTCGAAAGTGAGAAGAAGGTCGACGTCTAAGCCGAGGTCGTTGGATTCAAAGTTGAGCTTTTTGACAAAGGCCATTACGTAGAAACGAATTCGAGAATGAAAGTTGGGGTTCAACGTTCAGTTGAGGCCTATGGCTGAATCGACACGACTTATATACCATTCTTTGCGCCCTCGGGGAGGACAGCGGCCATGTATCGTATCTGTAGAGATTAGATCTGGAAAATAGAAACGAAAGGCCTTTCCCGGGTCGAATGCAGCATGTTTCCCAAACACCTACATTGCCCGCGCGTCGATGTACGAAATGATTCTTTTGACACATGTTTTGTCCCTTTTGTTAAGAAGTGCCACGATGAGGGTACAAGTGACATACAGAGATGCATTGCAGGTGTAACACCGCAGGTGCCCTTACCAAGGCCAGGGCGCGGTAGCATTGTACGAGACTTTGAGCCATTACGCCGTTTAGAGGGATCTGGTGATTTTTTGGAGTCAAGTTATGAAATAGCAGGGAAAGGCCGCATTGCAACTTGACCTAGTTTTCACTCACTTCGCCGTGTTACGGGACGTCAAATGTAAGAAAGTTCACCAATATTTGACAATGATTGTTCCTTTCAGAAACATCTCTGCTTGTTGCCGCTCGAGTTACGATACACTGTCCTCTTAAGGAGTCTTGGGGAATGTTCGACTTTTCACTGTCTGCGACTTCCATGTTGGTGGTCAGGAAGGCCCAAGATCTGCTTTGACGATAGGAGTGCTGACGAAAGGCGAGTTCATTTTGGGGAGGTATACCTGCCCAAATGGTTGTAAGTGTAACTGGCAAAACTCACGCCAAGGAGTGTTTTAGTTGAACGCGGTCGAGGTGGGCTCCACACGCGATTGTAATTTAGGACTCAGACACACTGACCAAACAATCACGTGATCAATCGCAATCAGCTGGAAACCGACTCCACTTTCTGCTATTACGACTCTTTATACTCGCAGTGCGCACGCAAAACACTGCCGACCACACCTATGCACCAACGCACTTATGCCCACGCCGCCGACAACACCACGTACGCCATCACCTCCACACTTTGTCGTTATAGACGCATACAGTCTTTCGAATCATACTGAAGAATCAAATATCTGCTTCGCAGTGCGAGTGAAATTGTATTCGGACCGGCCGTGCAATGCAGCAGCTGCGCTCTCCACCAGGCATCCTAGAAAATGTTCTAATTGTCACGGTTAGCAAGCTCTTCACAATGGATGACGCCAGTTCACCTAGGCCTTCCCCTCCATTCTGAATATCGCCACCGCTCTTCCTTCCAAATCCACCACTTTTTTCCGTTCCCTCACGCTCATCCGTATATTTTTTTTTGCAAGATAACTCCCTCGAGGTCATTTTAGCAACAGCAGGTTTTTTTTTTCGTCAAGTCGTTCTTGCTTACTTACGACAATTGCGTTACATAACATCGCGAAGGGCTTCGCGGATCAAGCCCCCCAATGGAAATAATCATATTCATCTAACTTGCGAATTTTGTTCGCGGTTCTCGTGCCTCACCCGCTTTGTGGAGTTGTCAACCTGGTTCTAAACGGGCGTGTTAATCGTGATATCTAAGATCTCAGGTACGTACTGGTCTTGTGGTGGTGCTTGGTCTAGTCTGCGCTACCCTCGATTGAAGCGGCAAATCCAAGGACCAGGACCGCGGTACACATTTTCTCATTCCCTGCAGGGGTACGACCCATATTCAAAATACAAAATACACGTGTTGGTTGGTCTCCGCCGATCGCTCGCTAATTTGAAGTTTAGAATAAAGGATGCACGAAAGAAAATGATCATGAATATCACGCCTCCGAGTCATGTGAACTCATCAGTATTTGCAGGTCCGAAAGCATGCAGGTCCAATCAGACAGTTAACGTCAATCGTATGTTCTATTCTGTTCTGGATTTGAGGGTCTGCGTGCGCCCCAAGACGCCGTTATCATTTTCCTCATTCGTAACAAGCGCAACGATCTCTAGGCGGGGAACGACGAATTGAGAACGAGTGGAAGTTATTATTGTACGTACCAGCACTGATGCGATGATCGATCACCTTTAAAATTGTAGATAACTCAAATGAAAGACGCACCGTGCTCGGTCTGGAGTGCTCTAGCCAGGTCCAGATCCGCTTTTAATTGAAATTTCGCGCGAGGTAAAATGTTGAGACCCCCTATATGTGAGCAGCCCTGAAAGAACAATGAACAGGATCGATCCGAGGCTCTCAACGGCATAATCGCACTGCAAAGTCTTGTTAAATGCTACTGAGCCCTGAACGCCGTGTCTAAAACCTGCAACGGGTTCCTGTATCGTGCACTTGTACTACCTTCACGCTGGCGCATCATAACAGAAGGACACATAACGTATCAAAAGAATCATTTCGCGACCGATGGGCGGGCACTCACTGGCAGATAGTTGCCAAGCACGCTCGACTTGGATCGAAAAAGCCCCCCCTGCTTCCACTTTCCAGATCCAATCTCTACGGATACGGGGCAACTGTCCTACCGGAGGGGATGCAAAGTATAACTCTATAAGTAATATTGTCAATGTCGAATCGAAGTTGAACACAACTCTCTCACAACTTTCAACCTCGCGAATCACATAGTATGGCTCCAGGAGTCAAAACGGTCAACTTCGTGTCCAACAACCTCGGCATAAACGCTAACCTTCTTCTCGTTTTCGACGACGACTCTAAGGCTGGCTTGTACAAGGATTATTACCCATCGGCTTTCGCGTATGTGTATCCTTATCTTTTCGTCGCGCGTTCTCATCAGTGATGTAACTTTTCGAATAGGGTCAGGAAATTTGGGGCTAAAAGTGGGTGGATTTTATTATCAGTGCTTTGGGCTATCTACACAAGCAGTGTCTCTGGCAGACATCTACCGCTCCCCAATTATATATCGAACACAGTAAGGGGCATTCGAAGCCTATGTGGAGAGCTAATTTACAATACACCCCTCAGACTTGCGTTCACAAAAGTTGTTATTTCCGACGACATCATCCAAAGCGCTTCGACCGAGGTTCCTATCAATGTAAGAGGTCTGATAGAATCACGCGTTTGTCGCTGGTTTCATAAACCGCTACTACTACTTAGGTTGGGCAATCTACCATTTTATCCTTGGAAGATGAAATATACAGTTTCTCCGTGAGTACGCTTTACTGGCCTTCTCAACATCGGTTTGCGAGACGAGCCTAGGATCCAAAAACCGACGGCTTGGTACCGAGGAACAACATTCGATGTACGAATAATGTACCGTTCAAGGAGGATATAGGCGTTGGTACGTATTATTGCTATCTTGAAATTTATCCGCTACATATTGTTCAGGGTTCATCGAGGAAGAGGGAGACGTACCCAGGACGGCTCTAGTGTGGCGCGGCGTAGCGCACGGGCGAAAGTTGGACGCGGAATTTATTCCGCGCCTAAGAGGTTATATTGATATAAACCCCTACAAGGAGAATGGCGTAATCAAGGCCCCAATTGGGACTGACCGCCTTTTCAACCAAGACCTCAATACTCTCCACAAGGAATCCACGTGGGTCATCACATATGATGCGTCCAACGGGGTCTTTAGCATTGATGAGGAGATGAGGGAAGAGGCACAGTGAGGGTCTAAGATCTATAATGACACGTTGAAGATTTCCTTTTACGAACCTTTTTTAAATGTTGGCTGCCGTCGATTACTGACATGTATAGTATTTGTGCTGTTTCGATGTCGTTTTCTTCTTGTAAACCAATCCCGTTTGTTGTGCAACTCGTGTTTTAAAATGTGCTACTTAGCAAGTGGATCTTGTAATCGGGGGGTCAATCACTCACAGGAATACACTGCTGGCCTTTTGGTTGTCCTGCATGTAAAGTGCTAGAATCCCGGCGTGTACATCGAAAGCTTGATCGGATGCCCATCGCCCCTTAAGGCTGTCCGCGAGTGTACTCATGGGTGGATGGAATCCTTACTTGCGAGTATTTGCCTCAGCAAATGCTCGTCCCCGATTCGCGAAACAAACGCCTACCACATTCGAAAGCCTGCTCGGGCCAGAACGTGAAGGCGCAGGCCAGCAGTCAGCAATAGTGGGAATTCTGTAGTAGAATGTGGGCGCGCGGGGGTAGCGGTCATAGAATCGAGAATCAACCTTTTATGAGCAGAGCATGAAGTAGTACAACGCAAGGTGGGAAACCAAACGGCGGGCAGGAGTAAAAGGCGGGAAGTAAGACTGCGGGATATGGCAATCCGGGGATATCATGATGAGCGGGATGACAAATTCCTAGCAAAGATATAAATGCGCTTCAGCGGCGGGTTAATAATTACTGGCACTTTCCGAACAACAACTGGCAAATGTACAAACAAACATTTCCCTCAGACTTTGTCACTGAGTCTGCGTAGACCTCACAGGCCAAATTCTGCACTTTCTGAAAAAAACGGACCTTCCCGCGCACGCTGCACGCGTGAAGATGAGAGAGGTGTTATGACTCTCCAACTCCAGACACGCTGGTTTATCTTCCAGATTCTCATAAAGACCTTATCTATCCGAGTCAGCTGGTACATGCTCCGCACCTTTTCCTGGTACAATTGTACTTCTCTCTGTCCTCCCTTATTATGTTGCAAACCCTCTGCATGATGGTAGGTTTTCCTGCATATGTTCGGTCTTCCCATAATGAGGGTTCGGGAGCGATGAAGGTGCCTTGGGGAAAGAGGCCAGGAAGCGCTCACTTATTCCAGGATTAGCTGTGCATTGCCCAACCTCCGGCGCTAAGGAGAACCTCTCCCTCAACTCGAATCAGGAACCAGCATGGCGAACCATATTCACACCTCAAGCTCTCCCAGTGTTCTCCACATCTCTGGTATTCAACTCTCGCATCAACTGATTGGTCAAACCTGCTGATTTCAGAATCAACTTGTATCGAAACTAGGCATCTCTATTGATTTCAGCAAGTCAGAAAAGCATGTAGAGTCTGCAGAGGCACGGATCGGCGGGTTGCAAAAGCCATTTCAAGCTGAACGCGATTCAGGAAAACTTTTACGACAGACGTTTTCTCCGCCCATGTGAGGACTTGATAAACCCAGACGAGCACGCCACCTGATTGTTCCGATCATAGCGGGTTTTCTCTTGGGGATACGTTTTGCTTACAGTTACGATACAAGAAACGATTTCGGAAGAGTCGCGAAGACATTCAATTTGATTTCAATGACATACTTCGCGCGTCTGATATGAGGGGAGAACACGGTGGACGAGGTCAAGCAGCTATGTCCGCGTTCTCGCCTTGATAATGTACTCACGCACTGGATCGTACAGAATACCACAAATCTCATGACAACATCAAGATCGTAGTTGGACTTTCCGGGAACACAATAACAGAGGTATAGATCCATGTTTTCTATCGCAACCGGCCTCTGAGTCATACAATCAGCACTCAGAGCCGTCTGCCTCTACCTCCGATACAACACTGGAACTTCAGCCCACCACTGACGAGATCATTCGGATTTGTCCTCGGTGAGTCAGGATGACCATAAGCCGCGTTCTCCAGTTGACACCAACGGCTTCCCAGGTTCCGAATTCTGGTGATAGGAAAGGTATCAGGGTTTCGTTGATCTCAGGCTAGTATTGATGCAGTGTTTCCAAAAGACTGGCGTTGGCAAAACTTCGCTCATAAACCGCGCCTTTGGAGTGCACGAAGCGGTGGGCTGCTCACGACACTATTCCACAGAGGCTTGCTGATGCTGTTTTCATAGATGGCTTCGACTCACAAGCCAGGCGAGGCCGATATCGACCACGAGTTTGTCTCACTGCAGAACGACAGGTTTGTTCTCCACGATAGCAAAGGTTTTGAACCAGGCGAGGAAAGCAACGTGAATATCGTCCGAGATTTCATTGGCCGTCGGAGAAACATGGCGGAATTGAAAGATCAGCTGCATGCTGTTTGGTAGGTTGATCGCGATGAGTTTGTATGCTAAGCTGATATAATTTACGGAAGGCTTTGCTTTGAAATACCCCGCGCAGGTGGGCGTTTACTGGAGACGGGCACGGAGGATTTCCTGACGTTGAAACGCAAGGGATTGCTGGGAAATAGTAAGTGAACTCATGGCTATCTCTCTCTTGTGCCAGGTTGGAGCTCACCCTGGTCAAAGTTCCCGTCGTTGTCGTTTTCACTAAATATGATAGGTTCATGAACCGCGTAAATCGTACTCTGGATGATTCCTCTTCTGCGGGATTGGACCCCGACGCCCTCAAGCAACTCATCAAGGATAAAGCAGACAAACACTTAAAAGAAATCTGCATCGATCCCCTTGAGAAATTTGCAGGGTCTGATATCCCACATGCCACGGTCTCCAGTGGGTATCACTACTGTTATTGTATTTTATGTTTCTAATGAAATTATGAGCGCAGCGGGGACTGGCCACGAGGAGTCCCTGGCCCGTCTGATCCAAATCACTGAAGAGCGTGTCTGTGAGCATGTCGCGAGCGAGGCGTCGGTGATGACGTCCATCGCTCAGCGAGTAGATCCTGGGCTTAAAATCAAAGCATCAATCGAGTAAGCATCGCTTCCTTCATTATTATATGAAGATTCACGTCGCATTAGTGTTGGCAAGAGAAGTCTGTCTCGATTCTGCCTTGGTGATTAATGAGCGCAATCTGAGCTTCTATTTACAGGATACTGGAAGACACTTGCGTCATGCGCTTCATTCCAGGACCGTACGACTCTGGACTGCCTACGCGTGCTTCACGTTGACATCGTTGCTGTGTGGAACTTCCATGACCCTAATGAAGTAATGTCTATCTTCGTTATCATCACACGTATTCTGACGTTTGGTTGTGTACAGTACTTGGAAAGCAAGGAGTTCAAGACGATGGTGGTGAACATGGTTGACAATCTTGATATTGGACCTACTACCAATCCCGTCAGGGCCGCGTAGGCTGATTCTTCATATGAATTGATTTTTGTTTCATTTCTATTTTCACAGGGCTGTTGGACTGTCTACAGTGGCAGCCATTGCGGGCATCGTGTCTGCCTTGGCAGGACCTGCGGCTCCTATCGTAGTGCCAGTAGCAGCAAGTATTGTAGTCGCGAAATGGGTATACGACGTGTACCAGCTGTCGTACGTGCCGCTAAATATCGTTGTCTGAGTGTATATTAACACATTTTGCTCAGCGGCGTGGTGCTCCAGCGCTTTATCGCGTACATTGTCGATCTGACCCTCATATTGCAGACACTCTATCTTGTGTCGGACAATCAGGAGCTGTCTCGTAGGACTATCAAGCTCGCGGTCGCTTCTTATCATGGCTCGCCTACGATCGGACAAGTGCATAGTCGGATTCAGGGATATGATAGGAAATTGACATTTCTGGAACGCGCGGACCGCGATACGTTGGACAGGATCGTTGAGCTGATGGAATTGTATCGCATCGACGCGAGGGAAATTTCTGCTCTGAGGGCACAGATTCCGACTGTGGATTCAGTTCCGGATGAGCCATGGTGAGATATGCGTTGGCGGGTGTTTATTGAGTACGGGATTGTATATGACTTGTGATAATATTTGGAGTAACGGAAAACCCATACCACGATGCAAATAGCAGAGTTTTCTTGTAGACCTTATACCTAAGTATCTATGGATGGAGGACTGGTGGATGGACCACAACAAGGGTATCGTTGATCGGAGATAATTGAATATGTATGTGAGCAGCAATGTTTCGAACGAATAATCAACAATCGTTCCTTTTCGGTTTGTTAGGCCATGATGAATACGCTGGTCACTGGACATTTTCAAGGTGCGTCTGCTGCTTGAAGTCTATAACCATTATCCACCAAGTTGCAGGCTTTCCAGAAATCCTCACTAGCTAGAGTCACTGACGTTGTCGGGGACGTTCCATGCGTCTCTGTAGAGTATGATGCTGAAATGACAATAAACGAGATATCTTTTTGAAAAAATTCACGCAAGTCGAGAAAGCAGAATGATACGCGGTTCTGACCCGACCAATGGGACCAGAACAGTTGGGAGATACATCAAGCTGCTGTTAGATACATAGTAGTCCTAACCGCTGTCTCAGCTAAATGATCAGCATGCTTCACGCATATATACGCCATACCAGAGAGAAAGTCCCGTAATTGCATGATTGTACAAATTCGATAGTGCCACACCTCTCAAATCTTGAACCGCCCTCGACAGACCATTCTAGAAATCCACATTTGCCTCCAGAATATGACTCCAAGCATCATCTACGCCGTGATTCATTGCCTGGCATCAAGGCCGTGCTGAAGACAAATAAATCAGCGGGATTGCCGCAATCATGAGAGTTGAAACATACGCACTGGCAGGCGATGCTCTAAAGTGATTGCAAGAATTGTTTCGATTAAACCCGAATAATCCATGGGTTGTTTCGCCATCTCCTGAGAGCATTCAGAGGACTCTTTCACCTCGTCCTGAGGGGGTTTAAAATATTGTTTTTCCTTCCTCCGGAAGAGTCCAAACAGTCGCTTTGCTGTCCGATTAGACGGGTTTCTTTGATGTGTGTGGACAGCAGTGCCCACAGGTTCTTGATATGGGAGAACCGCGGTTTTCACTGCGTCCCTGACAGCGATTGCTTGCGGAGATGCCATATACCGCTCGAGAGCGACATAAAAAGAGGGAACGTATTCTTGCTGGTCCTTAAGATGGAGTAGCTGGTCGAAAACGTAGAAAGAGTGTTCGAAAGTAATGACAGCAGCTAAAGGATTGAAAATGAGCAAGTTCACTGCAATGCGGCCTGAAGATTCACCAGAACCAAGCTGCAACATTTGTTCGAGTGATGATGCACTAGCAGAAGTCTGGTACATTTAAACATGTGTGTACAGCCTGTGACCAATTGAACGCACCGCAGATAGTATCTTAGACCCCATCTCTATACGTTGATTACCGTAAAGCTGAAGTGATGATGGAAGATTGAAGATCGTCTCCCTCTGCTGAGGACCAATACACTCACCAACTGTCAATGAATAATGGCTTCGGTCAGCATGGCTCGAGACCAAAGGAGGATGAACAAACTCACTTCCTATCGATGGATCAGCGATGTCGTTGGTGAGAAAGGCTCGAGGGATCAGACACTCACCCACTGTTAAGGAATGCGCAATGTGAGTGATAAGCAAAGCTCGAGCTCCACGGATGATGAAAACACTGACTTTCTGTGAGTGAACGAGCAATGCCGCAAGTGAGCAATGCTGGAGCTTGACAGAGGATCGATGCGCTCACATGCTGTGAACGGGTGGGCGATGTCTTCAGTCAGCATGGCTAGAGCTTGACGACGGATAGATTGACTCACAATCTGTCAACGAATCACCCAACGTACTTGGTCAGCAGGGCTCGAAGTCAACGGCGGATGAAGAGGCTCACACCCTGACAATAGATCCACAATTGGGTCAGTGAGTAGAGCATGAGATAGACAGAGTATGATCACGCTTACAAGCTATTAACGAATCAGGAATTCCTTCGGTGAGTGTAACTCAAGGCCGGCGAAGATGAATATACTTACATTCTGCCGATGGATCAGAAATCTTCACTCAGCAAGACTCGAGCTCGAAGAAGGGTCGACACTCACATCCTGTCAACGGATGGGCAACGACTTGGATCAGCATAGCTCGAGCTCAAATGAGGATCAAGACACTCACACGCTGCGAGAAGTAGGCAACGACTTGGATCAGCAAGACTCGTGCTCGAAGAAGGATCGACACTCACATGCTGTCAACGGATGGGCAACGACTTGGATCAGCATGGCTCGAGCTCAAAGGAGGATCAAGACACTCACGTTCTGCGAAGAGTGGGCAACGACTTGGATGAGCATGGCTCGAGCTCGAAGGAGGATCAAGACACTCACAGCCTGCGAAGAGTGGGCAACGGCTTGGATGAGCATGGCTCGAGCTCGAAGGAGGATCAAGACACTCACAGCCTGCGAGGAGTGGGCAACGACTTGGATCAGCAAGACTCGTGCTCGAAGGAGGATCAAGACACTCACATCCTGCGAAGAGTGGGAAACGACTTGGATCAGCATGGCTCGAGCTCGAAGGAGGATCAAGACACTCACAAACTGCGAAGAGTGGGAAACGACTTGGATGAGCATGGCCCGAGCTCGAAGGAGGATCAAGACACTCACGTTCTGCGAAGAGTGGGCAGCGACTTGGATGAGCATGGCCCGAGCTCGAAGGAGGATCAAGACACTCACACCCTGCGAAGAGTGGGCAACGACTTGGATCAGCATGACTCGAGCTCGAAGGAGGATCAAGACACTCACATTCTGCGAAGAGTGGGAAACGACTTGGATCAGCATGGCTCGAGCTCGAAGGAGGATCAAGACACTCACATTCTGCGAAGAGTGGGAAACGACTTGGATCAGCATGGCCCGAGCTCGAAGGAGGATCAAGACACTCACGTTCTGCGAAGAGTGGGCAACGACTTGGATCAGCATGACTCGAGCTCGAAGGAGGATCAACAGACGTACTACCTGTAAAAAACACCCAATATAAATGAGAGCAACTTTCGAATATTGGGGCCCATAATCTTACCCATATATGTGGAAACCAAGCACCCAATTCAGCTATTGCATCCTCAGATGAGGAAATCTCATCTCGTGCAACAAGCTCTGCGAGTATCCTGGACGATAGTCAATAACGCTCGCGGCAGGCAAATGATAGGTAGATACTGCTCAACTGCATATTTCATGCAGATTTCCAAGTTGCTCCGCTGCGTCGAGACAAACAATTGCTGAAGGACTTGATCGTCCAGAGTTCCAGCGGTCCGTTCGATGAGTGGCCCGCAATCAGCGTCATCCTTGTTCATGTCTAATGGATCAACAGTCATCATGTATCAAACTTCGATGATCCACAGCTTACCTGGGAGGCAGACGTGGCATTTTGGAGGCCGTCCGATGCTATTTGGGTCGTATAGAAACTTCAACTGTGTCCCTTTCTTGAACGAGTCCTCGGCGTGCTTTGGGGCCAGTCGTTTGGCATCTACCCTTGATTTTCCATTTTCTGTCAGTCGCGTGAATTCGGCAGGGTAGAGTGCGTCGAATTTGGTGAATATTACGATGACCGGAACTGAGGAAGTTGCGCATCAGTTGATGATTAATGGACAGGTCCAAAAGCTTAATTACTGCTTCCAGTGTCGCAGTGGGAGAAGAATTTGCGTTCGGCTTCAGTAAAAGACCGGCTTGGCTGATCCATAGGTATGCAATACCTATGTCAAAGGAGTGAGCCAGTGAATGTCGCCAACTCGACCAATTACCATATTGTGTGAATACGATCCTTCATGTTTCCTTCCTTCGAACGGTCTGCGATAAATTTGTTCACCTTGTTGTACTCGGATTCGCCGCCTGCTTCGAAACCACGCGAATCATGAAAGATGAATCCTGGGTTGATTTGAAACACCATCTCGTTCTCGATGTCGTGCTCTCCACGCTGTGAAAATGTCAGTTTATGTTGCCGACTAATGGTACACGTTACCTCTCTAGATGCTGTCAAAACAGCGGCATCGATCTGATGTCGACGAAATAGTGATCACTACCAGCCTCGTACTAGCATCATGATGCGCACCTTTTCCCCAGCGCTATTATATATATCTGGATTCTCCTTTGTATTGCACACCCTCTGGAGGATCGTAGTTTTTCCTGCATTCGCCCTTCCTATGATGAGAATTCGAAAACGATTGATCTTCTTTTTTATCTCTGAAGAATCCATGAAGAAAGGTGAATTCGAATGGTAGTAATGGGACTGAGCGGTGAGAATTGTTCAGCGCTGAGAGTAGTAGACTTTTAACCGCTATCGGTGTGCGAGTTCTGTGAGCGCTCTTAAGCTTGTCAAATGTAGATCTAGTGGGCAATGGGTTGTGGAGGCGTACACAACGAAGTCTCGGCAGTCTCAACGTGAATTTCATATATCTAAATATGTAGAAACAATGTTTGATCCAGGCTGTACATTGCAAAATAACGACATACAACGAACTATATATGCCTGAATACATGCACATGAGGAACCAGCAGCAACTAGTACAATTGTCAATGTCATTCTATTCAGTCTTCCTACAACCAAGTAGGTCAGACAAGTTTAACCCCGGCGATCTGTTAAAACTTAGATTGAGAACATCCAAGATGCTGTGGACCGATGACATCAGCTAATCGCAGAAATCACAAAGCCTCGTTTCTGTTTCACGAATGGATGTCATAGAAGGTCATGATACGAAGCTTGTTTCTGCAGCCTAATTGTATTGGTGAGCAGGGTAACTTGCCTATTACCACGTCATGATCCTTACATGTCCCAAGTATGCGAGACGAGATAGTCTGAGTAGAGTTGACGAGTCGTGGAATTGTCCTGCAGAGAAATCCAATTTGTTAATCCTCGCCACCAGAAATGATATTGTGAGTAGTCGCCTTTCGACTGCATATTTCATGCACGACTCCAAGGGTCTGCTGAGTCGAGATGAACAACTGCTTGGGCGCTTCACCTCAAGGTAGCGCTTCTCGTGGTGCCTATCATGATAAAGGGTCAGAGACCCACGGTCACCCACCTGTCTAACTTTCGATCACCTGATAGATCAAATACATACCTACCCCATGCCTCGAATCTAGATTCAGTGGACAATGGGCATGCTTTAGATTGTGCGTACCATGAGTCGTACATGACTCGCCTCATTTTAAATGCAAAGTTCCATTTCGAGTACCCTTCCAAAATACTTCCGATCATGATGAAAGGACCTCGAAAATCTCGTTGACTAAATGGCGAGAATAAACGATCGATACCGTCCGTTCTCAGCCAACGGTTCTCGCGTCATCGACGTCGCCACCGCATCCAAAACTTGAACATTGCCGGTGGCAATGTCGCTACCCTGCATGCTGTCTTCAGCGCTCTGGAGTGAGAAGCTATTCGACGAGTACCAACATTTTTTTTTTTACCTTCGACGTCAAAATCATTGCTTTAGTAGCCTCGCTAGTGTTATCAGCCCATCATCATACATACATCAGGTATGCCCGTGCCGCCCACTGTAACTATAGGGCCCCAATGAACATGGATACAAAATGAGAAAAGTCCAGGCTTATCATCAAGCTCAGAAGGCTGAACGAATGCAGAGATGATTCAACGAATGACCGACAGCGATGAAAATGGATATGTGAGAGGCGTCATCGAGACGAGTGGGCCGGGAGACTGCAGGACGTTATTGCTAGGGTGTAGTCGGTTGGCGAATGCCACAGATGGGTAGGGTTGGGCTGCCGGCATGGGGGTCAAGGCAAGAGACAGCGAAGGTGCGAGAAACAGCGAGAGTCCTGGCGAGCGCTAGCAGATATGCAACAGCAGGGTGCTTGACCTCATACATGAAGGCTTACTGAGGGGTGCTGGAGGTCTTGACCTCTGCGGCTGTAAGTGAGGTGATAATGCAAATATCTTGTTCTTCTCGAGACCCACGACTTTTTCATTTCAATGTTCGATGTCCGACAGATAACGACCCATGATGCATGAGCATTGAGCGCTGAGAACTAGCCATGAACAGCCAGGTGCACCATGGTCCATGAGGCATACGTATACATAATTGTGTCCTTCTGTTCGGTCTTATGTTAAGTAGAATTTACCCCAGCGCAGCTAACACATAAACCTACCATCACGCGCGCGGTGAGCGCTGAGCTTTCCCGTCTTTCTCTTCACCTCTCAATGGTTCCCTCTCCTCTCCACATCTCTGGTACTCAACTCTCAGTATCAGCTTACTGGTCAATTTCACTGAATATGTTAAATAGGGTTATCCATCGATTTCAGCAAGTCGGCAAAGAATGTGGAGTCTGCTCAAGTGCAGGTCGGCAAGTTGCGTGCGCCGATTGGGCGCGGAGAAGGAAAGACTTTACGACAGGCATTTTCTTTGCCCATGTAGGCACTTGGCTCAGACGAATGTACTCGTCTGAATTGTTCATCATAGAAAGCTTTCTATTGAAGATTCGTTTTCATTACATGTGCGCCACAACATACGGTTCGGCATAAAGGCCGTTGAAGACATTCAGTTCGACACCAAAGAGATCTTCCGCCTGTTTGGTGCAAGTGGAGAACCTGAGACGCAAGGTAAAGCTCAAGCAATGATAGTCGCGCTGTCACTAACGTATCCAACGCGACATGAACAGAATACATCAAGTCTCACAAAAAATTCACCATCCTCCTCGAGCTTTCCAGGAATACGGAAACTGAAGTAAGGATCCACCTCTTGCATTGGAACTCATCTAAGTCGTAGATCAGCAGGCTGGGCAGTCTTCCAGTGAACACCTGGCGCTTCAGCCCACTACAGATGAAATCATTCGCATTTGTCCACGGTGAGTCAACATAACCACGAAGCAGCATTCTTCAGGTTGACACGAGACTCCCAAGGTTCCGAATTCTGGTGATAGGAAATGTACATACTATTTTTTGATCTCACGCCCGTGCTGACAACACGTATAGACCGGCGTCGGCAAGTCTTCACTGATCGCTCACGCATTCGGAGTGAAGAAATCGGTGGGCTGCTCACGACATTGCAACACGTGCAGTTGCTCATACCGTCAATAGACTATTTCGCATGATATGCCAGGCGAAGCCACCATCGACGACGGGTTCATCTCGCCACAGAACGATAGGTTCATTCTCCATGATAGCAAAGGGTTTGAACCAGGGGGAAAAGACAACTTCGAACTAGTCCAAAAGTTCATTGACCGTCGGGGGAAAATGCATGATTTGAAAGATCAGCTGCACGCCATTTGGTGGGGCCTCCATCTTCATGCGTTTGTATGGCAAGCTGACAACGTGCAAGGCTTTGCTTTGAAATACCCTGTACAGGCGGGCGTTTCCTGGAGACCGCCACGGAGGAATTCCTCGCATTGAAGCGTGACAATAAGCTAGGGAAAAGTACGTTGATCGATCACTATCACTCTTCGCAGATGGTAACTCACCCTTTGGTCAAAGTCCCCCTCATCGTCGTTCTCACTAAATATGATGAGCTCATCAAACAAGTGAATTTCGATCTCCCTGACTCCGCTCTTGAAGGATTGAGCGAGGGTGACATCAACAAACGCATCAAAAACGAAGCTGACACCAAGCTACAAGAAATCTGCTTTGAACCCCTTAAGAAATTTGCGGGGCCTAATATACCACACGCGGTGGTCTCTAGTGGGTGTCACTACGACTGTGATCGTCATTTGTGTTCCTCATAAATATTTGAGCGCAGCTAAGGGAAAGTACAAGGACACGATGACCCATCTGATCCATATGACTGAAGAACGTGTCCGTGAGCATGTTTCGGCCGAGGCGTCGGCGATGTCCTCCATCGCTCAGCGAGTGGATCCTGTACTCAACATACAAGAATCAATCCGGTGAGTCTTACTTACTTGGGTCTTGTCGCGCGATTTACGTATTGTCAGGGTTGGAAAGAGAAGTCTGTTTCGATTCCACGTTAGTGAATACGGAGCACAGCTGAACCTTCATGCGGTACAGGATATTGGAAGGCGCTGGCATCAAGCACAGCATTTCAGAACCGTAGGATGCGGGACTGCCTGGATGTGCTTCACACGGACATTGTCACTGTATGGAATTTCTGTGACCCTCATCGTGTAATGTCTCGTTCATTTGCTGGCAGCGCATCTATTCTTACATGATTTATGCACAGTACTTGCATAGCTCGGAGTTTAGGACGTTGATGCTGAACATGGTCGAAAAGCTAGATGTTGGACCTACAGCTGATCCCAACAAGACCATGTAGGTCGTTTTATTGCTTGACGATGAATTTCATCTCACTCAATATTCAGTGCTGTTGGGCTTCCGATGGTGGCTGCTATTGCGGGCATCGTGTCTGCCCTGTCAGGACCTGCGGCTCCCATTGTAGTACCAATTGCGGCAGGTATCTTATTCGCCGCATGGGCTCGCGAAGTGTACCGGACGTCGTACGTAGTTCCGCTACTTGTCCTTGAGCGAAAGAACATTGACACTTCCTACTCAGCCACGAGGTGCTTCGGCGCTTGATGTGCTATATCATCGACTTGACCCTCGTGTTGCGAACGCTTCATTTTCTATCAGAAAACCAAGAACTCTCTCGCAGGGCCATCAAGCTCGCGGTCAATTCCTATCTTGCCTCGTCAGTTAGCGAAGACGTCCATACTCAGATTCGGGAGTATGACAAGGGATTGAAACTTCTGGAACACGCGGATCACCATACGTTGGATAAAATCGCTGAGTTGATGGAATTGAATGTCATTAACATTGATGCAGACGCAATTTCGAAACTTCGGGAACAGATTGCGGCTGTGGGTTTATTTCAGGATGAAGCTTGGGAAGAGAAGAAGGCGTCATAGTCAATCCTTTCTTTTCTGCATTTCTGCGCGTCTGCGGACATTGTCCGAGTACTTCTGTCAGGACTATTTACATGATTGTGTTCTCATTTGTACTATGTAGTTGCCGGCCAGGCCCATATATGATATCGCTGTAGTACGCTGTACGTGACCAACACGTTTTCTATCAACATCACGTACTTGCTAGAGTTTGATTGGAGTACCCTAGTGTTCTGAGGCACCTACTGTAACCCATCTCCCGCCTGCAGTAACCGAACGAATCAACTCATCATCGAAGGTCTGAAGGAGGTGTCTACTGTAACCCATCGTGAAAACCTCCCGCTTGCAGAAGTTAATATTCATGCCTAAGATCTCACGCGCCTTGAGCTTCACTGGCTTTGCCGTGATTTATTGCGAAACATCGAAGTAGGAACAAAGTATAATTATCGAACGCTGAGAAACCTGGAGCAACGCTACGAAGGAATCGTGATTGGTTTGTTGGTCCCGAGGTGGATTTTCGTGCGTTGCATTTTCATCACTGATAAGTATGCATGTCTGGAAGGGGGCCACGTTGATGGACGAAAATTGCCTACATGATGAGAATGGAAGACCGTAATTGTCCCAGCTCGTGCATCGTCGTCTTTACTAGATGTATCAATTAGATGTGCAATTTTAGAGGTAAGAATAACTCGGGCTCAGAGAGGATTACCTGTGAGTGAACGAGCAATGTCACCGATGAGCAAGGCTAGAGCTTGGATGAGGATGAAGAGACTCGCCGATTGTCAATAGATCAACAATGTCGTCGGTCAGCAGGGATCGATCTCGAAGGCAGATGAAGATACTCACAAGCTGTCAACGGGGATTTGTAATGTCCGAACTCGACCAAGGATCAATGTGCTCACCGTCTTTGAATGCATGGGCGATGTCTTCAACCCACTCACAATCCGTGAACGGATCAGCAGTGTCTTCTGTCAACATGACTGGAGGTCGGTGGAGAATGAACATACTCATATCCTGAAAAAAAAATTGTTGATTGCTTCGATAGACGAGACAGTAGGTAGACAGAGGATGAAAATACTCACAGGCTATCGACGGATCAGAAATTTGTGCGGTTACTACGATTAAAGATCGGTGGGGGATGAATACACTCATATCCTGCTTATAGATCGGCAATTTCAGTCAGAAAGCCTCGAACTCGACAAAGGATCACTACACTCACCATCTGTGAACGGATGGGCAATGTCTTCACTCAGCAAGGCTCAAGCTCGAGGAGGATCAACACAACTTGTGCACTGAACAGTGGGCAATGGCTTCGATCAGTATGGCTCGAGCTCGAAGGATGAACAAGGCATCCACACGCTATGACCAGTGGGCAATGACTCCGATCAGAATGCCTCGAGCTCGAAAGAGGATCAAACACTCTCAACCTTGGAACGCTGAACAATGAATGTCGATCAGCCCGCCTCGAGCTCAAGGGGGAATTAATATAGTCACATGCTACGAACAGTGAGAAATGATTTCGATCACCACAGCTTGATCTCGAGGGAGGATCGACATATGCACAGCCTGCGAATGGTAGGATATGACTTCTATCAGCATAATTCGGGTTTGAAGGAAGGCTAACGCACTCATTTCCTACGAACAGTGATCAATAACTCAATCAGCGTGGCCCGGGCTCCATGGAGAATATACTTACATACTACGAACAGTGGAAAATGAAGTTATTCAGCATGGCTCGAGCTCGAAGAAGGTTCGACACGCTCACAGTCTGAACAATGTACGAGACTTCGATCAACATGGCTCGAGCTCGAAGGAGTTTGACATATTCACAACCTGCGAACAGTGGTCAATGACTTCGATCAGCAACATGCCAGAGAGGGTCAACAGACGTACTGCCTGCAAGCAACCGCCCACAAAAATGAGAGCAATATTCCAACATTCCAATGATCTTACCAAAATATGCGGAAATTAGACACCTAATGTTTGATTGCCTCCTCATAGCATTCCTATATTCGAAAGCGACTGATTTTTTGTCTTATCTTTGAAGGATCTGCGAGGAAAGGTAAATGTAACAGGGAAACGTTGGCGGTGACTTGAATCACTGCGGTGTGAACTCGGCAAATCATTTACCCAACTTGAAATCAGCATCTGATCCAACGTCAGGGCCTCGCGCCGGAGGCTGATAGCGCTGTTGATGTAATCAATGTCACCGCATTAGTTGAAACTGGTAGATAGAGCGAGCCCTAGGGATTCCAATGAATCGCCAAGATGTTCGTGCCCAACAGGGTGGAGGCACAGCACATCTTGATATAGATGGCCTCATCGATCAAAAGTGTGCCGTCCTGATTATCGCAAGAGTGTACAATAGAGGTCTCAGCGTAAGGGAAGGATGGATGGACACTACAAACGGATGGGAAGGACATATCCACAACACGTTAATAGGTGTGCATGAATGTGAAGCAAGATGTTCACCGAAAGGCTCACCTCCATGATCAAATAGTGTTTCATGACTTCCCATATCCAAGAATTCGAACGAGTTCAAGGACGGCTGATCTCCGCTGATAATTCAGGTGACCCTGTAATGATCTACAAACGGACGATCAGTTCTCGAATCACATCGGAAAGAATTTATGGACTTTGCAAAGTCACAACTTCGCATCTTCAATTCGTCGGAGGATTTTACTCACATGAACGATCTATGAGTCCAGCGCCTTCTCCCATCTTCAAGTCTGATATACCGGCCTTCCCAGCTACCGGACATGATTGTGCAATGAAGCATAATGGCCAGGTGAATTGAGGATGGGCTAAGCGGTAGGTGGAATGAGTAACAGCCTAGTAGGAGAAGACGGGAGGTAGGTATACGGGGACTGTGCATGATGAGAGGGAGGATTGGGGGGTTGAAGAGTTCAGGTCATGCTGCACGCACATTTCCGTTGTCGATGGCAGTGCGGCACGATAGATGCTGGTACGATTACACCAAGCGCCGAGGCCACTAGATGACTGCAGAAGGCGAGCCAGTACTAGAAAAGTGGGCGATGTCATGGTCAGTCACTGCGTCAGCGAAACTGGCACACCAAGGCGTGAGTTTTAGAACAGCGACCTTGCTACCCTCGCCATACGCGCTGTGCTACTCTACCGCTGGCTGATCCTCCCCGTCGTTGACACTCACCTCCATCTTTCTGTGGCTAGCGTTTTATTTAAACTCGTCCCATGACAGAATGATGAGTATATCTCTTAGTGATTACGTTTTCTACAAACGTTACAGCAATCAATATTATGTAATATATCAATGATTTCGGAATCAGCCGGAGTCCAGCCTCCTTCACTCGAACTCTCGTCATGGAATCCCCAATCCTACTCATCATCCACACCGTTTCATATCGTACTAAAAATAGATCAATGATCCTGAGAGCAAGAAGATTGGAGAGACCCCCTGGAGAAAACAATCTTAGCACGAGTGGCATGTGCCCGCGTAGCACGAACACAACTCCATAATGACAGCTAGCAAATATGTGCTTATTCAGCTCATGCTGCTGAGCCAACACCCGTCGTCATCAGCCAGACGATAAGCCATCTTCGTTTGTTTCTTCCTCATCAGATTGACATCGCTCGTGAGTCGTGGCTGGGAATATGGACGCGCCTGCGGAGGGGGAAGTGCATACTGTCCTGCTGATTCACTTGTCGCGCGCGCCGCCTACCATGATGCAACAACGGGATAGCAGACGAAGAAGATTTGGTGAGTCGCGGTATTGCCAATTTCAGCTGGGGGTATCAGTTTGATGTTGCCAACAGCTACATCTCCTCGGCACGCACCTTTTTGATACTCTGCTCTCGTGTTTATCTGAGTAGCATCGACCATCCCTCCGCGTCCGGCATATGAAGGTGGTTCCAATCAACACCTCCCTTCCGAGGATTCAGCGAGAGTCATTTCGAATGTCAGTATGGCACTAGCGCGATGAATCGACACCCTCTGCCAACAGCTTGGCGATTCCTTGTGTCAGCGTGACTCGAGCCCGCTGAAGGCTCGACAATTTTGTCGATATCTTAAACTGCACGCTGGATTCCGGACAACTGAGGGAGGGCGTCATTGTCGTCGGACGTAGCAAGCTCACATGTGGGATTCAGACGTTGGACTGATCAAGCAGGCAAGTGTTTCCTTATGTTACTCTGTAGACGCTCGTACGCTTATGAGACATGCATAAAAATGCCAAAGTAATAACGCCCAGCACTGCAAATTTCTCCGTAAACCTGATGGAGACATCCTCTAAGTCCTTTTTTGTTCGCTGAAATCGTCTCAGTCCCTCGAAAAGATGCATCCAGAATCCAGCGTATAATGTGTTGGTCGATAAACTTGTCATCTATTGAAAACCAGAATGATGGAATTCTGACCGGGGGGCCTGGGGTGCACAGAGCGCAAATGCTTAACATATGAGAGATTAGTACGTCCGCCTTGACTCAGAGCCATGATCACCAGCACGCTATCCCTGCAAAGAATGACAGCTGGACATTTTCAAGGTGCGTCCGCTGCTTGAAGTCCATGGCCATTATCCTCCAAGTTGCAGTCTTTCCAGAGGTCCTATCCAGCCACTAGCTAAAGTCACTGACGTTGTCGGGGACGTTCCATGTGTCTATAGTGTAATTCTCAAATGACAATAAACGGATTTCTTTTAAAATTGATGCAAGTTGAGAAAAGCTGCGGGGCTGGATGGAGGAATTAGGACTCGCTTAGTGCACTTGGAATGGGAGGTACACCAAGCCCAGTAGACCTCACCGTCCCAGCCGAGGGTGATCAACATGCTGCAAACGCGTATACGCCACACCAGAAAAAATGACATATTGCGTGATCATACAGTTCTGCCTCATCATACTACCTCGACAGGCCATTCAAGAAACCCTCATTCACCGCCAAGACACCTCAGCTCTACTCCGAATCGGAACACCATTGACGTTGAGTCGCATTAGGGTCTTGCTGAAGACAAAGAGGTCAGCAACACTGCTATAATCCCAATAGTTGAAACATACGCAGGCGATGCTGTAAAGTGATGTCGAGAATTCTCTGTAACAACTCCGCCTTCGCCTGAGAGCAAACAGATTGTTTCGCTTCCTCCTGAGAGCGGTGAAAAGCTTGTTTAGCTTCCGCCTGAGACCGTTCAGAAGCCCGTTTCGCCTTCCTCTGGAAGTATTCAAACGGTAACTTCGCCATCAAAGTAGACGAGTTTCCTTGAGATGTATACACGGCAGCGCTCACAGCTTCTTGATAGGCGTGAACGGCAGTGCTTACAGCCTCTCGATATGTGAGGACGGGAGTGTTGACACCTTCCCTGACGGCAGCTGCATGCGGAGATGCCATGTACTGCTCGAGAGCCTCAATAAACGAGGGAACAGGCCGCTGCCGGTCCTTAAGATAGCGCCGCTTTTCGAAAACGTAGAAAGAGTGTTCGAAAATAATGACGGCAGCTAAATGATCGATAAGAAGCAAGTTCATTTAAACATGGCTTTAACATTCACCAGAACTGAGCTCAACAATTGTTTCCAATGGTGATGAGCCAGGGGCCTGGCACATTACAACATCAAAATTGCGTGTACAGTCTGCAAGCAATTGGACATACCACAGAGAGTATCCTACACTGCATCTCTGCACATTGACCACTATCGAGCTGGTAAAATAATGATGGAAAGTTGAAAATCATCTCCCTCTGCTGAGGACCAATACACTCACATCCTGTCAATGAATAATGTGTTCGGTCAGCATGGCTCGAGGCAAAAGAAGGATGAACAAACTCACCTCCTATCAATGGATCAGCGATGTCGTTAGTGAGAAAGGCTCGAGGGATCGGACACTCACAGTCTGTTAAGGGATGCGTAATGTGAGTGATAAGCAAAGCTCGAGCTCCACGGAGGATTAAAACACTGACCGCCTGTGAGTGAACGAGCAATGTCACAAGTAAGCAAGGCTCGAGATCGAGAACAAAAATACACCCACATACTGTCAACATGGATCAGCCATGTCACGGGCCAGCAATGCTGGAGCTCGACAGAGGATTGATGCGCTCACAATCTGTGAACGGTGGGCGATGTCTTCCGTCAGCATGGCTAGAGCTTGACGGCGGATCGACCAACTCACATCCTGTGAATGGGTGTGCGATGTCTTCAGCAAGCATGGCTCGAACTTGACGGCGGATAGACCAACTCACAATCTGTCAACGAATCACCAAACGTACTTGGTCAGCAGGGCTTAAGGTCAACAGCGAATGAAGAGACTCACACCCTGACAATGGATCAACAATTGCATCAGTGAGCAGGGCAGGAGGCCGACAGAGGATGATCACGCTTACAAGCTATCAACGAATCAGGAATTCTGTCGGTGAGTATAACTCAAGGCCGGTGGAGGATGAATATACTCACATTCTGCCGATGGATCACCAATTCCTTCACTTAGCAAGACTGGAGCTCGAAGAAGGATCAAGACTCACATCCTGTCAACGGATGGGCAACGACTTGGATCAGCATGACTCGAGCTCGAAGGAGGATCAAGACACTCACAGCCTGCGAAGAGGGGGCAACGACTTAGATCAGCATGACTCGAGGTCGAAGGATGATCAAGACACTCACACCCTGCGAAGCGTGGGCAACGACTTAAATCAGCATGGCTCGAGGTCGAAGGAGGATCAAGACACTCACAGTCTGCGAAGAGGGGGCAACAACTTGGATCAGCATGGCTCGAGCCCGAAGGAGCATCAAGACACTCACCACCTGCGTAGAGTGGGCAATGACTTGGATCAGCATGGCTCGAGCTCGAAGGAGGATCAAGACACTCACAGCCTGTGAAGAGTCGGCAACGACTCGGATCAGCATGGTTCCAGCTCCAAGGAGGATTAAGACACTCACAGCCTGCGAAGAGTCGGCAACGACTTGGATCAGCATGCCTCGAGCTCGAAGGAGGATCAAGACACTCACGTCCTGCGAAGAGTGGGCAACGACTTGGATCAGCATGGCTCGAGCTCGATGGAGGATCAAGACACTCACGTACTGCGAAGAGTCGGCAACAACTTAGATCAGCATGTCTCGAGCTCGAAGGAGGATCAAGACACTCACACCCTGCGAAGAGTCGGCAACGACTTGGATCAGCATGGCTTGAAGGAGGATCAAGACACTCACACCCTGCGAAGAGTGGGCAACGACTTAAATCAGCATGGCTCGAGGTCGAAGGAGGATCAAGACACTTACACCCTGCGAAGAGTGGGCAACGACTAGGATCAGCATGGCTCGAGGTCGAATGAGGATTAAGACACTCACATACTGCGAAGAGTGGGCAACGACTTGGATTAGCATGGCTCGAGCTCGAAGGAGGATCAACAGACGTACTACCTGTAAAAAAACACCCAGTATAAATGAGAGCAACTTGCGAACATTCCCGTAATCTTACCCAAATATGTGGAAACCAACATCCCAATGTAGCTATTGCCACATCCGCAGATAAGGGAATCACATTTGGGGCAACAAGCTCTGCAAGTGTCCTGGATGATAGTCAATAATGCTCGCGGCAGGCAAATGATAGGTAGATACTTCTCAACTGCATATTTCATGCAGAGTTCCAAGTTGGTCTGCTGAGTCGAGACGAATAATTGCTGAAGGACTTGATCATCCAGGGTTTCAGCGGTCCGTTCGATGAGTGGCCCGCAATCAGCATCATCCTTGTTCATGTCTAATGGATCAACAGTCATCAGGTATCAGACTTCCATGATCTGCAGCTTACCTGGGAGGCAGACGTGGCATTTCGGAGGCCGTTGTATGGTCTTGGGGTCATATAGAAACTTTACTTGTGACCCGTTCGCAAATGTCTTTTCGGCATGTGTCGGGGCCAGTTTCTTGGCGTCCTTCCTCGATGTTCCGTTTTCTATCAGTCGTGCGAATTCGACATCGTAGAGGGCATCAAATTTCGTAAATAGTACGATGACCGGAACTGAGAATCCAAGTTGCGAATCAGTCTATGATTAACGGACAGGTCCAAACTTACTGCTTCCGGTGTCGCAGCGGGAGAAGAATTTGTGTTCGGCTTCAGTGAAACACCGGCTTGCCTGATCCATTGGTATGCAATACCTACGCAAAGAAGTGAGCCAGTACATATCGCCAACTCAACCAATTATACCATATGGTGTGAATTCGATTCTTCATATTTGCTTCCTTCGAACGGGCTTTGATGAATGTGTTCACCTTGTCATACTCGGATTCGCCGCCTGCTTCAAACCCGCGTGAATCGTGAAAGATGAAGCCTGGATTCTTTGGAAACACCAATTCATTCTCGATGTCGTGCTCTCCACGCTGAGATAAAGTCGGTTCATGTTGCCAACTGATGGTAGTACACGTTACCTCTCTTGATGCAGTCAAAAGAGCGGCATCGATCTGATGTCGACGAAATAGTGATCACTATCAGTCTCGTATTAGCATCATGATGCGCACCTTTTCCCCAGCGCTATTAAATATTTCTGGGTTCCCTTTGGTATTGCAAACCCTCTGGAGGATGGTAGTTTTCCCCGCATTCGCTCTTCCTATGATGAGGATTCGAAAGCGATTGATCTTCTTTTTTATATCTGAAGGATCCATGAAGAAAGGTGAATGATAGTAAAGGGACTGAGCGGTGAGAATTGTCCAGCGCTAGCGCTGAGAGTAGACTTATAGCCGCTCAGGTACTCCGCTACGAGCGCTCTCTTGCTTGTCAAATTTAGATCCAGCAATAGGTTGTGCGTACCATGAGGCACAAACAATTCGCCTTAGGACAGACCAAGAGTAGGAATGGAGTTGAGGTGAAAGGTTAGTGATTATGCAGTGTATCCTGCACGATTCATACTCTAGAGTCCAATTGATCTGAAGCCATCATGATGATGAATGAGAAGTGTCGTGGGAATAAAGGTAGCTTGTCTCTTCACTTCCTGCGTTACAGAATCCTGGACGCACCGTCTCCACAACTTGAGTACAACCAGCTGACGAGCTCATTATACAGCCATCATGATATCCCCCGGGAATGTCACCTTTGCCACCCTCGAAGTGACGATACAGGCCATGGAAATAGGTAAAATTCAAGTGGTATGTCTATACGACGCTATTTTTTTTGATCATGTCCAACTCTTCGCCAGCCCGGCCCAGCCACCTGTATGGGACACACACGGGCTTCAAGTATCTTTCAACGTCTTTCCAATTTGCCACTCTCTCGGCCTTTACCTAGCTAGTTTCTTCAACCTTTCACGATTGTCATACTCCTGAAGTGGAACATCGATGCGTTCTTCAAATATATCTCGAAGTAAGTGCATAGCAAGTGCATTGAATAATGGTACGCCATGTTACTGATACTCAAACTTGATTCGCAACGTAGGTACCACATCACGACCGTAAACCTCGTCCCGTCACTTGCACACCAACTTGTTCACCATCCATGGTTCAAATTGCCAATTTGAGCTCGATTAAAGGAATTGGCTGTGGGGCTGCGCACCTCCATCCCCGGCTCGCCGGCCAGCTTCATGCCCATTTCCGAGCCATGAAAAATGTTTCTAAAGGTGCACTCTCCATTTTCTACCTTTGGGTGGATCATTGTAGCAATGCTTGTTTTCACAGACTACGGCTTATCCGAATTCCCTGTACTCTTCACCCCCTGAGCTCACTGCCCGGGGTAGGCAGTAGCGATCTCCATGAAACTCGTTCATGGCATGCCCAACGAACGTGCCAAGAACAAGCTCGGTTCTGTTGGAATCCTTGATTGTCCCTGGCGCCACAGGACTTATTTCAGGAACGTGTATCTCTCCCGTTGAATTCGAGGACATGCTCCTTGCTAACCCAGACAAGCTCACCACTGAGGTGTCCGTCACAGGCGTTTTAGGCGGCGCATATGGTCGATTCGTTAAGTTGATACAATCATATAGCATCAGTGCAGAGGAAATGTCTGGTCTTCGGGTAAATATTCCAGCTATGGGTTCATTACCAGATGAACCATGGGAAGACAAGAAGGTGTAGCACTGGATTCTTTCTCTTATTCATGATTTGCAGCACTGGCGGGTTTTGTCTAAGTGTTTACGAGATTGCTTTGGATTATCATTTGTACTGTGCAAATATGGCTGGCTCGAGATATTGTATCTACATACCTGGGGACTGGATTCAGAGGAACGACGGCTGATAACAAAAGACGTGTCATGACATTGACACATCTGGGCAACCTTACGAAGGAATAATCATTTCCCTTCAGTTTGCCTGAGCAGGCCATCAATGAGAATATGTCGTACAGCTAACTTTTATGGTACAGGACACTAGAGGGAGGACAACAGCCCAGCCAACGCAGAGGTCAGTCTTGAAGGGGGAGATTCTCGCTGATATGGTGGAGGCGGTTCGACTGTCGGACGATAGCGCGTGAACTTGACGTTTTGACCTATAGCTGCGTGGCATACGATATATCCCGCTCCTTCATCGTCCTTGCCTCGTTTACTCCTCACATCGCAATCTGCCTGCCCGCCTGAAGCAGTGGAAAGAGGGGTATGACCACTGAACGCTGAACAACATTGATGAGTGATGCTACGAAGCAATTCTCATTTGCCTTCGCCCCGACATGTTGCAGTCGTCCCAACGCCTGTCCCGACAAACATACTTTTTCAGCAATCACACGCAAGATTGGAGATGTAGATAGACAAACATCACCTACACGATAGAAAGAAAACAAGTATCGTTGTGGCAGCTTGCTCATGTGTCATCTTAGCTATCTGGAAACACATTAGATTGAGGGCGTTAGCTAATCGCAGAAATCACAAGCTTTGCCTCGTTTTGGTTTTGCGAACAGATAAGTTCATCTTAGGCCGTTGTCAAGCATGGCCAGTAACTGAACATGCCCTAGACTTTCGGGACGAAACGTTCAGGATGCAGGGTATCAGGGAAGTTGACAGAATATTACTTACTGGCGACATGTAAAAGCCTCGATGACAAAGTGTCCTAGACTACGGATGAGCACACCGGGGAGACTAGCCTGTTTCTACAGTTTAATTGAAAGGGTACCTAGAGTGCTCTGGCAAAGTATAGACTCACCTTTGACTGGAAACCCCCGCCGATATGCAGCTAGCTGAGCACGCGATAAAGGGTGGATCCCACATACATGGTGCAGAACAAGTGAGAATTGAAGGGGTGCATAGGACATAAGAGTACATTATCCTGTTACCTGCGAATGAATGGAGTTCACCAAGATGCCAGTTGATCGTCGGGGTAAGATTTGGTTCAGCATCGCGGGCGTGGATATTCGGTGGGAAGTTGAAGGTGCCAGTGAGACTAGTTGAGTCATGAGGATATGTGCGAAGACTGTAGAATGCATGCGGAGGCGTATGGACTCTGGGAAGGTAAAAATGAAGACAAAAAACTCGTAAAAACAGGAAGACCAAAACTCACTGTAATAGTTGACATCCTTTGCAACAGTGAATAAACGATAGTGCGACGAAAGAGTGTCGCAGACGTTCTCGTACGATAGTCAGCTTACGACTGTAACCGTACATCCTGCATGACAGCCGTCCACATACAGTGATATGTGGGACCTAAACGTCCAAGCACCGTAACCGTCAACTTGAAGTTTAGATTACTGATGGTACGGCTACGGTCACCGCATAACGGCCCCGTATATGCTATAGCCACGCCATACGGCGTGGGGTGAACAGCCTTATGGCACATGAGAATCGCAACGGGAGAGATGGGTCAGTAAAACAGAAGGCGGAAGACAATGTATACTATGTCATGGGGCGCGTTGGGTAAGAAAGCAGGTGAACTGCGACTTTGAAGTAGGAGAAGACTGGACCAATGCTTTGTAGTTAGGTACCCGAAGAAAATCGAGCAGTGAGGATAGGAAGGGCTGTATCACACTACTTCACGGTTGAGAGCTGAACTCGCAGGAGAACCGATTTGCCACGTACCATTACCAACACAAGCAGCTTACTCATCCAACGTTAGGACCTCGTGCTGGAGGTTGATAGCGCAGTCGATGCCATCAATGTCGCCGCATTAGTTGAAACGGATGAATAGAGTGTGCCCAAGGGATTCCAATAAATCGCCAAAATGTTTGTGCCCAACAGGGTGGAGGCACAGCACTTCTTCGTATAGAGAGAGATGGCCTTGTCGATCAACAGTGTGCCGTCCTGGTTATCGCAGTCGTGTAAAATAGAGGCTTTAGCGTAAGGGAAGGAAGGAAGGACACCACAAACGGATGGGAAGGACAGATCTACGACACGTTAACAGATGTGCATGAATATAAAAGAAAATATTTACCGAAAAGCTTATCTGCATGATCGAACAGTGTTTTATGATTTCCAACAACTTCCCCATAGCCTAAAATTCTATCGAGTTCATAGGACTCAGGTGACTTGTGTAATGATCTACAAACGGACAATCAGTTCTCGAATCGCATTCAAAAGCATTTATGGACCTTACAAAGTCACAACATCGCCCAATACGTCGATTCGTCGGATGAAGGCACTCAGATGACTGATCTCCAGCGCCTCCTCCCATGTTCAAGTCTGATATACAGGCTTTCCCGGCCACCGGACTTGATTGTGTGATGAAACATAATGACCAGGGGAATTGAGGATGGGCTAAGCGGTGGGTGAATGAGTGATATGATAAGACGGGAGGTAGGTACACGGGGACTGTATGAAGTTCAGACGAGAGGGAGTGGAGAAGTGGTTGAGAGTTCATGCTGCACGTGTATTTCCGTTGTCGATGGCAGTTCGATAAGAGCGAGAGCATGGAAAGACCAGCACCAGTGTGCGAAAGCATGACAGGTCGGATTCAGATGCAAGATGGGATATACGAATGCAGTGGACAATACAATGAGTGACGAAGAGCGTGATTTCGACCTGGAAAGAGTCAGAATGAGCAAAGAGCGGTGGGAAACAACATTTTACGGTACATAGCTAGTATGTCTGCTATGCCGCAACAAGCTGACATCGTTTGCTGAGCAGTTGGGGATTCTATCTGTATAAGGCCCGGGGGCTGGTGTCGCTTATATCCAGCAGCGCACCATCCTGATGTCCACGAGTCTGTAGATCAGCGACCTTCAGTGTGAAAGAAGGGTGGACACTACAACTGGGTGAAAGGGAGGGTTTTTACAACGATTGAACAGATGTACATGAATGCAAAACGAACTACTCACCGAATGGTTCATCAAGTCGCCATTGATGGCATGGCTATATGGAAAGAAGGAACTTGATATTTGTCCGCTGTGACTGTGGATAGGATGAGAAGATCATAAAATGAATACCAATGTATGGAGTTACCCACCTGCAAGCTTCGAGCCTAATCGCTTCTTGGACCAATACCAAGTGGCACCCCCGAGAAGGACCCCGGAACACCTCCAACCCAGCATCGCGCCCATCGGCGTCGACGCTACCCAAGCCTTCTCTCCTGCATACTGCCTATAGAATAGAATCATAATATCAATAGACTAAACCCACAAAAACAAAAACAAAAACAAAAAGACCATAAAAACAGTATGCCGATACAAAACGGTACACAAGAACCAGGAAAAAGAACATCCTCGAGACTAGCTATGAACGAAGTGATGCAAGGCTACAAGGGAGAGGTTAAAGACCTAGTGAGTGCTAAAAGCTTCATGGATAGAACGGCCCTAGCCATCAGCGGCAAACCGTATTCGGCTGAAAACTTGTCAGATATACTCTTCCACGTTGCTCAACTAGCGGGAGTATCCAACCAGGCCCAAGCAGCTATCAAAGCAGTAGCGTACATATTCGAAGAGATGGCAGCAATAGAAATGGCAAAAGCAATAGCCAACAATGTCATATCAGCCATATCGCCCCATATCGCAAAGATCCTCGAAACCTCCGAAAACCTAGCCGCCTCAGTAACACAACTCAAAGACATACAAACCAAACTAGATGAAACCGCCAAAACAACCAAAGAATCAGAAAACAACACCATCGAAGCGACATCCATCGATAGCAGACTAGAAAAGATGCAGGACGCTGTAGTAACACTCACCACTCAAATCAAGGACTCGACACAGAAAGGAGGCTACAAAGCGGCACTCATGTCAGGAATCGAAAACGACGACGCAAACCCTCAACTCACAAGAATAGCTGCAAGAGATGCGATTAAGGCCCGGCAAATCCTCATCAACGCTGCTCAAGATGGCCCGATCGCTCCAGACAAGACATCGCACGCGCAATTAGTAGAAAAGATCAAAGCGGCCCTAAAAGCAATAACGAAGGAAGGCAACAAGACACTAGAAATGAGAGCGGTCACACAATACAGAAATGGAGGAACGATCATAGAAATGCTCACCGAAGAAGACGCGAAATACCTCAAACAATCTGAAAACAAAGAAGAATTCATCAAGCATCTAGACCCGAAGGCGACATTCAAAGAGAGGGCCTACCCGGTAATTATTCAATTTGCTCCGCTAACGTTCGATCCAGACGATATAGAACAAATCCGAGAATTAGAACGCGAAAACAACTGGGAGCAAGAAACAATCACCATGGCGAGATGGGTGAAACCACCAAACAAAAGAACAAACCACCAACAAGTAGCGCATATAATGCTAACGATGAAGGACCCCAAATCAGCAAACGACGGCATAAGGAACGGTGTAACGCTCAATCAAGCACGACTACAAATGAAGAAGAACAAGAGAGAACCAATAAGATGCGCTAAGTGCCAAAACTATGGCCATATTGCCCGCGAATGCTTATCACACCATGACACGTGTGCAAACTGCTCAGAAAATCACAGAACCAACGAATGCGACAACAGGAACAAAAGAAGATGCACCGCATGTCAAATAGAAGGTCACGCAAGTTGGGAACGAAGCTGCCCCACATTCGAGCGAAAATGTATAGATACCGACACGAGACACCCCGAAAACACGATGCCATACTACCCTACGGACGAGCCATGGACACAAGTCTCCTTACCCCCCAAAGCACCCACCCGCATCAACACTCCTCCTCCCCAAGAACCGCCACCCCGGCCCCAACCCAGATACCAAGAAACCCTAGACCGCCACATCAACACAAGAGGGACAAGACCCATGAGAGGTACCTCACACCTTCATAACACCGGCTTCGCAGCCCGCAGAACATATAGCCCCCGCCTCGCAAACGCAAGAACACCCCAACCCTCCCCATCCATATGTCTAATACACCAGACAATCAAGCAGTAAGACTACGAATCTTGCAAGAGAACTTAAACAAATCCGATACCGCCCAACACTGCATCCTAAGCGGTCCCTTTACAGCAAAAGCATACGATATAGTCGCCCTACAAGAACCTTACATCGACACGCTGGGCAACACGAAAGCCACTCCCGATTGGAACGTTATTTACCCTTCCCACAGATACTCTCATCAAAACCGCTCTCGCGCCGTCACATTAATCCACAAACGGCTCAACACGAACAACTGGAGGCAGTTACATTTCCCATCCCCAGACGTCGTAGTCGTCCAAATGCAAGGTATCTTCGGGAAGATTACAATTATCAACGTATACGACGACTGCAAAAAGAGAGAAGTCATCCCGGCCCTAACGACTTTTCTGGAACGCGAGTCCCGCAACATACGCTCATCACCCAACGACCACCTAATCATTCTTGGAGACTTCAACGCACACCATCAGCTCTGGGAAGAACCACGAAATAATCACCTTTGCACGAGCCCAGAAGCGCAAGAAACGGCTCAGCGGATAATCGAATTAATGGCCGACTACGACCTCCAAATGGCACTGCCTAAAGATAAGCCGACGCTCCAGTCAACAAGTAGTGGCAACTGGACTAGACCAGATAACGTGTTTTGTACTTCTCATACTCTACATTCGTTCACTTTATGCGATACAGCCCCGAGACGTCGCCCGCCATGCACTGATCATGTCCCAATCTACAGCACGCTTGACCTCGACATCCCACGCGCAACTACCTCGATCAGCCCTAACTACAGAGACGTAGATTGGGACGAATTCCGTGGAGCGCTAACCAGGAACCTCGCCGACATACCACCACCAACCATCATAACGACTGAAGAACAATTCCAACGCGCGGCAGCCGATCTCAGCAACGCAATCAAGCGCACAGTGGAGGAAAAAGTGCCGAAGTCCAAGCCAAGCCCCCACGCTAAGCGATGGTGGACGAAGGAGCTGACGCAGATGCTAAAAAGGAAGAACGAGCTAAGTGGTCAATCATATAAACTTAGAGCATTACCTGAGCATCGCATCCACGAAGAACATCGACAGTATCGCAACCACGTCACTGAGACAATCCGACGCACACGACAAGAACACTGGATCGATTATCTCGAAAACCTCGATCAACAAAGCATCTACACCGCCAATAGATACGTATCCACCCCCTACGGCGACGGAGGAAGAACTGGGGTCCCAGTATTGAAGACCAAGAACCCGGACGGTAGTATATCAGAAGCAATCACTAACAACGAAAAGAGCAAGGCCCTAGCTGACGCATTCTTCCCTCCCCCCCCTTTAGCTAGCTCAGTCCCCGCCGGCTTCAACTACCCAGAACCAATCACGCCATTCATGAAGATCACCGAAACGCACATAACGAAAGCGATCACGAACACTAGCGGATACAAAGCCCCAGGACCAGATGGTATATGCAACATAGTATTCAAGATGACCTCGACCATCCTCACCCCATTCTTACACCGGCTCTTCAATGCAGTATTTACCCTCAACACCTATTATGACCCATGGCGAGAATTCACGACAGTAGTACTAAGGAAACCGGGAAAGGCGGACTACTCGATCCCGAAAGCGTATCGTCCCATAGCCCTCATTAATACTACGTGCAAGCTACTAACGTCGATTATAGCAGATCAGGTCACATCAATCCTCGAAACTCACAACCTCCTACCGAACACCCACTTTGGCGGACGCCCAGGCAGGACCACAACCGACTCCATACACATCCTCGAATCTACTATCAAGAACGCGTGGCGAAACGGAAACGTCGCATCCGTCCTCTTCTTAGACATAGAAGGTGCTTTCCCCAATGCGGTGACGGACAGGCTAGCGCACAACATGAAGAAAAGGCGTCTCCCCCCAGAAATCATTCAATTCACTGTACGTATGCTAACAGGATGCAAGACCCAACTCCGCTTCAACGACTCAACATCACAATGGATCAACGTACGAAATGGAATTGGTCAAGGAGACCCATTATCGATGATAGCTTACCTGATATACAACGCCGACCTCATCGATATCGCCGAGCCATGCAACAAAGAAACGGCACTGGCGTTCGTGGACGACACAGCATATATAGCCGTTGGACCGACATTCGAAGATACGCACAGGACCCTCAAGAATATGATGGAGAAACCGAACGGAGCTTTACAATGGTCGAAAGACCATAATTCTAAATTCGAAGTAAATAAATTTGCGCTAATTGATTTCACACACAGTAAAACTCGAAACCGCCCCCCACTCATCATTCAAAACACGACCATCACACCTACCGACCACCATCGATTCCTAGGCCTACTGGTAGATCAAGAACTCTCATGGAAACAACACGCTGGACACGCCATCGCCAAGGGCACCGAATACATCCTTCAATTAAGACGTCTTTCAAGATCAGCCAATGGGGTATCCCCGAAACTAATGCGCCAGTTATATCTAACGGTAGCCGTACCAAAATTCACATACGGAGCAAGCATCTGGTTCAGACCAATATACCACAGCGGATCAGCCAAGGAACAAAGAGGGTCGAAAGGAATAGCTAAGAAGTTAGCGAGGATACAGAGACTAGCCACGCTAAGTATCACTGGCGCAATGAACACAACCGCAACTGACCTTCTAGATAATCATGCAAACCTACTACCAATGTCCCTTCTCCTCCAGAAGACATGCTACCGAGCCGCTATCAGACTAGCCACCCTACCCTCACATCATCCCCTCCACAAACCCCTGCGACATATCGTTAAGCACCGCAACATAGCCCGCCATAGATCCTCCCTTCACAATCTCATCCAAGCATTCAACATATCACCAGACGACATTGAAACACTCGACCCTACCAAGAAAGCCAGCACGAGACCACCAAATGCTTATAACATCCACATCACGCGCAAAGAGAAGGAAGCAATCGACGAACAAAAGAAGCTCAAGGACGAAGTCCAAATTTTCACAGACGGGTCGGGACATAACGGAAAGATCGGAGCAGCGGCGGTGCTCCTAAGAACAGGGAAGGCCCCAAGAACCCTCAAATACCACCTAGGAACCGACCGTCAGCATACGGTATTCGAAGCAGAGGTAGTAGGAATGACACTCGCAGCAAAACTGATGGCCACCGAACGGGACATGACCTACCCAGCGTCAATTTTCATAGACAACCAAGCAGCAATATTATCGGGTGAGAATTCCTATACGAAATCAGGCAGTTACTTAGTAGATCAATTTTGTAGCATGACAAATCTACTAGCAGATAACAGACGAACTCGCGGACTCAACTTTGACCTTACGCTAAGATGGATACCTGGGCATAAAGGAGTAGATGGAAATGAGCTAGCGGACAAGGCGGCGAAAGAAGCGGCTGAAGGAAAGAGAAACTCAAGCATGCGGGAAAGACTACCAACCTACCTCCAGAACGAGGAGCTACCGGACAGTGTATCAGCATTAACGCAATGGCACCAAGATGAGATCAACAAGAAATGGTCAACGATGTGGAAGAAATCACCAAGACATGCACGAGCATCCATCATAGACCCAAGCATGCCATCTAACAAGTTCATCAAGCTCATTGCTACACTCCCAAAACGTCAAGCAAGTATCTACACCCAATTACGCACTCGCCACGCCCCACTCAATCAACACCTGCATCGCATTGGAAAGAGCATAACCCCAAACTGCCCTACTTGCCCCGGCATCGAAGAAACAGTACCACATTTCCTCCTTGATTGCCCACAATACACGCGAGAACGACACGTCCTATCAAACGCCCTACGCCGCAAAGCTAACTCCATCACCTATCTCCTCACCTCGGACAAAGCAACCAGCCCGCTCATGAGATATATCAGCAACACAGGAAGATTTAAACGCACACTCGGTGAGATATCGGACGCTTAGAACAATTGTACACTCACGCACGACGAAACTAACAGATAAACATCAAACATCATCGCCATCATCAATCCACACGAACATAAATACCTCAAACACATACCCAATATACCCAACATATACCCAACGCTCCGAGACTGGATGGAAGGACTCTCGCAGGTCGAAAGTCGATGTATCCCTACATTATTCCCTCTGTACGAAATCAGCGTCGGCCTTTGCCCGACAACAAGCTGATGGAGTACGCGTTCATCATATATCACAAGCCAGACTACACATATACTACGATAGACTAAGCGGGAGTAAGCCCCCCGCGTAAAGGGCTATGTCCGATATAAGGTCAATGACCTCAAAGGACAATAAAACTGATTTAAAAAAAAAAAAAAAGCTTCGAGCCTGATATACTGGCTATAGCAACAAGGAGAGTCGAGGATGGGCAGAGTGACATGGAATGAGTGATAGGATAAGACGTGTGTAGGAATGGAGTTGAGGTGAAAGGTGGAGGTTAATGAGCATCAGTGAAAATGCGAGTCTCAGAGCGTTGATGTGATCTTATGGAGTCTGTTAGCGACCTTTGAATCCACCATGCACTGACATAGTGCAAACGATATCTAAAAACTCGCTGAAAATGACGTCAAGTGCGCGTGATAGAAAAGTAGATTGTAGTATTAGTATGATTAATGAATCTGAAGCCATGGTGGAGGATGACTGAAAGCGTCGTGGAAACAAAGGTGACGGTGTGCAAGAGTATGATGGGCAGCTGCAGGCAAACAAGCAATCTTCCGAGGCCAATTACAGCGCTAGTCACGACTCAAGCTAGCATGTCATCAAGAACGAGATCATAAGGTTTATTTTCTCGACTAGAACTAGAGGTGAATAAGCTACAACTCGATGAGGGCCGAGTAGACAGGGTTCGACCGAGACGTTCAGGCCTGGTGGGAGTCGAAATCAGTTCAATCTTATAAGTTATTAGGGAATGCACGAACCACGGGGGATGGGCGAAATACATGAGCGAAGTGAAGGAGCTGTGTATAGATTCAACAAAATTTCATACGGTGAAGAGAAGGAAAACTTGGACGTATGGTGCCGGACCCCGGTTCCTTCCGAGCATCGCCTCATGACCGTTTCTCACGTAGCTTCTCTGCTTCCTAGTTGAAGTCATCCCACCCTCTATGTCAGTATGGTCATCGAACGACAAAGAGGAAACTAGTTGCAGCTTAGCGCTCAATGATGAGTATCAGTCCAATGGCCGGCGTCTCAGTCGATACGTAGTGATCACGTTTTATAAAAACGTAATCAATAACTCTACTTGACCGGAGTCAGCAGCCTTCAGCCTCCTACACTCGAGCTCTTGTCATGAAATCCCCCCCAAAGTCTACCCAAACACCCGGGCCAGCGCAAGCGACTAGTATTTAGGTTCGCATACACCCACGTGCACACCCAATCCCAACCCCGAGCACCTCGCGTCGCCTCCTCAGCCTTTTCTAAGTAATATGCAAAGCAATGGTAATCCAGCTCCTCTAACTAACACGCCTATTCCCAAGCACCGGCACCAGTAGTCCACACACATCGGGAGGGTATAACCTCCCATCACCTCTACCCTCCAGCACCCAACCCTAGTTCAGAACGAACCCAACTCCATGGCGACAGTTAGCAAACACGGGATTATCCATCTCGCACTGCTCAGCCAACACCCGTCGCCATCAACCAGACAACAGGCATCTTCGTCCTTACCTTCCTCGTCAGATTGTCATCACTCGTGAGGCAAATACGATGCACCGATGGGACAGCAGACTAAGAAACGTGTGGTGAGTTCACATCATTGGCAATCTGGGAGTATCATTTTGATGTTGCCAACAGCTATGTCTCTTCGGCACGCACCTTCTTTATCCTCTGCTCTAGTGTTCATCTGAGTGCCTTGGCCATCCCCTCGCGTCCAGCTTATGCAGGTAGTCCCAATCAACGCCTCCCTTCCGAGGATTTCAGCGCGAGTTGTTTCTGGTGTGAGCATGGCACTAGCGCGATGAATCGACACACTCACTCCCAACAGCTCGGCGATTCCCTGTGTCAGCATGACTCGAGCCCGCTGAAGGCTCGACGATTTCGTCGATATCTTGAACGATGAGCGACATTGCCGTCGGACACAGTAAGCTCACACGTGCAGGATTACAGTCGTTGGACAGATCAAGCAGGCAAGTATTTCCTTATGGTACTCTCCAGACGCGCTCACACGTTTATAGCACATGCATGAAAATAATACAGCAATAACATTTAACGCTGCAATTTTCTCCGTGGACTTGATGCAGACATCCATAAAGTCGGTTTGTCCTTTGTTGTTCGATGGTGTTGTCTCTTGGCCCCTCGAAAAGATGCACCCAGACTCCGGAGTGTGTTGTATGTAGTCAATAAACTCGTCGTGTAGTGAAAACTAGAATGATGGCGTTCTAACGGTGGGCCTTGGGTGCATAGAGCGCACATGCTTAACGTATGTGGGATTAGTGCATCCACCTTGACTTCATAGATGATAACCTCCATGCTGTCCCTGCAAAGAACGTCATTTTCAAGGTGCGTCTGCTGCTTGAAGTCCATGGCCATTATCCACCAAGTTGCAGGCTTTCCAGAGATCCTACCCAGTCACTAGCTAGAGTCACTGACGTTGTCGGGGACGTTCCATGTCTCTCTGTAGAGTATAATTATGAAATGACAATAAACGAGATGTCTTTATGAAAAATTCACGCAAGTTGAGAAACACTGGAGCAGAATGACACGCGGTTCTGACCTGACCAATCGGACCAGAAATACTTGGGAGGTACATCAAGATGCTGTTAAAGAAGACATAGTAAGCCTAACCACTGTCTCAGCTAAATGACCAGCATGCTTCACGCATATATACGCCATACCAGAGAGAAAGTCCCATAATTGCATGATTGTACAAATTTGATGGTGCCACACCCCTCAAAACTTAAACCGTCCTCGACAGACCATTCTAGAAATCCCCATTTGCCTCCAGAATATGACTCCAAGCATCATCTATGCCGTGATTCATTGCCTGGCATCAAGGTCGTGCTGAAGACAAATAAATCAGCGGGATTGCCACAAGCATGAGAGTTAAAACATACGCAGGCGATGTTCTAAAGCGATTTCAAGAATTGTTTCGAGTAAACCCGAGTAATCCTTAGGTTCTCTGTCCTTCCTCCGGAAACGTCCAAACAGTAGCTTTCCTTTCCATTTAGACGAGTTTACTTGATTTGTGTGGATGGCAGTGCCCACAGATTCTTGATATAGGTGAACAGCAGTTTTCACTGCGTCCCTGACAGAAATTGCATGCGGAGACGCTGGAGTAGGGCACCCCCCCGGTAGAGGGTGATCAGGGAGGAGGCACAGTAGGGGCTAGCAGAGTCCAGCAGGGGCTAGCAGGCGAAGACCAGAGCAGCTTAGTCAGCAGGAAGGTCATTTAGGACAACATGTCGTAGTCACGATCATCATCTCCATTCCATCACTGCACAGGCTTACACTAGGGAGCTACCACTCCATCGTGGTGAAGAGAGTGGGATTCGATCGTCGCAACAAGCTTCTGCCGATAATAGAGGTAGAAGCCGATTGGACAACAAAACAGTATTAAACACCAAAAAGAACAACACCAAAAAAGTCAACGAACGCACGTCAAAGTACACGTGCAGAACACAAGGCTTTTAAAAGAACGCAGAGAAAAAATCACGCAATGGGTCCTAGAAGAGCACAAAGAAATTTACCCGAACGAGGACCAAGCGGTCAATTTATCTCTGCTGCAGACAGAAACATAAACTCTTATTCTACTCCGTCATCATTAACAACATCAGCTGACTCGTCCCCTCTAGACACCCCAGAACTCACATCTCGTACATTGGACGAGAATCCATTGGACAACCAGGAGGAAGACGACAAACCAGAATCGCTAGCAGGAGCTCCAGACCCAAGCACCATAACTTGGCCCTCAGAAGAACTCCCATCCCCCACGTTAGAACCAAAAGAGCAAACGACAAGACCAATCCGAAAAACCCCTGTACCAGCTTCGTGACCCACGGTAGCAACACCAACAAGACCAACAACGTTATATCTCCCCAACCCAGCCGCACCACCCAAAATCTCGCAACCGATTAGGCAAACAGTCGCCCAACCACGGAAAATGGCCAACAGCTCCACACCGTCTTGGTTCCATGGGAAACCAGAGGAAAACGCCCAAAACTTCCTGAAAGAAGTTGATCGCTATATCATACTCAACGATCTGAAAATGGAGGCGGCAAAAGTTGTTGTGTTCAGCACACTCCTGTCGGCAGGATCGACTGCAGACTTATGGTGGACCAAGTTAGATAGCTCGAGAAGACAACGTGGGCAGACGTGCAGACCGAGTTCAGCAGTAGATGGCCAGCAATCACGGTCGCAGAGAAAACGGGGCTCGACTACCAGCGCGAGATATTAGCATTACGCATCAATGAAGAGGAAGTGGGAACACAGGTCACAGTAGCAGGAGTCCCAACCTGGGCTCACCTGCAATTCCGCGTCAAAATGCAGCAATTAGTTGCTGAGGCAGGAGCGAACGAGACAGCAGGACTGGTTTATCAAGTCAGGGAGAACCTACCAACCGTAATCAAGGAACTCACCACTCCAGGACTTGCGGATTGGACGAAGTTTTTGGACGAAATCAAGAGCATCGATACGAATAAGCTGAGAGAGAAGGCAGAAGTAGCAAAGAAGAAGAAAGAAAAGGAAAAGGCACAGAACGCTCGACTAACCAGGCTAGAAGGGATGCAGACAGACACAATCGAAGTCTTGCGTCTGCAACTTCAGCGCAGCAACCTGGGAGTCACACCATCCAACATAAACGCACAACTTCCCACCAGCACAACACCTCGTATACGCTACGTACCCAGACCATCAACAACTGGACCACCATCACGACAACGTCAACCACTTTCACAAGAAGAGAAGGACGCACTGTGCAGCCGCATAGCGGAAATCCCCCATCACCCAGACACCCCCGCAGGGTTTACCGCATACGAAGAACAACTCAAACAGTGGTTCACGAAGTACGGACAAGATGGTCGGGTCAATGAGAACACGCAGTTCCCCCTCCGCCCAGGCAGCGCAATGATATGCTCAGGGGAATGCTTCAAGTGTGGATCGCACGGACACATAGCGGGAGTCTGTCCAGCGCCAACGACGTCACAGTTGTCAATTCAGGAGAAGATATGGAGGAGTATTGCGGCACGAGAATTAGGAAACTTCAACCGAGGACTCGCAACGCAAATTGATCTAATGTTTGAAGACGAGTACGTGCATCAATGGGAACAGGGAAAAGGACAAGGGTCGTCAATGTAGAGGAACATCAGACGACCCAAATAGAACAAGTACCTCACCCAGTTGGACAATCAGTCCTCATATGTGAAGAGGCAACATATGAGGACCAACTTATCAGCCGCGTCGAAACAATCCTAAGCACAGATTCTATCACTGTACCAGCATCAGATGAATTATGCGATATCATTGATTTGTATTCGACGGAGGCTATTAAGGAAAACGGTCACCCTAATCAACACTGCCTACCATTCCTGCATCACACATCCTTCATGGGACCGAAAGGCGAGGTCGTACGCGTCCAGGCACTGTTCGACGAGGGTGCCATGATCAGCACCATGTGCACATCAGTTTTCAACCGGATCAAACACAGGTTAGGAAACTGGGGTCCGTCCACGAAATGTCTTCGCATGGCCAACGGAACAATCACCCCATCAGAAGCCGTCTGGAAAGGGGAAGTCGTAATCGGAGGGATCCGAGCGATCGGAGAATTCGAAGTGTTCCAAAGTGGGGGAGGATGGAAGTTTCTCTTCGGAAAACCGCTATTACGAGCGTTCAAGGCAGTCCATGACTACGAGGTCGACGAAGTCATCGTCACAGGAATCGGCGGTACAGCAAAACTACGCAACAGCGCACCTGCACAGTCAAAAGTCGCCACAACGGAAAAAACTGCAGAAACACAGTGTGTAATGGAGGGACGAACAAACAGAGAGAATGAGAAGGACTCACGAAGTACGCGAATAGAAGAGGACATAGAAAACACGATACCAGTATGCATCAACGGGAACGAGGACTCGAGAACACCGGCTGAGTTAGACACGTCACTGAAGGAAATACCTACTGACTTTTTGAAAGATGACGCAGCAACGTTCACACGACTCACGGATCCGCACAACCCAAAGAGAATTGCGTGGATCAACAAACGAGTCCAATATGGCGAAGACTTGACCGCGGAAGAACGAAGCAAGGTAGAGAAGTTAGTGGCAGACTACGCTGACATTTTTGCGTGTTCTTTAGGAGAGGTTATACCAGTCCCAGGGGCAACGCACCGACTGAACATACCAGAAGGGACAACATTCAACCTACGAGTCCACCAGAGACCACTCACGCCACCGTAACTGCAATTCTTGCATGGTAAAGTTGACGAGATGTTGAAGGCGGGGATTATCGAGCACGCACCACCGGAGCTTGTCAAATGCTGCGCAAACACGGTCTTAGCAAAAAAGGCGCACGAGCAGGAAGGAATGACATTGGAAGAGCTCCAACGAGCCGTCAACAACCAATGCCTACGACACGATCAACCCCCAGCGTTTACCCTACCGGAGAAAGAAGTGGACGAAGGCCCCGATAAAGAGAACTCAGCAAACAAACCGCAAAAATGGAGAATATGTCAGAACTTTAACGAAGTCAACCGGGTCACGAACATAGCACCAATGCCCCAAGGAGACATAAGAGCTAAACAATTAAGACTTAGTGGCCACAGGTACGTGTCAGTATTCGATTTCGCATCCGGATTCTACGCTGTCGAAGTTCCAGAAGAGTCAAGACCCTTCACGGGGTTTTTCGTCGAGGGACGAGGGTACTTCTGGTACAAACGAATGCCGATGGGCCTAACGGGCGCGCCATCAACATTCTCCGAAATGACAGCGACTAACCTACACGACATACTAACCGATAGCACAATGGAACTGTTTGTTGACGACGGGGGAGCAGCAGCAGATGCATTGGAGGAGATGATGGTAAAGTTAACGCGAATATTCGAAAGATGTCGCGAGCGCAAGATCTCACTGTCCCCAACCAAATGTCGATTATTCATGACTGAGACCACGTTTGCAGGTGCTACTGTAGGACCCAAAGGAGTACAACCTGACCTAGCGAAACTCACCGCAGTCGTCAACTGGGAACAACCACCGGACGCGTTAAATCTCGAGTCATTTTTGGGACTCACAAGTCATTTCCGAGACTTAATACAAAACTACTCCAGACGAGAGGGACCTCTACGGAATTTAGTCAAGACAGCGCCACTAACAGTTCCATATACGAAGAACACGTACCGACGCACGTTGCGCAGCCTCAAACTACAGGACCTATGGACAGAACAGCACACTAAGGCGTTTTTGGATCTTAAAACGGCGCTAGTATCAAAACCCATACTACAGGCTCCAAGGTACGACGGTTCGAATTTCGTAATGACATCTGATGGCTGCGCTGAAGGTTTTGCAGCGGTCCTGTCACAGAGAACACGCACACAGAATCAAACAGGCAAATGGACCGAGCGACTCCATCCAATAGGATTCGCATCGAAACGAACATCAGCGACGGAACAAAACTACAAGCCCTTCTTGTTGGAGTTCGCAGCCTTAAAATTCGCACTGGATAAGTTTTCGGATATTATTTGGGGGTTCCCGGTAGAGGTCGAGACAGACTGTCAAGCGTTGAAAGACGTCCTAATCAGTAACCGACTAAATGCAGCCCACGCACAATGGCGGGATGGGATATTGGCCCATAACATAGTAGACGTGTGACATGTCCCAGGGAAACTCAACGTAATCGCAGACGGTCTTAGCCGCCAATGGGAAGGCCACCCACGAGATATCAGAATAGTTGATGGGAGCGAGTGGACCGTCAGCGAGGACTGGGAATCTAACTCGGGTTTGGTCAATGATCTATTAATGATATCTACTAACATCGACGAATCTACAGCATCAGACCCACAAACACGCTTCGCGAATGAGCCAGTATTTCTCGAGGTGATCGAGGCGATGCTACAAATCGATCAGGGTAAGGAAGTCCATAACCGGAAACGCGCAAGACACCAAGCATCACAATACCTAATACAAGAAGGGAAACTGTGGCGACTTCGCGGGGGAACAGCGGTGCGAGCACGAACCAAGGTAGAATGTATTATGAGGGAGGAAGCAAAGGAACGGGCGGCAAAACAACATGCAGAAGGGGGTCATTGGGAGAGAGATGCCATCAAAATTGCACTAACTGATAGCATTTACAGTCCAAAACTCGACGCATCCATAATGGCAGCCATCAGCGACTGCGGTAAATGCAAGAACTTCGGTATGCCCCACCTTCACTCCTTATTAGAACCGATAACGCGGCGACACCCGTTTGAGTTGTTAGTAGGGGACTATCTCACACTACCGAAAGCTCGAGGGTACAACACACTGGGAGTATATCTGGACACCTTTTCACAGCACATATGGGCGTTCAAATATAAGTCAACCGGTACCGCAAAAACGACGGTGGACAGTCTAGCTCACATCTTTAGGAATTTCACGGCATCAGAAACATTTATGTCGGACGGCGGCAAACATTTCAATAACACTGCGGTTCAGGACTTCTGCACTAAGTGGAACTGTAAAGCTCATGTAGTGGCTGCTTACTCACCATGGATCAATGGTTTAGTGGAAGGAACAAACAAGATACTCTTGCACGTACTTAAGCGTCTATGCGCCCCGAACCTCGGAGAAGACGATTACAAAGGGTTAGCGTGGGATAGACTTCCATTGAACTGGCCAGATCATCTGGACGACGCCATTACAGCACTCAACTACAGGATACTCCCCGCACTCAAGTTTTCACCCAAAGAGCTACTCTTGGGACAGGTAGTCAACACACCACACGCAGATCTTGACAATTGCACGTCAACACCAAGCACAACAGAAGTAACCACGCACATGGCATACGTGGCACAACAACAACTTGATGGGTACGATGCAGCCGTGCAACACGCAATCAAGAGAAAAGCGGTGTTTGACAAACGTGTTCTCGAGAGAAGCCCAGGTGAGGTCATATTCTATACAGGACAATTGGTTCAGTTCTATCGTAGTAGCATGGATTACACGTTCGAGGCGAAACGGAAGCTGCTACCCAAGTGGTCACCACCCCATAGAATCACAACACGAATACGCAACTCGTACGAACTTGAAACGTTGGGCGGAGAGAGAGTCGCGGGGGAATTCCACGCTAGACGGTTACGCGCATTTATACCGCGAGAAAACACCAAGTTGGCCGATGAACAACAGGTGTTTGAAAGGAATCTAGCAGAAAAACAGAAACGACAAGTAGAGGAATCGAGTGTGGAAGAGATGCCGGGAGAAAGCGAGATCACGGAAGAAGGAGAACAGGAGGACGAAAACCAAGATGAAGAAGGAAGAGATCAGCAAAGAGAGGGGACAACACGAGCAGAAACAGAAGAGGATCACAGGATAGGCGACAAGGACGCCGCCGAGGTTTTTTCAAGGGGGGCACATGGAGTAGGGCACCCCCCGGTAGAGGGTGATCAGGGAGGAGGCACAGTAGGGGCTAGCAGAGTCCAGCAGGGGCTAGCAGGCAAAGACCAGAGCAGCTTAGTCAGCAGGAAGGTCATTTAGGACAACATGTCGTAGTCACGATCATCATCTCCATTCCATCACTGCACAGGCTTACACTAGGGAGCTACCACTCCAACGCCATATACCGCTCGAGAGCGACATGAAAAGAGGGAACAGATTCTTGCTGGTCCTTTAGATGGCGTCGCTGGTCGAAAACGTAGAACGAGTGTTCGAAAATAATGACAGTAGCTAAACGATTGAAAATGAGCAAGTTCAGTGCAATGTGGCCTGAAGAATCACCAGAACGAAGCTGGAAAAATTGCTCGAATGATGATGCACTGGCAGAAGTCTGGTAGATTTAAACATGTGTGTACAGCCTGTGACCAATTGAACGCACCACAGAGAGTATCTTAGACACCATCTCTATACGTTGATCACCGTAAAGCTGAAGTGATGATGGAAGATTAAAAATCGTCACCCTCTGCTGAGGACCAATACACTCACATTCTGTCAATGAATAATGGCTTCGGTCAGAATGGCTCGAGGCCAAAGGAGGATGAACAAACTCACCTCCTATCAATGGATCAGCGATGTCGTTGGTGAGAAAGGGTCGAAGGATCAGACACTCACATTCTGTTAAGGGATGCGCAATGTGAGTGATAAGCAAAGCTGAAGCTCCGCGGACGATGAAAACACTGACTTCCTGTGAGTGAACGAGCAATGCCACAAGTGAGCAAGGCTCGACCTCAACGGCAGAAGAACACACTCACACCCTGTCAACGTGGATTAGCAATTTCACGGGTCAGCAATGCTGGAGCTAGACAGAGGATCGATGCGCTCACCGACTGTGAATGGGTGGGCGATGGCTTCAGTCAGCATGGCTCGAGCTTGACGGCGAATCCACCAACTCACATCCTGTGAACGGGTGGGCGATGTCTTCAGTAAGCATGGCTCGAGCTTGATGGCGGATAGACCAACTCACACTCTTTGAACGGGTGGACAATGTCTTCAGTAAGCATGGCTCGAGCTTGATGGCGGATAGACCAACTCACAATCTGTCAACGAATCAGCCAACGTACTTGGTCAGCTGGGCTCGAAGTGAACAGCAGATGAAAAGACTCACACCCTGACAATGAATCCACGATTGCGTCAGTGAGCAGGGCAAGAGGCTGACAGAGGATGATCACACTTACCAGCTGTGAACGAATCAGGAATTCTGTTGGTGAGTATAACTCAAGGCCAGTGAAGGATGGATATACTCACATTCTGCCGATGGATCAGAAATTCCTTCACTCAGCAAGACTCGAGCTCGAAGAAGGATCGACACTCACATCCTGTCAATGGATGGGCAAAGACTTGGATCAGCATCGCTCGAGCTCAAAGGAGGATCAAGACACTCACACGCTGCGAAGAGTAGGCAACGACTTGGATCAGCAAGACTCGTGCTCGAAGAAGGATGAACACTCACATGCTGTCAACGGATGGGCAACGACTTGGATCAGGATGGCTCGAGCTCAAAGGAGGATCAAGACACTCACAAGCTGCGAAGAGTGGGCAACAACTTGGATCAGCATGGCTCGAGCTCAAAGGAGGATGAAGACACTCACAAACTGCAAAGAGTGGGCAACAACTTGGATCAGCATGGCTCGAGCTCAAAGGAGGATCAAAACACTCACACCCTGCGAAGAGTTGGCAGCGACGTGGATCAGCAAGGCTCGAGCTCGAAGGAGGAGGATCAAGACACTCACACGCTGTGAAGAGTGGGCAACGACTTGGATCAGCATGGCTCGAGGTCGAAGTAGGATCAAGACACTCACACCCTGCGAAGAGTGGGCAACGACTGAAATCAGCATAGCTCGAGGTCGAAGTAGGATCAAGACACTCACACCCTGCGAAGAGTGGGCAACGACTGAAATCAGCATAGCTTGAGCTCAAAGGAGGATCAAGACAATCACATACTGTGAAGAGTGGGCAAAGGCTCGGATCAGCATGGCTCGAGCTTGAAGGAGGATGAAGACACTCACATACTGCGAAGAGTGGGCAACGACTGGAATCAGCATGACTCGAGCTCGAAGGAGGATCAAGACAATCACAAACTGCGAAGAGTGGGCAAAGGCTCGGATCAGCATGCCTCGAGCTCGAAGGAGGATCAACACACTCACCTCCTGCGAAGAGTGGGCAACAACTTGGATCAGCATGGTTCGAGCTCAAAGGAGGATCAAGACACTCACGTTCTGCGAAGAGTGGGCAACGACTGGAATCAGCAAGACTCGTGTTCGAAGAAGGATGAACACTCACATGCTGTCAACGGATGGGCAACGACTTGGATCTGGATGGCTCGAGCTCAAAGCAGCATCAACAGACGTACCACCTGCAAACAAACACCCAACGTAAATGAGAGCAACTTTCGAATATTCCCGTAATCTTACCCAAATATGTGGAAACCAGGATGCCCATGTACCCATTGCATGCTCAGACTCAGATGAGGACACCTTATCTCGGATAACAAACCATGCAAGTGTCCTGGACGATAGTCAATAATGCTCATGGCAGGCAAATGATGGGTAGATACTCAGGCTCCTCAACTGCATATTTCATGCAGAGTTCCAAGTTGGTCCGCTGCGTCGAGACGAACAATTGCTGAAGGACTCCATTGTCCAGAGTTTCAGCGGTCCGTTCGATGAGTGGCCCGCAATCGGCATCATCCTTATTCATGTCTAATGGATCAGCAGTGACCATGTGTCAGAATTCGATGATCTAGAGCTTACTAGGCAGGCAGACATGACATTTTGGAGGCCGTCGGATGGTCTTTGGGTCGTATAGAAACTTGACTTGTGGCCCGTTCTCAAAAGTCTCTTTGGCATGTTTTGGGGCCAGTTGTTTGGCATCTTTCCTCGACATTCTGCTTTCTGTCAGTCGTGTGAATTCAGTGGCGTAGAGTGCATCGAATTTGGTAAATATCATGATGACTGGAACTGGGGAAGTTGCGAATCAGTTGATGATTTCGATTGACAACGGACAGATGCTCAAAGCTTACTGCTTCCGGTGTCGCAGCGGGAGAAGAATTTGGTTTCGGCTTCAGTGAAACACCTGCTTGCCTGATCCATAGGTATGCAATACCTGTGTCAAAGGAGTGAGCCAGTGCACACTGAATGTCGCCAACTTGACTAATTACCATATTGTGTGAATACGATCCTTCATGTTTCCTTCCTTCGAACGGTCTGCGATAAATTTGTTCACCTCGTCGTACTCGGATTCACCGCCTGATTCAAACCCGCGTGAATCGTGGAAGATGAAGCCTGGATTCTTTGGAAACACCATTTCGTTCTCGATGTTGTGCTCTCCGCGCTGAGAAAACGTCAGTTGATGTTGTCCACCGACGGTGCACGTTACCTCTCTGGATGCAATCAAAACAGCGGCATCGATCTGATGTCAACGAAATAGCGATCACTATCAGCCTCGTATTAGCATGATGATGCGCACCTTTTCCCCAGCACTATTGTATATATCTGGATTCTCCTTTGTATTGCACACCCTCTGGAGGATGGTAGTTTTCCCTGCATTCGCTCTTCCTATGATGAGGATTCGAAAGCGATCGATCTTCTTTTTTATTTCTGAAGGATCCATGAAGAAAGGTAAATGGTAGTAATGGGACTGAGCGGTGAGAATTGTTCAGCGCTGAGAGTGGACTTATAACCGCTATCCATGAGCGCTCTCTAGCTTGTCAAATCTAGATCCAGCAAGTGTGAGTTCTGTGTGCGCTCTCAGGCTTGTCAATTATCAACGTCATTCTATTCAGTCTTCCTACTACTAAGTAGGGGGGCAACATCAGCGCGAATGCCACGGATGGGCGAGGTTGGGCATGGGGGTCAGGGCAAGAGACAGTGAAGGTGCGAGGAGCAGCAAGAGTCCTGGTGAGCGCTACTAGCAGAGGCTCGGCATGGGCGCTAGCAGATGTGCAACGGCAGGGACCGGCCGGGTGCTTGACCTTGTACATGAGCTGAAAATAACTTGCCGAGGGGTGGTCACTTGAGGTGGTACCCATGACTTTATCTAACGTTAACAAACGTTAACAATGAAGGTTCAACGTCCGACAGATAACAACCCCATGATCACTAGCCATAAACAGCTGGCAAGTGCGGCACCATGAGGTATCCTTCTATTTGGTTTTCCCTAAGTAGAATTTACCCCCGACGCAGCTAACCACCCAGAAATCTACCGCCACGGTGACCCTTCCCGCACGAAGGAGAGTATATCCCCTAGTGACTAACTTGCCGCATCAGCATGGCCAATTCTTTTCACACCTCAACGGTTCCCTGTCCTCTCCACGTATCTGGTACGCAACTCTCCGCCCATCACTGGCAGCTTCATGGTCAATTTCTCTGAATATATCCAATAGGTTTATCTGTTGATTTCAGCAAGTCGGCAAAGAATGTAGAGTCTGCTCAAGTACGGATCGGCGAGTTGCACACGCCGGTTGAACGTGGAGAAGGAAAGACTTTGCAACACACATTTTCTTCGCCCATGTAGGCACTTGACCTAGACAAGTGTGCTCATCTGAACTGCCATTCCTGCGTTTTCGCAATAGAAAGCTTTCCATTGGGGATTCGTTTTCGTTACATGTGCGCCACAATGCACGGTTCGGAAGAAAGGCCGTTGAAGATATTCAGTTTGATACCAAGGACATCTTCCGCCTGTTTGGTGCAAGTGGAGAACCTGAAACACAAGGTAAAGCTCAAAAAATAATAGTCGCGCTGCCACTAACGTATACAACGCGACATAAACAGAATACACCAAGTCTCACAAAAATTTCACGATCGTCGTCAAGCTTTCTAGGAATGCGGCAACTGAAGTAAGGATCCACCTCTTGTATTAAAACTCAACTAAGTCGTAGATCAGCAGGCTGGGCAGTCTTCTAGTGAACACCCGGCGCTTCAGCCCACCACCGACAAAATCATTCAGATGTGTCCTCGGTGAGTCAAAATAACTATGCAGCACCATTCTTCTGGTTGACACGAGACTCCCCAAGGTTCCGAATTCTAGTGATAGGAAATGTATCAACTTTTGTTTGATCTCACGCCTATGTTGACAACGCAAATAGACTGGTGTCGGGAAGTCTTCACTGATCAATCGCGCATTCGGGGTGGAGAATGCGGTGAGTTATTCACGACACTGCAACACGTGCACTGGCAGCTACCCATACCGCCAATAGACCTCTTCGCATGATATGCCAGGCGAGGCCACCATCGACTACGAGTTCACCTCACAGCAGAACAACAGATTCGTTCTGCACGATAGCAAAGGGTTTGAACCAGGGGGAAAGGACAACTTCGACATAGTCCAGGATTTTATCGACCGTCGGGGTAAAATGCCTGATTTGAAAGATCAGCTGCACGCCGTTTGGTGGGGCCTCCATCTTCATGAGTTTGTATGGCAAGCTGACAATATGCAAGGCTTTGCTTTGAAATACCCTGTACAGGCGGGCGTTTACTGGAGACTGCCACGGAGGCATTCCTCACATTGAAGCGTGACAATAAGCTGGGGAAAAGTACGTCGATCGATCACTATCACTCTTCGCAGATGGTAACTCACCCTTTGGTCAAAGTCCCCCTCATCGTCGTTCTCACTAAATATGATGAGCTCATCAAACAAGTGAATTTCGATCTCCCTGATTCCTCTCTTGAAGGATTGAGCGAGGATGACATCAACAAACGCATCAAGAACGAAGCTGATTCCAAGCTACAAGATATCTGCTTTGAACCCCTTAAGAAATTTGCAGGGCCTAATATACCACACGCGGTGGTCTCTAGTGGGTGTCACTACTACTGTGATCGTCATTTGCGTCCCTCATAAATATTTGAGCGCAGCTAAGGAAAAGTACGAGGAGACGATGGCCCATCTGATACAGATGACTGAAGTACGTGTCCGTGAGCATGTTTCGGCCGAGGCGTCGGCGATGTCCTCCATCGCACAACGAGTGGATCCTGACCTGAAGATAGAAGAATCGATTCGGTGAGTGTTACTTACTTGGGTCTTGTCTCACGATTTACGTATTGTCAGGGTTGGAAAGAGAAGTCTGTCTCGAATCTACTTTTTTTTAACACAGAACACAGCTGAACCTTCATGCGGTACAGGATATTGGAAGGCGCTGGCATCAAGCACAGCATTTCAGAGCCGTAGGATGCAGGACTGCCTGGATGTGCTTCACACGGACATTGTCACTGTGTGGAATTTCCGTGACACTCATGATGTAATGTCTCATTTATTTGCTGGCATCCCATGTATTCTGACATGATTTATGCACAGTACTTGAACAGCTCAGAGTTTAAGACGTTGATGGTGAACATGGTCAATAGGCTAAATGTTGGACCTACAGCTGATCCCAACAGGACCATGTAGGTCGTTTTATTACTTGACGATGAATTTCATCTCACTCAATATTCAGTGCTGTTGGGCTTCCGATGGTGGCTGCTATTGCGGGCATCGTGTCTGCCCTGTCAGGACCTGTGGCTCCCATTGTGGTACCAATTGCAGCAGGTATCTTATTCGCCGCATGGGCTCGCGAAGTATACCGGACGTCGTACGTAGTTCCGCTACTTCCGCTACTTGTCCTTGAGCGAAAGAACATTGACACTTCCTACTTAGCCACGAGGTGCTTCGGCGCTTGATGTGCTATATCATCGACTTGACTCTCGTGTTACGAACGCTTTATTTTTTATCAGAAAACCAGGAACTCTCTCGCAGGGCCATCAAGCTCGCGGTCGCTTCTTATCGTGCCTCGTCAATTAGCGGAGACGTCCAAACTCAGATTCAGAAGTATGATAAGGGATTGAAAGTCCTGGAACACGCGGATCACCATACGTTGGATAAAATCACTGAGCTGATGAAATTGAATCTCATTAACAGTGATGCAGAAGCAATTTCCAAACTTCGGGAACAGATTGCGGCTGTGGGTTTACTTCAGGAAGAAGCATGGTAAGACAAGAAGGCATAATAGTCAATCCTTTCTTTTGTGCATGGTTCTGCGCGTTGGCGGGCATTGTCGGAGTATATCTGTCAGGACTACTTACCCTATTGTATTCTCATTTGTACTATAGTTGCCGGCCGGGACCCCATAATGTATGCAACTGTTTTCTATCAATACCATGTACTTGCTAGAGTTTGAGTAGAGTACCCTAGCGTTCTGATGTGCCTACTGTAACCCATCATGAATACCTCTCGCCTGCAGAAGTTCTTTTTCATGCCTTGAGCTTCACTGGCTTTGCCGTGATTTATGGCAAAACATCAAAGCAGGTGACAAAGACCTATAATTATCGAACGTAACGTATACCATACATATGAGGTACATACGAGGAGTCAGAATGCCTCGCGTCGATCTGGCTTTCATCATTCGGAAGCGACGGAATTTCTGTGTTGGGGTTCCAAGGATCCGTAGGAGTGGGCAACGGAGACACATCTGAGAGACTGAGCATTAGACGAGGTAGTTAGCTCCGGTCCTGTGCCGACTATCACAACTCTGGACCGTGTTGAAGTACTTACTACTGCGTAGTATTCAGGTGGTGGCGGAGCATGTCGTATTTGGTAAGATCGCTTACAACAGGTACTTTGACCAAGGGTGAGTTGCTATATGTGCACTAACGTGGATTCGAGACATACTTCTCTCCCCAACCCTGACAGTACGGGAGGACATACATGCAGATACGTAATGTCCACCATAGGGCTTCGCCCCACAGGACAATAAACACGGATTAAAAAAAAAAGCAGATGAGGAAGCGCGAGCTTGCATAAAATGAAGAGCATGACTTCGTCAGGATAGTGTACGCCCATGTAAGCATAGTGCATATGTGCGCGCCAGGAAAGGACACACAATGAGACGGAGCATGCCGGAATCTAGCAGAGGCAGAGATAGAACAAGTTCGGGGTAGTCGATGACGAGGGGGACATCGCGATATGCATGAGGGAAGTTATTGTGTGCATTAGATACGTTGATACAAGCGTTAGAAGAACAGCGTCTGCTGGTAGCAATCTCGATGGCAGCGGGAGGGCAAGCAGGCGAAATGGCAACTTTGAAGTAGTGGAAGAGTGGACCGATGCTTTGCGGTTAGATACCCGAAGAAAAGCAAGCAGTGAGGGAAGGAAGGGCTGTATCATGCTACTTCACGGTTGAGCTAAACTCGCAGGAAAACTGATTTGCCACATACCATTACCAACACAAGCAGCTTGCTCATCCAACGTCAGGACCTTGCGCTGGAGGCCGATAGCGCTGTTGATGTTATCAATATCACCGCATTGGTTGAAACAGGTGGATAGAGCGTGCTCAAGGGATTCCAATGAATCACCAAGATGTTCGTCCCCAACAGGGTGGAGGCACAGCGCTTCTTCATATAGAGAGAGATAGTCTCGTCGATCAACAGGGCATCGTCCTGGTTATCGCAGGCGTGTACAATAGAGGCCTTCAGCATAAGGGATGTATGGATGGACACCATTAATGGGTGGGAAGGAATAATCTACGACATGTTAATAGAGGTGCATGAATATGAAACAAAATGTTCACCTAAAGGCTCATCTCCATGATCGAACAGTGTTTCATGATTTCCAATGACTTCCCCACAGCTTCCCCATAGCCTAGAATTCGACCAAGCTCATAGGGCGCTTGATCTCCTCCGATAATTCAGGTGACCCCGTGTAATGATCTACAAATGGACAATCAGTTCCCGAATCACATCTAAACGAATTTATGGACTTTACAAAGTCACAACATCGCCTAACACTTCAATTCGTCGGATGATGGTACTCAGATGACTGATCTCCAACGCCTCCTCCCATCTTCAAGTCTGATATATCGGCCTTCCCAGCCACCGGGCATGATTGTGCGATGCATTATGACCAGGGGGATTGAGGATGGGCTAAGCGATGGGTGGAATGAGTGGTAGGAGAAGACGGGAGGTAGGTACATGGGGACTGTATGAAGTTCAGGTGAGAGGGAGTGCAGAAGTGGTTGAGAGTTCGGGTCATACTGTACGTGTATTTCCGTTATCGATGGCAATTCGGTAAGATAGACGCCGCTACAATTACACCAACCCCCCAGGTAGATGACCTGCAGAGAGAGAGCCTGTACTAGAGAAGTCAATGCCATGGTTAATCATATCAGCGAAAGTGGCACACTAAGGTGAGTCTCAGAGCGGTATGTGATGCTGACCAAACCTTGTCACTCTCATCGTATGTTGTGTTTGGCTTTTATCATCGAGTGGGACTAGTCATGAAGCACACTTAAGAGAAAATGTAGAACCCCGTGTGTTTCATTATGCAAACAATACAAAACGCAGAAAAGACGCGCACAGAAAAGCTGGGCCAATCTATACGAGTCCAATTGAGCTAATGCCATAGGGAAGGATGATCAAGAGCTAGAGCATGAAAAGGCTAGTGTCAGTGTGCGAGAGCATAACAGGTCGTATTCAGATGCAAGATGAGATATCCGAACGCAATGGACGATACGAGTGACGAAGAGCGTGATTTCGACTTGGAAAGAGTCAGAATGAGCAAAGAGCTGTGAAAAACAACATTTTACGGATCCTGGCTGGCATGTCTGCCATGCCGCAACAAGCTGGCGTCGTTTCCTGAGCAGTGCGAAATTTTGTCTGCATCAAGGTCCGGAGGCTGGTGTCGCTTATATCCATAAGTGCATTTTCCTGATGTCCGCAGGTTCGCAGGTAAGCGACCTTCAGTGAGAGAAGGGTGGACACCACAAATGGGTGAAAGGGATTTGGGACAATTAAATAGACGTACGAAAAACGAACTACTCGCAGAAAGGGTTCATCTCTGTGATCGAGCAGAGTCGCCATTAATGGGTGTGGGTATACCTGTAGGTGTGCAGATAAGTGGAAAGAAATAACTTCGATATTGTTCCGCTCACAGTGACTGTGAATAAGACGAGAAGAGTCGATGATAGGCAGAGTGACGTGGAATGAGTGGTAGGACAAGACGGGAGTAGGAATGGAGTTGAGGTGAGAGGCAGAGGCTAGTGAGCATCAACGAAAGTGGCACCCCCAAGTCGGAGAGGACATGTGAGTCTCAGAGTGTTGGTCCGTCAAGTGCATGACGGAAAAGCCGACTATATTATGAATCAGAGTTTGATCTGAAGCCATGGTGGAGGATGACTGAAAGGATCGTGGAAACAGAAGTGACGCGACGGTGTGCAAGAGTATGATCGATGGGTAGCTGGTCAAATGCAAGATGAGATAGCTTGGGGTGTTTGTCGAGCCTATGGACTTCAAGTCAACCAAATACTCGGGCTGTGTATTGCAATTGAAGGTCGTCCACGAAGTTGGGCAGGCTGGCAAGCAAGAGATGGCAGCGCTAGTCACTACTCAAGCTAGTAGATTATTGACCAAAGGAAATAAGCTAGGACTCGATGAGGGCCAGTGGGAGCTGAAATGAGTAGAATCTAAGATATTACGATGGCAGGTATGATTGTACGAAACATGGAGGATGGGTGAAACTGTACATTTAGATTCGTGCGAGTGGAAGGCCCGGGGTAGCCCGGGGTTGAAGAAAAAAGGAGTGCTTACCGATGCCGGTTCCTTCCGAGCACCTGATTCGTCGACACTCTCCTCCACGCTTCTCATCATCGTTCGTTTACTCTCTCGGTATAATCACCGTCGTCCTCCTAGCATCCTATTCTCGCCCCATGACCGTTTCTCACGTAGCTTCCTTACTCCCTAGAATTCGAAGTTATTTTTACCCTTAGGAGGCAATTTTCCATTACCCCGAGTTTCTCGTAAACTTGAACGATTCTCAGGACAAGACCGCGAAACACTTGATCTGCCGCTCCTTGCCTCCACACCTTCACCCCATTTGTCTTCTTTGAGCCCAAAGACTTGAATATGAAGTGTCCATATTGATTACTGACTTGACAACAGGAATTCGAATTCTCAGATACGAGTCAAAGGCATCAGCTTATTTTCTACGGAGAAACAGGCAATATTAATGGAGCGTCTTAGAGGAAGATAAGTATCTCAAGTTCGTCAGGTGGTATTTGCCTGAAGTCCTCCAGTTCTGTGCTCGCAAAGGACGCCCATTATCGCCTCCGAGCGTTGACCCAATGGTTTCAACTTGGGCTATGTCACATGTGCCATTGACACTGAAAACGATCCTTACCGCAACGAGCTGGCTCATAGCGACAGTTCAGCTGAATGTCTGTCTCGGCCTGTCGACCACTGAACAAAGCCATCAGAGTTCTATGCTGAGGGGCTATGTTCACGGCGACCTTTATGATGTTTGACTTCTTTGCATGAGTCGGTGGACAAGATGCGCCGACGACTAGTTTCACGCTCCTTGATTGGGCTGGTCGGATCGATGAGACCTAATGTCCCATGTAAGTCAATCAACAGGGCATTCATCGTGATGGTAGAGCATAACTTGGAAATGCTGGCTGTGTAATTCATCCTGGGCTAGTTCACACTGGGCACGGAATGCCCATGCTCCTAATCTAAAGGAGGAAGCAATCAGGATCAGGACGAGAAAGCTGCTGACGTCCAACGACGGGTGATGTATTGTACTAATAGCAGATACTTGTAGGAACCTTTTCTGCGCCCTGCACGCTCATCATGTTGTTAGTGGTCTAGATTATCTTTGCAGTACTTCAATGCGTGAAAATTGGCTCAGCTTCAAGTTGCAGCTTAGCGCTCAACGGCAGTATCATCATCTCAATGTCCAGCGCGTCTGTAAACCAGTTGATTTGTAGTTATTACGCTTTTTAACAAACGTAATTTGGCCAGCCTCCCTCTTGACCGGAGCGCTTGAGTTCTCGTCATGCAAGCCCCATCAACATCCCCACCCAAATGTACTAGTACACCACCTCAAGCAACTAGCTAGTATCTAATTCTGCACACACACACACCCCAACTCCAGTCCCAAGCACCTCGCGTCACCTCCACAGCCCCCTCTTAAAACGCGAAGCAATGGTACTCCAGCTCCGATAACAAACAGGCTTACTCCCAAGCTCCCGCACCAATAGTACACACCATTTCACATCGAGAGAGTACAACCTCCCATCACCTATGCCCTCCCAGCAGCCAATCGCAGGATCTCAGCACGAGTGGCCTGTGCCCGCGTAGGACGGACACAACTCCATAACGACAGCCAGCAAACATGTGCTTATCTAGCTCGTGCTGCTCAGCCAACACCCGTCGTCATCAGCCAGACAACAGGCATCTTCGTTTGTTTGGCTGGGAATACGGACGCGTCAGGCGGAGGGGGAAGGGCATACTGACCTGCTGGTTCAGTTGTCGTGCGCGCCGCCTAGCATGATGCAACGACGGGATAGCAGACGAAGAAGATTTGGTGAGTCGCGGTATTGGCAATTTAAGCTGGGGGTATCAGTTTGATGTTTCCAACAGCTATGTCTCCTCGCCACGCACCTTTTTTACATTTTGCTCTCGTGTATATCTGAGTAGCCCCGACTATCCCTCCGCGTCCGGCGTATGAAGGTGGTTCCAATCAACGCCTCCCTTCCAAGGATTCACCGAGAGTTATTTCGGATGTCAGTATGGCACTAGCGCGATGAATCGACACCCTCTGCTAACAGCTCGGCGATTCCTTGTGTCAGCATGACCCGAGCCCGCTGAAGGCTCGACGATTTTGTCGATGTCTTAAACTGTACGTTGGACCCCTGGACAGTGAGGGATGGGCGTCATTGTCGTCGGACGTAGCAAGCTCACATGTGATATTATTCAGACGTTGGACTGATCCAGCAGGCAAGTGTTTCCTTATGTTACTCTGTAGACGCTCGTGCGCTTATGAGACATGCATGAAAATGCCAAAGCAATAACGCCCAGCGCTGCAATTTTCTCCGTAGACCTGATGGAGACATCCTGTAAGTCCTTTGTTGTTCGATGACGTCGTCTCAGTCCCTCAAAAAGATGCATCCAGAATCCAGCGTATGATGTGTTGGTCGATACACTAATCATCTAGTGAAAACTAGAATGATGGAATTCTGACCGGGGGCCCTGGGGTATACAGAGCGCAAATGCTTAACACACGAGAGATTAGTACGTCCGCCTTGACTCAGAGCCATGATCACCAGCACGCTATCCCTACAAAGAATGACAGCTGGACATTTTCAAGGTGCATCCGCTGCTTGAAATCCATGGCTATTATCCACCACGTTGCAGTCTTTCCAGAGGTCCTATCCAGCCACTAGCTAGAGTCACTAACGTTGTTGGGGATTTCCATGTGTACGTGTAGAGCGTAACTCTGAAGTGACAATAAACGGATTTCTTATAAAATCGATGCAAGTTGAGAAAAGCTGTGGAGCAGAATGAAGAAATTAGGACTCGCTTAGTGCACTTGCAATGGGACTGCGGATACTGGGGAGGTACACCAAGCCCAGTAGACCTCACCGTCTCAGCCGAGGGTGATCAACATGCTGCAAACGCGTATACGCCACACCAGAAAAATGCCATATTGCGTGATCATACAGTTCCACCTCCCCAAGCTACCTCGACAGACCATTCAAGAAACCCTCATTCACCGCCAAGACACCTCAGCTCTACTCCGAATCGGACACCATTGATGTTGGGTTGCATTAAGGTCTTGCTGAAGACAAAGAGATCAGCAACATCGCTATGATTCCAAGAGTTGAAACATACGCAGGCGATACTGTAAAGTGATTTCGAGAATTCTCTGTAACAACTCCGCCTTCGCCTGAGAGCAAACAAATTGTTTCACTTCCTCCTGAGAACGGTCTAAAGCTCGTTTGGCTTTTGCCAGAGAGCGTTCAGAAGCTCGTTTTGCCTTCCTCTGGAAGTATTCAAACGGCAACTTCGCCATCAAAGTAGACGAGTTTCCTTGAGATGTATACACGGCAGCGCTCACAGCTTCTTGATAGGCATGAACAGCAGTGCTTACAGCCTCTTGATAAGCGATGACGGTAGTGTTGACACCTTCCTTGACGGCAGCTGCATGCGGAGATGCCATGTACTGATCAAGAGCCTTCATATGAGAGGGAACAGGCCGCTGCCGGTCCTTAAGATAGCGCTGCTTGTCGAAAATGTAGAAAGAGTGTTCGAAAATAATGACAGCAGCTAAATGATCGATAATAAGCAAGTTCATTTCAACGCGGCTTCAAAATTCACCAGAACTGAGCTGAAGAATTGTCTCCAATGGTGACGAGCCAGAGGCCTGGCACATTTACAACATCAGATTTGCGTGTACAGTCTGCAAGCAATTGGACATACCACAGAGAGTATCCTAGACTGCATCTCTGCACATTGATTACCCCAGAGCTGATAAAATCATGATGGAAAGTTGAAAATCGTCTCCCTCTGCTGAGGACCAATACACTCACATCCTGTCAATGAATAATGGCTTCGGTCAGCTTGGCTCAACGCCAAAGGAGGATGAACAAACTCACCTCCTGTCAATGGATCAGCGATGTCGTTGGTGAGAAAGGCTCGAGGGATGAGACACTCACAGTCTGTTAGGGAATGCGCAATGTGAGTGATAAGCAAAGCTCGAGCTCCACGAAGGATCAAAACACTGACTGCCTGTGAGTGAGCGAGCAATGTCACAAGTGAGCAAGGCTCGAGGTCGACGGCAGAAGAACACACTCACATCCTGTCAACGTGGATCAGCAATTTCACGGGTCAGCAATGCTGGAGCTCGACAGAGGATCGATGCGCTCACAAACTGTGAACGGGTGGGCGATGTCTTCCGTCAGCATGGCTCGAGCTCGGCGGCGGACGGACCAACTCACTCTCTGTGAACGGGTGGGCGATGTCATCAGTAAGCATGGCTCGAGCTTGACGGCGGATAGACCAACTCACAATCTGTCAACGAATCACCAAACGTACTTGGTCAGCAGGGCTCAATGTCAACAGCGAATGAAGAGACTCACATCCTGACATTGGATCAAGAATTGCATCAGTCAGCCAGGCAGGAGGTCGACAGAGGATGATCACGCTTACAAGCTATCAACGAATCAGGAATTCTTTCGGTGAGTATAACTCAAGGCCGGTGAAGGATGAATATACTCACATTCTGCCGATGGATCATCAATTCCTTCACTCAGCAAGACTCGAGCTCGAAGAAGGATCAACACTCACATCCTGTCAACGGATGGGCAACAACTTGGATCAGCATAGCTTGAGCTCGAAGGAGGATCAAGACACTCACACGCTGCGACGGGTGGGCAACGACTTGGATCAGCATGGCTCGAGCTCGAAGGAGGATCAAGACACTCACAGCCTGCGAAGAGCGAGCAACGACTTGGATCAGCATGGCTCGAGCTCAAAGGAGCATCAAGACACTCACCACCTGCGTAGAGTGAGCAATGACTTGGATCAGCATAGCTTGAGCTCAAAGGAGGATCAAGACACTCACACGCTGCGACGGGTGGGCAATGACTTGGATCAGCATGGCTCGAGCTCGAAGGAGGATCAAGACACTCACAGCCTGCGAAGAGCGAGCAACGACTTGGATCAGCATGGCTCGAGCTCAAAGGAGCATCAAGACACTCACACCCTGCGTAGAGTGAGCAACGACTTGGATCAGCATAGCTTGAGCTCAAAGGAGGATCAAGACACTCACACGCTGCGACGGGTGGGCAATGACTTGGATCAGCATGGCTCGAGCTCGAAGGAGGATCAAGACACTCACAGCCTGCGAAGAGCGAGCAACGACTTGGATCAGCATGGCTCGAGCTCAAAGGAGGATCAAGACACTCACGTTCTGCGAAGAGTGGGCAACGACTTGAATCAGCATGGCTCGAGCTCGAAGGAGGATCAAGACACTCACACGCTGCGAAGAGTGGACAACGACTTGGATCAGCATGGCTCGAGCTCGAAGGAGGATCAAGACACTCACGTTCTGCGAAGAGTGGGCAACAACTTGGATCAGCATGGCTCGAGCTCGAAGGAGGATCAAGACACTCACAGCCTGCGAAGAGTGGACAACGACTTGGATCAGCATGGCTCGAGCTCGAAGGAGGATCAAGACACTCACATACTGTGAAGAGTGGGCAACGACTTGGATCAGCATGGCTCGAGCTCGAAGGAGGATCAAGACACTCACATACTGCGAAGAGTGGGCAACGACTTGGATCAGCATGGCTCGAGCTCGAAGGAGGATCAAGACACTCACAGCCTGCGAAGAGTGGGCAACGACTTGGATCAGCATGGCTCGAGCTCGAAGGAGGATCAAGACACTCACACCCTGCGAAGAGTGGGCAACGACTTGGATCAGCATGGCTCGAGCTCGAAGGAGGATCAAGACACTCACACGCTGCGACGGGTGGGCAACGACTTGGATCAGCATGGCTCGAGCTCGAAGGAGGATCAACAGACGTACTGCCTGTAAAAAAAACACCCAACGTAAATGAGCGCAACTCTCGAATATTCCTGTAATCTTACCCGAACATGTGGAAACCAGCATCCCAATTCAGCTATTGCATTGTAAAATAGGATTTTCTCATCTCGGACAACAAGCTCTGCAAGTGTTCTGGACGATAGTCAATAATGCTCGCGGCAGGCAAATGATGGGGATAGATACTTCTCAACTGCATATTCCATGCAGAGTTCCAAGTTGGTCTGCTGAGTCGAGACGAACAATTGTTGAAGGACTCCATTGTCCAGAGTTTCAGCGGTCCGTTCGATGAGTGGCCCGCAATCGGCATCATCCTTGTTCATGTCTAATGGATCAACAGTCATCATGTATCAGACTTCGATTATCCACAGCTTACCTGGGAGGCATACGTGGCATTTTGGGGGCCGTCGGATGGTCTTTGGGTCGTATAGAAACTTCAGCTGTGGCCCATTCGCAAAAGTCTCCTCCGCGTGTTTTGGGGCCAGTTTCTTGGCGTCCTTCCTCGATGTTCCGTTGTCTGTCAGTTGAGCGAATTCGACGTCGTAAAGGGCATCGAATTTGGTAAATAGTACGATGACTGGAACTGAGGATCCAAGTTGCGAATCAGTCGGTTATTAACGGACAGATCCAAAACTTACTGCTTCCGGTATCGCAGCGGGAGAAAAATTTGCGCTCGGCTTCAGTAAAACACCGGCTTGCTTGATCCATCGGTATGCAATACCTACGCAAAGAGGTGAGCCAGTGGATGTCGCCGACTCGACCAATTACCATATGGTGTGAATTCGATCCTTGATGTCTGCTTCCTTCGAACGGGCTTTGATGAATGTGTTCACCTTGTCATACTCGGATTCACCGCCTGCTTCAAACCCGCGTGAATCATGAAAGATGAAGCCTGGATTCTTTGGAAACACCATCTCGTTCTCAATGTCGTGCTCTCCACGCTGAGAAAACATCAGTTCATGTCGCCAACTGATGGTAGTACACCTTACCTCTCTGGATGCCGTCAAAAGAGCGGCATCGATCTGATGTCGACGAAATAGTGATCACTATCAGCCTCGTACTAGCATCATGATGCGCACCTTTTTCCCAGCGCTATTATATATATCTGGGTTCTCTTTGGTATTGCACACCCTCTGGAGGATGGTAGTTTTCCCTGCATTCGCTCTTCCTATGATGAGGATTCGAAAGCGATGGATCTTCTCCTTTATCTCTGAAGGATCCATAAAGAAAGGTAAGCGGTAGTAAAGGGACTGAGCAAGGAGAACTGTTCAGCGCTGAGGGCAGACTTATAATCACCGCATACTTCAGTGTGTGAGGTCCGCGAGGTAAGCTTGTCAAATCTAGATCTAGTGGGCAATGGGTTGTGCGTACCATGAGGCGTACTACACAACTCGCCTCCGAAGTCTCGACGATATAGGAAGTGAATTTCATACCATATCTACATATATAGTAACAATGTTTGATACAGGCTGTACATTGGGAAACAACGACAGACAACGACCCATATGCATGAGGCATACGTGAGGGACCGGAATGAACCAGCACAACTGCCAGTATTATTCTATTCGGTCTTCCTACTACTAAGTAGGTCAAACAAGTTCACCCCCGGCGATCTGTTAATACTTAGATTGAGAACAGCATACCATTCAAGATGCTGTGAACTGATGGCGTTAGCTGATCGCAGAATCAGAAGGCCTCGTTTCGGTTTCGCGAATAGATATGTATAACGTCGTGATACGCCGGTTGTCAAGCATGGTCAGTGATTAGCTTTCGGGGACGAAACGTTCAGAATATAGGGTATCAGGGAAATGACAGAAGATCGCCTATGAGGGAAATTTAGATGCCTCGGAGACGAAGAGCCCTGGACTACGAATGTGAGCACACAGGAAAGGCCAGCTTGTTTCTGCAGCCTAATTGAAAGAATGCTCTGGCAACCTGAAAGTCTAGACTCGCCTTTGACTGTTGAAACCCCCGCCGGCACTAATTTAGCTTGACACGCCATGAAGCGCGTAGTCCATATACAATATGCAGAATAGGTAATGTAGGTCGGTCATGAGAGTGCATGATCCTATTGCCCGTAAATCAACGGAGTTCGCCCAGATGTGACTTGATCGTCGGGGTGATGTTTGGTTCAGATGAAGTGACCGCTTGCAGTCCGATAATGACGCAACACATAGTAAAATTCATGGCTGTGGTCTGGCAACTTAAAAGTTCAGAGGCGAGATGTCATCAAGTGCGAGATTAAAAAGTTTTTGTTTTCGACTTAAAGTAAAATTTACCAGGGAGGCTGCCATAGCCTATCGTTATCAATGACTAGTACAAAAGATGGAGGGCCAATACGCACGTATGGCCATAGTGTGTGTCCATGTGCCTAGCATGCCGCATTCTAGCAGAGGCAGAGAGAACTAGTTGGGGGTAGTTAGCGTGGCTCGAGGATAATACACTCACAACCTATGAAAAGATTGGAAATGTTCTCATATTGCTTTGGTCATGAAGGCCCGAGCTAGATGAAGGGTAGATGTACTGACATCCTGTCAACGGGGGGCGATATCCTCAGTCAGCAAAGCTCAAGTTCGATCGAGGGTCAACAAACTCACTCGCTGCCGACAAATTCACTAGTGAGTAAGGCTCAAGGTCGATGAGGGTGTGTTCACTCACAACCTGTCAACAAATTGTCAAATTATTCAGTTAGCAAAGCTCAAGGTCGACGGACAATTGAAACACTCACGACCGGTTCCACAGGTTGACAGTCTTTTCGGTGAGCAAGATGTCCACAGAAAACTAGTATAGTCGCATCCTGACAACAGACTAGGAATGTCGTCGGTCAGGAGGATTGGAGCTAGATAGATGATTTTCACATTCTCAACCTGTCGACGGATTGCCAACCAGGTCAGTAAAGCTGGATTTCGGTAGAGAATAAAACACACTCACAACCTGTCAACGGAACGGACATACCACTTGTAAGGAAGGTTCGAGTTTGATAGGAGAGCGACACACCAATTTCCCGTTTGCATAACTCCAAGTTGGTCTGCTGAGTCGAGACGAACAACCGCTTGGGCGCTTCATGGTTCATCTCAGACAGCCTCATTTCTCGCGGTGCCTATCATAATAAAGGGTCTGGGACCCATGGTCACCCACGCTCGATCCTGTCTGACTTTAGATCCCTGATAGATCAAATACCTTACCCCATACCTCAAATCTAGATTCAGTGGGCAATGGACATACTTTAGGGTGCGCATACCATGAGGCGTACACGACTCACCTCATTTTAAATGCGAAGTCCCATTTCAAGTGATGATCGATGAGTGACCCTATTACCCTTCCAAAACACTTCGGTTGGTAATGGAAGGACCTCGATAACCTTGTCGACTAAATGACGAGAATAAACGATGTCTGTCACATCGACGTCTTTGGGGTGGACGACAGCAGGAGGTCGTGGGACTTTGGCGTGAGGGCAGCGCGAATTTGCAAGGTGTGGGGCAGGTGGAGGTTGGGTGCGTGGGCGGTGACTGCAGGACGTTATTGTGGGGTGTAGTTGGCAGGCGAATGCCACGGATGGGCGAGGTTGGGCATGGGGGGCAAGTGCGAGAAGCAGTGAGATTCCTGGTGAGCGCTAGCAGACGCGCAATGGCAGGGCACGTGCTTGACCTCACACATAAAACTCTGCTGTAATAATAGTACACTTTAACACGTACCTTGTTCTTCTCGAGACCACGACTTTTCCATTTCAATGTTTGACGTCCGACAGATAACGGCCCGTAATGCTTGAGCGCTTGAGCATTGAGCACTGGCCAGCCAGGTGCACACCATGAGGCGTACATAACATTTTATCCTCCTTTCCGGTCTTCCCAAGTAGAATTTACCCGGCACAGCTAACCACACATAAACCTACCGTCACGGTGACCCTTCTCGCACGAAGAGTCTTTTCCTAGTAACTTACCGCATCAGCATGGCCAGTTCTCTTGACGCCTCAATGGTTCCCTCTCTCCACGTCTCTGGTACGGTACTCAACTGTCGGCATCAGCTTAATGGTCGATTTCGCTGATTATATCAAATAGGTTTATTTCTCGATTTCAGCAAGTCGGCAAAGCATGTAGAGTCTGCTCAAGTACGGGTCGGCAAGTTGCACATGCCGGTTGAGCACGGAGAAGGAAAGACTTTGCAACAGACATTTTCCTCGCCCATGTAGGCAATTAACTCAGGCAAATATATTCGTCTGAACTGTTCATCATAGCAAGCTTTCTACTGGGGATTCATTTTCTTTACATGTATGCCACAGCGTGACATGGTTTGGAATAAAGGCCGTTGAAGACATTCGGTTCGATACCAAAGAGATCTTCCGCCTATTTGGTTCAAGTGGAGAACCCGATACACGAGGTAAAGCTCAAACAATGATAGTTGCGCTGCCTTTGACCGACCCAACGCAACATGAACAGAATACGTCAAGACTCACAAAAAATTCACAATCACCGTCAAGCTTTCCAGGAATACGGGTACCGAAGTAAGGATCTATCTCTTGCATTGAAACTCATCTAAGTCGTAGATAAGCTGACAGCTGGGCAGTCTGTCCCTTCTTCCGGCGAACACCTGGAGCTTCAGCCCACCACTGACGAAATCATTCGGATCTGTCCACGGTGAGTCAACATGACTATGAAGCGCCATTCATCAGGTTGACACGAGACTCCTAAGGTTCCGAATTCTGGTGATAGGAAATGTAACAACTTTTCTTTGCTCTCACGTCTGTGTTGACAACGTGTATAGACCGGCGTTGGCAAGACTTCACTGATCAATCACGCTTTCGGAGTGGAGAAAGCGGTAGGCTGCTCACGACACCGCAACACGTGCAGCTACTCATACTGTCAATAGACCATTTCGCACAACATGCCAGGCGAGGCCACCATCGACCACGAGTTCATCTCAAAGCAAAATGATAGATTCGTTCTTCATGATAGCAAAGGGTTTGAACCAGGGGGGAAAGACAACTTCGACATGGTCAGGGGCTTTATTGAGCGTCGGAGAAAAATGCCTGATTTGAAAGATCAGCTGCACGCTGTTTGGTGAGGCCTCCATCTTCATGAGTTTGTATGGAAAACTGACGACATTCAAGGATTTGCTTTGAAATACCCTATGCGGGCAGGCGTCTACTGGAGACTGCCACAGAGGAATTCCTCACATTGAAGCGCGATGAAAAGTTAGGGAAAAGTATGTCAATCGATCACTATTACTCTTCGCAGGTGGTGACTCACCCTCTGGTCAAAGTCCCCCTCGTCATCGTTCTCACTAAATACGATATGCTCATCGACCGCGTGAATCGTACTCTGGATGACTCCTCGATTGCAGGATTGAGCGAGGATGCCATCAAGGAATTTATCAAGAACAAAGCAGAGACTGAACTACAAGATGTCTGCTTCGGACCCCTTAAGAAATTTGCAGGGTCTGATATACCATGCGCGGTGATCTCTAGTGCGTGTCACTACTACTGCTGTAATTTGCATTCCTCATAATTTTTCGAGCGCAGCTAAAGTCAAGTATGAGGAGAAGATGGCTCATCTGATCCAGGAGACCGAAAAACGTGTCCGCGAGCATGTTGCGAGCGAGGCGTCGGTGATGACCTCCATCGCTCAGCGAGTGGATCCTGGCCTCAACATTCAGGCATCGATCGAGTGAGCCTTGCATGCTTCATTATTGTCTCGCGACTTATGCAGCATCAGCGTTGGCAAGAGAAGTCTGTCTCAATTCTGCAATGGTATTCACTGAGCGTGATCTGAGCTTCGCGTATGTTTTACAGAATACTGGAAGGCACTCGCATCAAGCTCAACATTCAAGGGCCATTCGATGTGGGACTGTCTACATGTGCTTCATGCAGACATCGTTGCTGTATGGAACTTCCAAGACCCTCATGGGGTAATCACTCTCTTTTTTGTCGTTGTCGCATGCTCTTACATACATTACGCACAGTACTTGGACAGCCCAGAGTTCAGGACGTTGATGGCGAACATGGTCGATGGGCTAGATGTCGGACCCACCGTTGACCCAACCAAGAACGTGTATGGCAGTCTTTCACGTGATGGATGCATTTCATCTCATCTGACGTTCGCAGTGCATTCGGGCTCTCCATTGTGGGTACTATTGCGGGCATCTTGGCTGCCCTGGCCGGACCTGCGGCTCCCATCGTAGTGCCAATAGTGGCAAGTGTTGTGATCGCGAAGTGGGTTTACGAGGTGTATCAGCAGTCGTGGGTCCTGATACTCATTCTTCATGGAGAGAATAATGACAGGTCCTCCTCAGCCGCGCAGCGTTTCAGCGCTTCATGAAATACATTATCGACTTGACTCTTGTCTTGCAGACACTATATCTTGTGTCGCAAAACCATGAACTGACTCGTAGGGCCATCAAGCTCGCGATCAAGTCCTACCATGAGTCACCAACGAGCGGAGTAGTCCATACTCAGATTCAGGATTTTGATAGGAAATCAACCTTCCTGGAACGCGCAGACCGCGATTCGCTGGATCGCTTCGTTGAGCTGATACGATCATATGTCATCAGTGCAGAAGAAATGTCACGTCTTCGGGTACATATTCCGGCTGTGGGTTCATCACCGGATGAACCATGGGAAGACGAGAAGGTGTAGCACTTGATTCTTTCTTTTGTGCATGATTTTACGCGTTGGCGGACAATGTCTGAGTATTTCTGCCAGCCTCCAGGACTATTTACAGTCGCGTTCTCATTTGTACTATTTGTTGCTAGCCGGGCCCATACTATTGTAGTATACTGTACGCAACTATTTTCTGTCAACATAACGTGCTAGCTAGAGTCTGACCGGAATACCCTAGCGTTCTGAGGTGTCTACTGTAATCCATCTCCCGCCTGGAGTAACCGCACGAATCAGCTCAAATTGCAAGTATCATCAAGTCGACATGAATTCGGGCCACCTGCGGATGAATTATTATTTCCCTGACCAAGCCACCACATGCATGAGATCATCGAGTACGCCAGCTTGTCTCGCCACGCCGTTCCGTAGTACGTTAACCATAAATCCCCGAGTCCCATACACTGGATAAAATTGTCCGACGTACATCAATGAGGGTCGTCTTCCTCTCCTTCACTCTCCTCTGCTTCTTCCTCTCGAGTTGATAAACGCCTTTCTTTTCGTCTTGGCCTCGCTTATCGATATAGCTGCTTTCGAAGTCAATGCTGAGGTGACTACCTTCAGTGCAGTCGTTTTCAAGGTCGATGCTAACGCAACTGCTTTCGGTGCAGCCGCTTTTGAGGTCGAAGCCGATTTCGCAGCGACGGCTACTTTCTCCTTTGGCGGTGGCAACACGACTGATTCGTTCTCCTCATCACTCGAGATAACTACTATAACGACGATGTTTTTGTGCCCCTCGGTGGAATATCGTCGCTGTCGGTCTTTGCCAGCGATAGCACCGACGTGACGCTCTGTCACGTCGTGACACTCCTATGTTCAAAGCTTCTCAACCGCCCTTGCACGGTCATATGCCTTGCACACGGAATTCGACATATCCACAATGGCCAGTAGCGGATCGCTGTCAACCTCAACTTGCAGACCTCGTGCACACTATCAAATGGTGCACGCAGCCCTCATACTTGAAGTTGTGCCTCATCATGATCGCGCTTGCTGTTTTACATCATGCCATACTTAAGTACGATAGCAAATTTTCCCCAGCTTTTCCCGATCGTTACCCTGCCTCACTACTCTTCGAACCATTAATTGTTCTAGGATACCGCTAATGGACAGTTAGTATAAGCTCTTCGATGCGTTTCCGAAAAATGAATAACGAAAGTACTATACGACACTAGCATTTCTGGAACAAATCGCTGCGAAGCTCGGCCCTTATCTAGTTGAACCTGTTACGACACAACTATTAGCGCTGGCTTAAGGAATCATCGTTGTTGGTTGCCTACCAGCGAGGAACCAACAGAACCACCAGTGAGTAGTGTTCCTCTCAAATTCGATCATGAACAAAGTCAGAGCCAGGAAAACATACAGACGGCCACACTATAACTTTTTGTGCCCTTGCGACGCCGGCCATCCAGCGTACCATGTATTTTGATTCCAATTCTGAATCCCCTTCGATGCTGACTGCCGAGGAGGCTGGGGCTCAATTCCCAATGCAACCTGAGGGATCAATTCTGAAGCACGAATTTAAGGGCCACGAAGCCTATTACGTTTGGGCCATTGTCTTCTTGCATGACAACTTTCACATCGTGAGTGGTTCGTAGGATTGCACGATGCGCAAATGGAACTGTGACACAGGACTTGTTGCCGGGGAACCATTGAAAGGCGATGGAGGGTCAATATATGCACTGGCACTTTCACCAGACGGAAAGACAATCACGTGCGGGAGGGAAGGCGGAAGCGTTCAACGATGGAATATAGAGGGAAATATGATTGAAGGTGTATGGACGTGTCATAGCGGGGTAGGTCGCTGTCGTGGTCTCCCGGCGGAGACCATATTGCAAGCGGCCGGTTCGATCATGGAACAATTCTGATCCGAAATGCAGAAACTGGAGAATCGAGGTGGGCCCAATCAAAGCAGAGTAGGACATGGTGCTTGCTGTTGCATATTCACCTTCAAGTGACAGAATCGCATCAGGCGTTAGGACCAACTCGATTTGCATTTTGGGACACGAAGACAGGCAAGCTTGCCGTCGGCGCAATCGAAGGACTCGAAAATGGTTGGCTTGTGACCCGTGTGGTCTGGTCGTTGGACAGCACAAAATTTTACTCTGCCTCCCGCAAATATCTTTTTGACAGTATCACAGGAGGATCGCAAAACCCCTTGGCATGTGTCTCGAGATGGGAGATACCTCGCACATGGCGGAGAGGACAACGTCATCACCCTGTGGGATAGTGAAAGACATAGCTTCTGAGCTTCCAGTACGTGCTTTCATACCCATACCTTTAAGGTGGCAAGCTACACAGCAGGACACTCTTCTGGTCCATCCCACGCCGCATTCGTCCCGCTGTCTCTGCCTGCTACCTCGTAATTTTACTTTACCAATAGAGTTTCGTCGTTTCAGATTATATGTCAATCTCACGATGTGCTCGATTCTACTTTTATGCCCCGCCCTATTAGTTTTCCTGTCCCTCACATGTGTGTCTGGCTACTGCTTCATTCAAAAGCAAACGACAAGTGGTTTGTACATATTCTACAAACATTTATAGGCACATATTTGTCCTGACAGGGCGCTTGTAACTTTGCCGTGCAGTTCCGTTGTGACATGCTCGATTGCCTGACTAAAAATCACCAAACTGATCTTCCTGGCTGTTCTGTTTGGGCACACCATAGTCCATTTGAGTATCACCAACCTACGTCGATGGTCAGGGCCCAAGCCATTCGAATAATGTAAAAGCAGCTATCGAGGAGACTTGTGACATTGGTGTAACCCCTGCGATAGTAATTCGAGCGCAGAGCATTGACAAGTCATAACATAGTCAAAGCGGCAGTGAGAACACTTGGAGGATGACAGCTTCGCAAGAGCAGAGTCTAAGGTCTCAAGGGAATTGGCGTCCTGCTTGTGTGATTGTCGGATGACTCTCGTACCTCATATTGGACTTTTGACCAATAACCCAGTCTCCCATGAAGGAAGACAGTCGCTACTTATAGATGCGCAGCATTCTAGATACCAAGCGCCTAGAGCTTCACTGGTGTTATCTTTGTTCATTGCAAAAAGTCCGAAGCAGTGGCAAAAGAAGAAAAATTATTGAACGCCGAGCAATCTGGAGCGATGCTACGAAGGAATCGTGATCGGTTGTTGGTCCCAAGGTGGATTTCCGTGCGTTACTTTTTATCGCCTACAAGTATGCATGTCGGGAAGGGGGGCCAAATATTGCATGCGATGGAAAGGGAACAACCACAATTTTCCCAGCTTGGCGTTATATTTCTATCGGTATTAAGTGGAATACTTCGATCAAGAGAAGCATACCATGCAAGACGCTCTGGGCTGATGTCGTGAGCTAGTCGCCGAAATCACAATGCCTCATTTCGCAGTCAAGGTCATGATAAGCCGTCGTGAAAGTATGATGAGTTACTGAATTGACCTGCGACGGGAATGTTAGAAGCAACGTATCAGGGAAGCTTGTTGATGATTGCTTACCGGCAAAATGAAAGCCCTGGAGACAAAGAGCTCTAGACTAGGAATGTTAGTAGAGACCCATCCTTGTCTACAGCCTATTTAGAAGGGTATCTGGCGAGCTCTAGACTTAGCTTTGACCGACATATTTGCGTGATTTGAAATGTTGAAAGCCCGAGGTAGCACGCGATGAAGCGCGGAGTCCACGGACCTGTGAGGACTGTGGGCTACTGTGGTGCGCATATGGCAAAGCAGGTTAGCCATGAGAGTACTATCCCACCAGATAGATGTTACCTACGAATAAACGGAGTTCGCTAAGTTGAGAGTTGATCGTCGGAGTGAGATTTGGTTCGTGTCGCGTGGTAGAAGTGATCCGTTGCAGGGAAATTGTGTGGTCCGGTAATGACGCAACACATGGGCATTCATAGCTGTGGTCTGGCACAACTTAGATGGGAAGATCGACGGGTTATCATATTATTGGGTTGACCTGAAGATATAAAGTTCAGAGGTAAGCTAGAATGGCATAGACGATAAGGTTTACGCTCTCGACTAAAGGTAAAATAAGCTGCTACTATAGCCTGCTATAGAGCTTGTCGTTGTCGTTGTCGTTGTCGAATGACTTGATGAGGGCCGATGTAACGGAAAGTAGACAGGGTTCAGGGCTGGTGGGAGCAGGTGAGAGCTGAAAGGAGCTGAATCTAGGACTGGCTGCCACGTGTGTGGGACCGTGTTGTTGGGTTGCCATGTCATAAACCAGGTTTGGGTTGGAACGTGGTTCCCAGCCAGCAAAAACAATAGTCCATCGATTTTACAAAGGTCCTATCAAGATACTCATCGTCATCATCGTCGACGACGACGACGAGCTCGACATTAAATGGACCCAGCTACCTATCATCCTATCACAGCTGGCTACGGCTACCCTGACCGTGACAGAGGATACCATGAGAGGGACAGATTGTAAGTCCTCTTCCAGCGCTCCCACTTCACACAGGAAAAGATCGTTCCAATGCTACGGTTCCGCCCACAACTAAGGGCATCAAAGTTAAACGTTCATCACCGTTCAACCTTCGTATCAGATAACTTACTTCCATTTCCCTCGCTAAACCGTCTATCATCTTTCTCTTGACTAACATGTTCAATCGTCCGCACAGGGAATATGAGCTTACCGTCAGGCAGGAGCCAAAACAGGCCCGTATGTGTGGTGTAGGAGGTAAGTAGGCTGCCTTTATCTCTTCTCACACGAGCTCATCCTCGCTTAGCTGACCGACGTCCAATCGACCCACCTCCCATAATTCAACTTCGCGTTATCGACCCACAAACTCGACAACCTCCTTCTCCAGCTCGCCTGGACGGTGACGACTCAGACCCAAGCTATGCTCACAGCTTCCTTCAAAACCCTTATTACTTCATGTTTGCAAGCCTTGCAAAACCTGACGACGACACTGAACTACATTGGCTCAAGGTCAGTATGTTGCTGTCATCACAATCTCTCTCTGATTGCGAGCTGTTAGGATGGGAAAACACGGTGTACAACTGGTTCAGTTGTCTCCTCCCTCTACCACCTCAAGGATACCGAAAATCGCAACGAGGATGCTGGCTTTTTCGTCTTCCCCGACCTAAGCGTTAGAACCGAGGGTTCTTATCGTTTGAAGCTCAGCCTCTTCGAAGTTGTCGGGTAAGTTCGCTGACTAACCACCTACTACCCACGTCCCTAACTTCTCCTCAGCAACACCGTCCGCCACTGTAAATCGATATACTCTGCGCCATTCTATGTCTATACGGCAAAGAAATTCCCTGGTATGGAAGGTGAGCCTAAGGTGTAATAATGGAAATTAATTTCTTAACGCCTTCTTTGCTAATTATTCATGGCATAACTGACCTGCGCTCATCAGAATCCACACCTCTTTCATGTTCGCTAGCCGACCAAGGCATCAAGATCCGGATCCGCAAAGACATCCGTGTTCGCAAGCGTCCCATTGCTGCACTCGCCGCTCCCATCGATACCGAGAACAACAATAATGAAGACGATGAAAATGATACCCCGGTTTCTGCAGCTACTTCTTCTGGCCATTCCAAACGTCCTCGGCACGGCACTGTGTCTTCCAATGGTGCACCAGACTTGCAGACTCCTACCGGATCACTAGTGGGACTACCCGCATGGCCATCATCGACGAGCTTAGATCCCATGTTAGGTGCTCCAAGTGCACCAGGTGGTGTCGAACTTCCTGCGCCGACTCACCCTCCCCCATCTGCTCCTACAGGTGGGGCCATCCCACCGCCTCGTGGCGCCAGCTATGAAAGCTCGCGCGTGGGAGGTGCCATACCCCCGCCACCTGGGGCACAGATGATAGCCCCACCTACAGCAGCCGCGTATGAGAATTCCCGCAGCGCACCACCGTCCGTTCCGTCTGCATCCTCCACCGTCTCTCAACGGCAAACTATGCATCCCCCTGCGCAGACTGCACCTTTTTCATCATCCACTCCCGTGTTCAACTCGCAAGGCAGAGTAACATATGAGGCTCCCCGCACTTCCACGTTTGATTCACCACGGTCTGCTTATGATGGCGGTCCCAATCAACGACCGCCGTTCGAGACTTCAAGGGGAGCATACGAACAGCCAGATCAGCGGGGATATGAAACCTCACGAACAGCGTATGAGCCTCCGCCACAGCGCACTGCCTATTCATCTGGTTATGACGGTCAGAACACGACATCCAACACTTTCCAGGAATCATATCCGTCCACTGGACAATACAGCAGTCAGCCATCTACCTCCAATCAATACCAGCATCCGCCTTCCTCATCTCACCCCCAATATCCTTCATCATCACGGTCTCAGTCGCAATATGGAGCACCTCCATCCAACACATACCCCACACCTACGCCATACTCACAATCACAGTCTAGATATGAATACCCACCCCAGCAGTCGCAGCAATATGCTAGTCCAAACGGGGATTCGTATTATGAGTCCTCTCCGGCTGCCTCGTCTGGAACTTCTCACAACCATGGACAACCATCCTACTATCCCTCCAGTCAGTCCTCCGCTCATACTCCATCATGGAATACCCCTACTCCTCCCGCCAATCCACAACCCTACTCATCATCCGCACCGTCTCAGACCCAATCGTACGAGTTCAACCATCAACAACCCTACCCAAACTCTAGTGCAAGCGACTTCTACCAACCATCCAATTCGACCCACTCCCAGGCCCAATCCCCTCGCGTTACCTCTCCAGCCCCATCTCGATACGCAAACCAACCGTACACTGGTCCCTCTACCGAACAAGCCTATCCACGGCACCAACAGTCTGCGTACGTCTCCTCATCCACCGGAGGGTACAACCTCCCCCCACCTCCGCCTTCCCAGCACCCAACCGCAGGCTCTCACCACGAATGGCCCGCGGCCACGTCCGCATCTACATGGAACAACCCTAACTCCATATCCACAGCTAGCGAGCATGGGCTTATCCAGCTCGCACCGCTCCGCCAACACCCTTCGTCTTCAACCCGTCAGCACGCGTCTTCGTCCTCGTCGTCCTCATCCGATGCGTCGTCGCCCGTGGCTGGGAATGCGAACGCACCAGGTGGAGGTGGGGGCGGAGGTGGGGGAGGGGCATACCCGCTGATCCAACTGTCTCGTGCGCCGTTTGAGCATGATGCGCGGGTGGGACCGCAGGGGAAGAAAAATGTATTGAGCATCGGAAGTATTATTTCAGACGGCGCCTAAGTGGTTGCGTTTGGATGGTTTGGATTTTAAGCGCGACGAGCGCTTTTGTATATCTCTGTAGTTGGTTAGTGATACCGTATGCCTGTTACTCGATCCCTTTTTCTTCGTTCGTTTCGTTCGTTCATGCCTTGTCGTTGTTGCTGTCAACTGTGGTTACAATTGTTTTTCTTCCTTTCGTTTGTTCTTCTGTCCAACTGTACAGTTGAATCGCTGTATCAATAATATTCGTCGCCATTTCTGATGCAACGTGATGAAGCATCATCTTCTAGACGGTCTACTCGTCTGTATAGAAGAAGATGAGAAAGCGGCAGTCATTTAGGACACGCTTTGGTGTTTCTTCGGGTACAGCAAGCGGATAACTACAGTGGAGATATCAGATAACCATGGAGGCCACGTACGTCACGGATAGCTTTGATGAAGAGTAGCAATCTCACGCCAAAGCTCGAGAGGCAACACTGCACTTCTGATTTTGGATGGTGCATCTTCGGCCCTATCTGATAGTAATACATGGCTCCGCCTACCGCTAAAACTTCGGAGCTCGTACAAAGAGTGCGGGGCCAGTGCAGTTATGGCCGACCTAGGAAAATCTGCGTAGAAAAATCCGGATGGGCTAAACATCGGCGCGCATCTGTTCAAGGGTTATCAGTTCCTCCTCAACGCATTGGATGATCTGCACTTACATTCCTCAAGTTCGCAGCCCTGCTTATAATTTTTCATGTCTGCCTCCCTGGATAGAAGGATGAATCCGTGCGATACTCCTAGCCGATGTCACTATACATTGTCATGATATGACCGTATACTCTGACTCTTCCCAGTAGATCGTGAACTGGAATCCACAGTGTCTATAGGGTGGGTACGTATCTCCTCGGTGATTGTGACCTGAATTGGTCGAGCGAAAGTGGGTCCCATAGTGATTACTGCCTCGGAACGTGTATTTCTCTGCATCAGGCCAAAGCTGATACTGGCGATGAGAAAAAGAGGAGTCAAGGTCTAGAAGAATGTGAGACCAGAAAGAAGGAGAAGGGTAAAGTGCCCACAGAAATCTGAACAGCAACACCAACCCCTATGATACCAGCGTTGCTGTCGATCTGGAACAGAGCGCACACTACCACAACACTAGCGGTGTAGATTGCACCGGATTCGATTATAGTATATATGGCAGCTTTGTATGCGTTGCTGCTAGTTAAACCATTCACATTTCGGCTCGCGCGCCAAAGGCGATATGAGATTCCGGACGTCACACTGATAGTGAGTGCAAGATCGAGCGCGCAACTAGCTTTACCCAAAGCTAGGATAGTATTTGAGATGTGACCGAGCTCGATTGGTATCAAGACCCATTCCACGATACTAAGGGCTAGCGGGGGGGGACGGATAATATTAGCGCCCAATTTGATAGCCAACTTGAGTTAACAAGCCTACTGAATTGACCGGTTTCCAGAGTAACCTAGAGGTATCGCGACTGGTGAAAAGCGCAACAGATAGAATGGAACCAGATATCTTACCATGACAAAACCAAGGATCCGGTTGTAGTTATAAACCACAAGAAGCCTCCAGATCTATTGCCACGTGTTAGGTTCAACACGTCCACAAGCCCATGTTCACTCACTAGCAGTATATTTAGACCGAAAGCCTGAAAGAAGGAACAACTTGAATGAGGCGCGATTCACGACAAAAACATGATACCCACATTGAGAATAACCAATCCCGTCATCGCCCTCGTCAAGCCCGTGTACTGGAGCAAGTATAGGCTACTTCCGTCGGGGACGGAGATTACAGCAGGATTTGTGAAAGCCTGCAGAGCGACAATAAGGCAGATGATGTTGTGTGCTGTCGCGACCGAAATGTGGTAAATGCATGAGCTAGCATTGATCCTGATCGAAAGGTGAATGGTGGCGAGTGATTGAACAAGTAATACTACGAACCAATGCACCTTTTTGTGCCCACTAAACAGGGCATACATACATACGACAAAAAGCACACAGCTGTCGATGCCTAGTGTAAGCCTTCCCCTTGCTTCTAGTCCGAGTACGAACTCACTTGACTCCTGTCGGGCGGATTATTAGCATTGACTCTTCTACGCTGCCCAGCAAAACGCATACCATAAACTATAGACTCTAACCAAGCTGCGATTAAGAACATGCGGTTAACGGCTGGAATTGACATGATCGCCTGAGGCTGGTAACTTTGAGGCGAACATTCTGAAACTCATGTCGAAGTTGAAGCTCAAATAATTATTTCAGTGGATATGATATGATGATCGAAGTGAGACAATCGCGGTCTTGGGATTCAGATCTCCGCTCCGACTCTTGGCTCCAGATACAACTATCATGCACCCCCTCTCCTTCAACGTAGAACAAATGCATCGGGCTTTATTTGTCTCGGAAGTCCTCCTGGAGATATTCATCAATTTGAATCAGCTCCCAACCACAGAGGGCTGGACTCAATCTCTGACGCAGAGATCCCTTGCAGCCCTTGCCAGGACATGCAAAACCTTCCACGAGCCTGCAATGGATTTGCTTTGGGCTAACATGCCTGGGTTACGACCACTGTTGGGCTGTGTGACGAGGTTACATTCAATGATATATGATCCTGAGACCAAGGTCAGTGCGGGGTATTGAAAGCAAGGCTCATTGTTCGGTTCGGTTCGGTTCGGTTCGGTTCTTTCATTCGTTCGCTGATCGAGCATCTAAACGCAGTACTCCTGGTCTCAGTGCGTCGACCCATTAGCTGAGCACGAGTTCCATGAATTTTTGCGTCATTCGGCGCGTGTACGCAGCATGACCATATCATCCAACACATATTTTCGCCTTCTTACGGCCCTCCCCATCGAGACATGCGTATTCCCAGGACTGATCTCATTATCCTGGATGGTTCAACGCACGAATATTGGAGATTTGCACTTTTTCCTGTCCCCTACGCTGCTCAATTGTTCTGTGTCGGAATTCCATTCAGATTTGACACATATCGGGACACGTTGTGCTGCCCTGGAGGCAATAACCCTCCTGGAGGATAGCGGCACAGTGCAGCTGTCTGCAACCGTCCGTTCATGCAAGCGGCTCAAATATCTGGAATGTCCACCGCTTGACTCGGCAGCGTGGATGCACCTCTCCACCGTCCCCACCCTTCTCAAGGTGAAGATTGTCGCATCACGCATTATTCATTTCCCCTTGGACAATCTCAATTTTGCAACTTTCCTCAACCTCACGACTCTTTGCTTCCGCCGAATGGAAGTGGCAGCTGTTGTCACAATCATGCAACATTTTGAATTTCCCTCGCTAAAAGAGTTCGAGATGCACGTCCGTGTTTTACCTTGGGCAGAGGCTGAGCAACTTTGTCGTGCACTGTCACAGTGCAAAGCAAACCAGACCCTTGAACATATATGTATTTCTTCCCGCGATAGAATTCCGCAGCACTCAGGCGACCCTTTAACAGCAGTTAGACAGTTTCTTTGCTTTACGCAGCTGCGAACGCTAAGACTATCTACTCATTGCTTCATCTACCTCGACGATGACCTTCTTCTTGAGGCCATGACAAGTTGGCCGTACATTCGCTCCCTGTCATTAGATGACTGGCATATTTGTCCACCTACCGTTACATTCCGTGGGTTGATCGCGGCGCTCCGCCTATGCCCATACTTGCAATACCTGCAAGTACCGGTCGACTTTCGGAATATTGACATCGGTCCTGAAGCCAAGTTATTTCAAAACACCTCCCTACAAAATTTGACTATAGCCTCATCTGAGCCCAAGGAGACGGATTCGGAAGCTGTCGCTCGCATCATTTACTCCGTGCTTCCTGCCGTCGAGCAAGTTATGCGTGGAAACGGCAACGTACGGTTGTGGAACAACGTCAACAGGCATCTCGAACTCCTTAGAAACAAATCTTCCTCGGCGTCTGGCCACTTTATCACAGGAGCAGCATCACAGACCTGAGTTCAGGGTATGCTCATGTTTCAGGAATTGTCAAAGTTACGGTCGGATATTCCGATAGGTAGAAAAAGAGAAAGTCGGGGCCGGAATGGCTATCGATCAGCTGCACTCAAATATTTGTTTCGAGGGCTTAGATTGAAACATACCGACCGCTATATACTAGTATGTGTATATATGTAAATATCTTCGACGTCTGTACATATGTCAATGATCTACCAAATCGTTCAACTGAACTAGTACTCAGAACAAACTCTGAAGTAATACTTCACCGATTGACCTACCGCTGTAGAATTACGGTGCGCCACGCTTTATTCATCTCTTTTCATCAGTTCGTTCACTGAGTACTGATCATCTAAGCCCTCGAACAATGATTATCGGAGGATGAGACCCGTCAAATTTTGCATCACTCCAAGTCCTCGTTGGACGTGCGTATTTATATCGTTGGACTGGCGAAACTGCTCACTGCAGTGGTAGCATCCGGATAGCAACCCTTCCTGTCCCCTGCGCTGCGCTAATGTTGAGCTCTTCCCTCACATGTGAAATCGACTCATCGACAACGACGCAGTGGCTGGAAATATGCATACTCATTGACATCAACCTCCTGATATTTTCAAACTCAGCTACTTACTTGTACTCGCTACTCGCTACTTGCTCGCTACACTATCGAAGATCTGATGCATCAGGCTTTATGTGTCTCGGAAATCCTCCTGGAGATATCCAGTCATCTGACTGATCATGAAGTCTTTCACCAATTCTTAAGCTCAAGCTGGACTTTTAAATCACCAATGCGGAAATCTCTTACAGCGCTCGCCAGCACATGCAAAACCTTCCACGGGCCTGCGATGGATTCGCTCTGGTCTAATATCTTGGGGTTAGAACCGCTATTTAGCTGTGTGACGAGGCTGCATCCAATATTAACATACGATCCTAGTAACGAGACCAATGTCAGCGTGGATTATTTTTGTTCGTTCGTTCGCTGACCGAGTATCTAAACACAGTACTCCCGGTCCGCTTCCTGGTCTCGGGGCGTTGACCCATTAACCGAGCATGAGATCCATCAATTCTCGCGTCATTCTACGCGTGCGCGCAACATCTACATGCCAACCCTGACTGGCATTCATTTTCACCTTCTTACGGCCTTCCCCGTCGAGACATGTATGTTCCCGCAACTGCTGTCGTTACGCTGGGGTGAAGGCATGAATACCGCACCCTTGCACATTTTCCTGTCCCCTACGCTGCGCCATTTGGTTACATTGGACCTTCATTCAGATTTGAAATATATTGGGACGCGTTGTGCTGCCCTGGAGGTGTTAACGGCGTATACCTACCAGGATGCCAGAAGCCCAGTCCAACTGTCTGAAATAGTCCGTTCATGCAAGCGGCTCAAACATCTGGATTGTCATCTGCTCGATTCCGCAGGATGGATGCACCTCTCCACCGTCCCTACGCTTCTAACGGTGCAGTTTACCGCATTGTACACTATCCATGGCGTGTTGGGGTGGGACAAGCTTGATATTGCACCTTTCCTCAACCTCACTACTCTTTATTTCCATGGAGGAGACATGGAAGACATCCTCGCGATCATACATTATTCCGAATTTCCCTCGCTAAAAACGTTCAAAATGGAGATCAACGTTTTACCTTGGGCGCAGGCTGAGCAGCTTTTTTGTGCACTATCACAGTGCAAAGCAAGCCGGACCCTTGAAGATATCGACATTACTACCTATGGTCGAGTGCAGGAGGACGCAGACAACTCTTGGACGGCAGTTAGACAGTTGGTTTGCTTTACGCAACTGCGAAGGCTAAATTTATATGCTCATTGCCCCATCTACCTTGACAATGACCTTTTTTTTGAGGCAATGTCAAATTGGCCGCACATCCACACCCTTTTTTTATTGTGGCAGCATCCTTCTCCATCTACTACCCTTTCATTGGGGCAGTATCCTTCTCCACCTACTACCCTTACATTCCGCGGGTTATCCGCAGCGCTCCGTCAATGTCCCCACTTGGAAGACTTATCGGTATATATCGACCCTCAGAATGTCGATTTCGATCCTGAAGGCGAGTCATTTCAACACACGTGCCTGAAAAGTTTGAGTCTGGACTCGTCCGCGGAACTATCATCGGATGAGGAAGCTGTCGCTCGCATCATTTTCTCCATGTTCCCTTGCGTCGAACGAGTTTTCACTGGAGACAGCTATCCGTGGTTCTGGGGCGAGGTCAACACGTGTCTCGAATCTCTTAGAAAAGGGGCCTGCCTTAGCGCTTGGCCTGCGTAATGCAGGAGCAGCCCCACATGTCTGAGTTCAAGGTATACTCGCGTTCAAGAATTGTCAGTTGCCATTTCCTCCGCAATGTTAATCCCTTCCGTCAATCGAGTTGTGTTGCTAATCACTGGGCACTTCGCTTGCGTCTGGGACGAGGTCAATAGGCATCTGCAGTCTTTTTAGATCAATGACCTGAGTTCGAGATATACTCATGCTGGGGCAATTGTCTATATTGCATTTGATATCATGCCTTAGTACCCTGCTGTCGTCGCCGTTTGCTATGGTTGCAATGCAATTGTGTTCTCCTTTCTGACGTCGGATTGTCAAGTCATAGGTTCCTGTCACGCATGTCAGTTGTTCGCATATGAAACATGAAGCATCTTCATGCTACGAGTAAGAAACCGAACCAATCCCATAAGTACTCAGACAACAGCCACGCAAGATGGATAGAATCAATTGCTACACCTTTTCCTCCCATGGTTCATCCCGCAATGAATTTACAGCTGGAATCTATGCCCGAAGTCCAGACTTGTCTTCTGCACTGATGCTATACAATTGCATCACCTCGATGATTTTATTCAAGGTATCGCGATCCGCGCGTTCCAGGAGTGTCAATCCCCTATCATACACCTGAATCCGACACCTGCCGCGATTGGTACTACGTTGGAAGCCGCAGGTCCTGCCAGGACAGACATGATGCCCACAATAGTACCCATCATCGAGAGCGCAACAAAATTGAACACCGAGTGAGATGAAATTTCATCGTCACGTCATAAAACAACCTACATATATGTAGTCCTGCGGGGATCAGCCGTAAGTCCATCATCTAGCTTATCGACCAGTACTGTGCATAGATCATATCAGAATAGATGCGATGACGGTACATAAACGAGACATTATAGGATGAGGGTCACGGAAATGCCACGCAGTGACAATGTCCGTGTGAAGCACACTCAGACAGTCCCGCGTCCTATGGTTTTTGAATGCTGTGCTTGATGCCAGCGCCTTCTGATATCCTGTAACACATTAAGATTCAGTTGTGTTCTGTCATCACTGACATGGAATCAAGACAGGTTTCTCTTGCCGACGCTGAAGATACGTAAATCGCAAGACAAGAGCCAAGTAAGTAAGGCTCACTCAATTGACGACTTTATATTGAGGCCAGGGTCTACTCGCTGGGCGATGGGGGTCGTCACCAACGCATCAGCCGGAACATGCTGACGGACATGGCTGTGCTGGTTAATTTTAGACGCACGCATGAAACGGCCAGAATATTAATACCCACAAGAGATCACCGCGTGAGGTATATCAGGCCCTGCAAGTTTCTGATGAAGACATCTTGTAGCTCTGGCATCTGCTTTATTTTCTTGATGTCATCCTTGCTCAATTCTTCAAGATAGGAGTTACCCAGAGTACGATTGACGCGGTCGAGGAGCATATCGGAATTTATTGAGAACGACAATGACAGGGACTTTAACCAAAAGGTGAGTTACCACCTGCGAAGGGCGATAGTCATCGGTCAACGTACTGTTTCCCAGTTTTTCGTCGCGCTTCAATGTGAGGAATGTCTCTGTGCCGGTCTCCAATAAACGCCCGCATGTACGGGGTATTTCAAAGCAAATCCTTGCATGCATGTCATCAGCTCGCCACACAAACTCATAAAGATGGAACCCCCACCAAACGGCGTGCAGTTGATCTTTCAAATCAGGCATTTCTCTCCGACAGTTAATGAAATCTTGGCCGACTTTGAGGTTGTCTTTTCCCCTGGTTCAAATCATTTGCTATCATGGAGAACGAATTTATCGTTCTGTGGTGAGATGAACTCGTGGTCTATGGTGACCTCGCCTGGTTTATTGTGCAAAGCGGCCCATTGAGAGTATGAATAGCTGCACGAGTTGCAGCGTCGTGAGCAGCCCACCGCACTTTCTACTCTAAATGCGCAATTGATCAGTGAAGTCTCGCCGACGCCGGTCTATTGGACGCACGTTGTCAGCACATGGTGAGATCAACGAAAAAAAAATTACATTTCCTATCACCAAAATTCGGAACCTTGGGATTGTCGTATCAGCAAGAATGACGCTTCATGGTTATCCTGACTCACCGAGAACATATTCGAATGATTTCATCAGTGTTAGGAAGCTCTGTGTTTGCACCGAAAGGAGAGTCAGACTGATCAGCCTGTTAGTCTACGGCTTAGACGAGATTGGATGCAAGAGGCGGATCCTTACTTCGGTTGCCGTATTCCCGGAAAGCTCGACAATGATCGTGAAATTTTGGTGAACCTTGTGTATTCTGTTCGAGTCTGTCAGCAATCAAGACGAGAGCGTAGTAATTATGCTTACTTTGTGGCTCAGGTTCTCCACTTGCACCAAACACGCGGAAGATATCTTCAGTACCAAACTGAATGTCTTTAACGGCCTTGATTCCAAACCTCTTGTTTTATACACGTAAGGAAAACACATCCCTAATAGAAAGCTTCCTATGATTAAAACAGTTAAGACGAGTACATTTGTCTGGTTCAAGTGCCTACATGGGGTGAGAAAAGTTGCAAAGTCTTTCCTGGTGCACATTCAACCGGTGCGTGCAACTTGCCGATCCGTACTTCAGCAGACTACATTCTTTGCGGCTTGCTGAAATCAACGGAGACACCTATGTGATATATTCAGTGAAGTTGACCGTTAAGCTGATGCCTGGAGTTGTGTACCAGATATATGAAGAGCACAGGGAACTGTTGGTGCGTGAGGGGGGTTGACTATGCTCAGGCTGATGGAAAGTTACTAGGTAATAGGAAAGACGCAGGAAAAGTCACGGTGACGGTAGATTTATGTGGAGTGTGGTCAGCTGCGCCGGGGGTAAACGTTTAAACTCTAGTCTCACCTAGTACTACATGCATCATGCATCATGGTTCAGCTGGCTGTTTATATCCAGCGCCATGGCACGGGTCTTTATCACTATGTCTATATATATACATGGTAATTCAAATAATGTTTGATCCTATTATAGAACCCGCAATACACGGAGGACAACCTTACATTAATATGCCCATTGCCTATTAGATCGACTGTCAAGAGCGCTCACAGAGTTCAAACTTCACACACTGAAGTCTGCGGTGATTATAAGCCTGCCCTCAGTGCTGAACAATTCTCGGACTCCCGGTATCATCATTTACCTTCATCCATGGATGCTTCAAAGATAAAAGAGAAAATAGATCGCTTTCGAATCCTCATCATAGGAAGAGCGAATGCAGGAAAAACGACCATCCTAAAGAGGGTGTGTAATACACAAGACAGCCCAGAAATATATAACCGCTATGGGAGAAAGGTGCGCATCACGATGTTAGTACGATACTGATATATAGTGATGACTGTCCCACCGACATCAGATCGATGTCGCTGTTTTGACGGCATCGAGACAGGTAACATGTACTATCATTAGTTGGCAACATGAACTGACGTGTCCTCAGCGTGGAGAGCACAATATCGAGAACGAAATGGTGTTCCGCAACAACCCAGGATTCATTTTTCATGATTCACGCGGTTTTGAAGCAGGCGGCGAATCTGAGTACAACAAGGTGAATGCATTTATTGCAGGCCGGTCGAAGAAAGGAGATTTAAAGGATCGAATTCATATGATATGGTAATTGGTCAACTTGGCGACATGCACTAGCTCACTCTTTGACATAGGTATTGCATACCAATGGATGAGGAAAGTAGGTGTTTCACCGAAGGTGAACTCAAATTTTTCTCTCACTGTGACACCGGGAGCAGTAAGCTTTCGCATCTGTCTTGTTGTTGACCGATTCGTAACTTTGATCCTCAGTTCCAGTGATCGTATTATTCACCAAATTCGATGCCCTATATGACGTTGAATTCGCACGACTGATGGAGAATGGAGCATCAAGGGAAGATGCTAGGAGGCTGGCCCCGAAGCATGCTGAGGAGACATTCGCGAATGGGCCTCAATTGAAGTTTCTATACCACTCCAAGGACATCCTACACCCTCCAAAATGTCACATATGCCTCCCTGGTAAGCTGTGGATAGTCAAATTATGATACATGATAAGTGTTGATCAATTAGACATGGACAAGGATGATGCTGATTGCGGACTACTCATCGAACGGACCGCTGGAACTCTGGACAATGAAGCGCTGAAGGAGTTATTTGTCTCGACTCAGCAGACCAACATGGAGCTCTGCATGAAATATGCGGTTGAAGTGTAACTACCCATAATTTCATTTGCCTGCCGCGAGCGTTATTGACTATCATCCAGCACACTTGCAAAACTTGTTGCCTCTGATGAGAAAATCTCACCCCAAGACACAATAGCGAGATTGGGTTCCTGGTTTCCACATATTCGGGTAAGATTATGGCAATGTTTGAAAGTTGCTCTCATTTATGTTGGACATTTCCTTGCAGGCAGTACGTCGGTGTTGATCCTCCATTAAGCTCAAGCCATACTGATCTAAGTAATTGCCCACTATTTGCAGATGGTGAGTGTGTTGATCTTCCTTCGAGCTCGAGCCATGCTGATCGAAGTTATTGCTCACCGTTCGCAGATTGTGAGTGTGTTGATCCTCCTTCGAGCTCAAGCCATACTGATTGAAGTCATTGCCCACGTTCGCAGTCTGTAAGTGTGTTGATTCTCCTTCGATCTCCAGCCATGCTGATCGAAGTCGTTGCCCACTATTCGCAGCTTGTGAGTGTGTCGATCTTCCCTCACGCTCGAGACATGCTGATGAAGTCGTTGTCCACTCTTTGCAGTCTGTGAGTGTGTCGATCCTCCTTCGAGCTCCAGCCATGCTGATCCGAGTCATTGCCTACCGTTCGCAGCTTGTGAGTGTGCCGATCCTCGTCCGAGCTCCAGCCATGCTGATCCGAGTCATTGCCCACTGTTTGCAGCTTGTGAGCGTGATAATCCTCCTTCGAGCTTGAGCCATGCTGATCGAAGTCATTACATATTCGCAGCTTGTGCGTGTTGATCCTTCTTCGAGCTCGAGCTATACTAATCGGAGTCATTGCCCATTGTTTGCAGCTTGTGAGTGTGTTGATCTTCTCTCGAGCTCGAGTCATGCTGATCGAGGTCGTTTCCCACTTCCCAGTGGGTGAGTGTGTTGATCCTCCCTCGAGCTCGAGACATGCTGATTGACGTCGTTGCCCACTCTTCGCAGCTTGTGAGTGTGTTGATCCCCCTTCGAGCTCGAGCCATACTGATCGGAGTCGTTGCCCACTCTTCGCAGGCCGTGAGTATGTTGACCCTCCTTCGAGCTCGAGCCATGCTGACCGAAATTGCCTACTGTTCAAAGAGAGTGAGCGCGTTGATTCTCCTTCGATCTCGAGCCATGCTGATCAAAGTCATTGCCCACTGTTCGCAGATTGTGAGTGTGTCGATCCTCCTTCCAGCTCGAGCCATGCTGATCGAAGTCATTGCCCACCGTTCAAAGAGAGTGAGTATGTTGATCCTCCGAGCTCGAGCCATGCTGATCGAAGTCATTGCTCACTGTTCGTAGTCTGTGAGTGTATTGATCCTCCTTCGAGCTCGAGCCATGCTGATCGAAGTCGCTGCCTGCTGTTCACAGATTGTGAGTGTGGTCATCATCCCTCGAGTTCGAGCCATGCTGATCGAAGTCGTTGCCCGCTGTTCACAGATCGTGAGTGTGGTCATCATCCCTCAAGTTTGAGCCATGCTGATCGAAGTGCCCACTGTTCGCAGCTTGTGAGTGTGGTGATCCTCCTTCAAACTCGAGCCATGCTAATCGACGTGATTGCCCACTGTTTGTAGTTTGTGAGTGTGTTGATCCTCCGAGCTCGAGCCATGCCAATCAATGTCATTGCCTGCTGTTCATAGAGAGTGAGTGTGTTGATCAGCCTTCGAGCTCGAACCATGCTGATTGTAGTCATTGCCCACTATTGGCAGGTTGTGAGTGTGTCGATCTCCTCTCGAGTTCGAGACATTCTGATCGAAGTCGTTGCCTGCTGTTCGCAGCTTGTGAGTGTGATGATCCTCCTTCAAGCTCCAGCTATGCTGATCGGAGTCATTGCCTGCTGTTCATAGAGAGTGAGTGTGTTGAACCTCCTTTGAGCTCGAACCTTGTTGATCGAAGCTGTTGCCCATTCTTCGCAGGCTGTGAGTGTGTTGATGCTCCTTCGAGTTCGAGCCATGCTGATCGTCATTTCCCACTGTTCATAGAGAGTGAGTGTGTATCCTCCTTCAAGGCTCAAGCCATGCTGATTGAAGTCATTTCACATTGTTTGCAGTCTGTGAGTGTATTGATCTTCCCCTGATCTCAAGCCATGCTAATCGAAGTCATTGTGCACTGTTCACAGTCTGTGAGTGTGTTGATCTTCGTTCGAGCTCGAGCTATTCTGATTGAGGTCATTGCGCAGTCTGTGAGAGTGTGTATCCTGATTCAAGCTCAAGCCATACTGATCCGGGTCATTGCCCACTGTTTGCAGCTTGTGAGTGTGTTGATCCTGCTTCGAGCTCGAGTCATGCTGATCGAAGTTATTGCCGACTGTTCACAGAGGGTGAGTGTGTCTATCCTTTCCGAGTTCAAGCCTTGCTGAATGAAAGAATTTCCGATCCATTGGTAGAATGTGAGCATATTCATCTTCCACAGACGTTGAGCTATACTTAGCGAACAAATTGCTAATCTGTTGATAGCTTGTGAGTGTGTCCATCCCCTGCCGACCTACCACCTTGCTTATTGTGCCATTCCGTTTTCAGAGTGTGAGTATGCTCCGTCGACCTCGAGTCATGCCGACCGAAAATATTACTGATCTATTGACAGGTTGTGAGTAAGCTCATTCACCGTTGTGGTTGAGTTATCCTGATGAAGACATCGTCTATCTGTTCACAGTCTGTGAGTGTGTTCATCTGCCTTCGATCGAGCCTTGCTCACCAATGACATTCCTCATCCATTAACAGCAAGTCAGTGTGTTGATTCCCCGTCGAGCTCGAGCTCTGCTTATCACTAGCATTGTACATTCCTTAACAGATTGTGAGTGTTTAATCATTGAGCGTTGCTCATAAATGACATCACCGATCCTTCGATAGGAGGTGAGTTTGTGCATCCTCCTTTGACCTTGGGCCACGCTGACCGAAGATATTGTTCATTGACAGAATGTGAGTGTATTCATCTGCGGTAGAGGGAGATGATTTCCAACTTTCCATTGTGATTTCACCAGCTTCGGCGCGTTCAACGTGAGGAGATGGGGTCTAGGCTACTCTCTGTGGTATGTCCAACCGGTCACAGACCACACACACAGTTCTCATGTTGAAAAATTGCCAGGCCCCTGGCTCATCACCATTAGAGACAATCGTTCAGCTTAGCTCTGGTGAATTTTCAGGCGACGTTGCAATGAGCCCACTCATTATTGATCATTTAGCAACTGTCATCATTTTCGATCACTCTTTCTACATTTTTGACAAGCGGCGCTATCTTCAGGACCAGCAGAACTCTGTTCCCTCCTTTCTTGACGCTCTCGAGCAGTACATGGCGTCTCCGCAGGCAGCTGCTGTCAGGCAAGCTGTGAGCACTGCTGTTCAGGCATATCAAGACGCTGCGAGCTCGTCTACTCGGAAGGTGAAACAAAATGAGAGGATGGCGGAGTTGATGAAAGCAATTTTTGAAATCACTTTACGGTATCGCCTGCGTATGCATCTACTTTGATGATAGTAACAATCCCGCTGATCCGTTTACCTACAGCAAGACCTTAATGGTGGGCAACACATCACCACGTCGATGATGCTGGAGCGGAGCTGAAGTATTTCGGCGGTGAAAGCATGTGTCTCAAATGACCTGCCGAGGTGGTTTCAGGAGGTGGGGATGTATCAATTGTTGTACGATCATGCAATGTAGCGCTTTTTATGGAAAGGTGTGGTGTACACACACGCGGCTCATTGGTCGCCCATAGCTGAGACGGTGGCGAGCCCTACTGGGTCTCCAATAGCGCCTTGTTGTACCTCCCAAGTATCCGTGCTCCGATTGTATGTGGATCAAGGTCGTGTATCATCCGCGTACCATTCTGCTCCATATCTTTTCTCGACGTGCATCATTTTTAAAAAAAATTATGATAGACCTGACAACGTTAGTCGCTCTAGCTGGTAGACGCTAGATATGATCTCTCACAGGACTTGGCTGTTGGCAGATAACAGGTCACCAAGTCAAAGGTGGATGTGCTAATACATCGTACGTCAAGCGTTTGGCTACCACCCTGTGCATTCCACGGTCGGAGTCCCATCGTTCTTGTTTCCACTATACAGTCAATACTTATTCTAGGTGCAACATCTCGAACGACTGCTAGAGATGACGCCATAAATGAATAAGGAGAAGACAGATTGCAGACTATCTGCATAAACTTGTGGCGCTGGATGTCACCTATGCTATCATGGTCTCTGGTGGATACCATCTTTTAAATGAGGCATTTCTCTCCGACAGTCAATGAAATGCCGTACTATTTTGAGGTTATCTTTTCCCCCTGACTAACATCCTTTGCTAACATGTAGAACAAATCCACTGTTCTGTCGTGAGATGAACTTGTGGCCTCGCCTGGCTTATTGCGCGAAGCGGTCTACTGGCAGTATGAGCAGCCCACCGCATTTTCCACTCCGAGTCCAAATGCGCAATTGATCAGTGAAGTCTTGCCGACGCCGGTCTATTGGACGCACATTATCAGCACAGGCGTGAGATCAACGACCATTTGTTACATTTTATATCACCAAAATTCGGAACCTTGAGATTTTCTTGCGTCAGCAAGGCTGGCGCTTCATGGTTATCCTGACTCACCGAGGACAAATTTGAATGTCAGTAGTAGGTTGAAGCTTCTGGTTTTCATTAGAAGAAGAGCCAAACTGCTCAGCCTACCAGTCTATGGCTCAGACGAGTTTGGATGCAAGGGGTAGATCCTTACCTCGCTGGTTGCCATATTCCCGGAAAGCCCGACGATGATCGTGAGATGTTTGTGAACCTTGATGCATTCTATTCCATTCCGTCGGTCATCAAGGCGAGAGCGTAGCAATCATGCTTACCTTGTATCTCATGTTCTGTAATTGCACCAAACACGCGGAAGATATCTTCGGTATCGAACTGAATGTCTTTACCAGCCTTGATTCCAAACCTCTTGTGTTGTACACGTAAGGAAAACAAATCCTCAATAAAAAGCTTCCTGTGATTAAAACAGTTAATACGAGTACATTCGTCCGTATCGAGCACTTACATGGGTGGAGAAAATGTACGTTGCAAAGTCTGTCCTCCTGCACGTTCAACCGGCGCGTGTAACTTGCCGATCCGTATTTCAGCAGACTATACATTCTCTGCCGACTTGCTGAAATCTTCCGTTAAGCTGAAGCCTGGAGTTGGATACCAGAGATATGAAGAGGACAGGGAACTGTTGGGCCGTGAAGAGAATTGACTATGTTGATGGAAAGTTACTAGGTAGTAGGAAAGACTCTCCGTGCAGGAAATGTCATGGTGACGTTAGATTCATGTGGAGTGTGTGATCAGCTGCGCCAGGGGTGAACTCTAGCCCCACCCACTCGGAGCAGGGAAGACCGAATAGAAGGACGATTTCAACTGGAATTGGTTCCTTCCGGCCCCTCGTTGGTGTGTGTTGTCTCAAGGCCACAGGCCTCATGCATCATGGTTCACCTGGTTATTTGTATTCAGCGCCACAGTGGCATGGATCGTTATCTCTGTACAAGTTTTGTGATCGAGTCATAGGATCAAACGTTATTTGAGTTGCCATTACAAATTACGTATAGACATTATGAAATATGGAAAGCAGGACAGCCGTGCTCGTTTTGTCACTGTGACATTATCCATAATAGGTAATCACAACATGAGGACTCCGCGTACCGCATGAACCTCCTTCGATGAGTGTCGAGCACCCTGTTATGACTCCGAGCTAGCTCGGTTCCCTTAATTGCCTTTGAAAAAAATCCGAACACTAATAGATACCGAACCATTCCGTACTTCACAAAAGACCTCGAAAACCACGAAAAACAAAACCTTTCTCGGCTCCCTTGGCTCCATCTTCTGTAGTATATAAGGCGCTACCTTTCACCACATCCCCCAACAATGTGCCCTCTCAACGCGCTCGCCATGAACCACTTACCACAACCATCACATTCTTCGGTAAGTCCCAGTGCATCATACCGACTAATTCCTATACCAGCCGCGAGTGCATAAATATGCCCTTGTTCGATTCTCGAGACTAAAAGAGGTGTGCGTGGCTGTAGCACGTTGGTGCTGCGTCCAACTGGTTGTCGAGCACGGCCGAGTAGGACATTTTTTGGTCTTGGGATAAACACTGTACATTTACTTTAAAAATAAAACTGAAAACATATAGAGATTTCGTACCAGAACGATGGCGCTGTTTTCCAGTCACTTCGAAGTTGAAGAAGGGTAATAGGCTTTGAGTCCTGGCAGATGGCCGCAAATGCATTGATGAGTGTGAGCCGAGATAGTTAACAAAGTATGGCGCGATTTCAGCGTGGCCAAATGGTAGTCCGGTAATGGTAGTCCGAAAGGCAGTAAGCAACAGCTCAATATCAGGAACATCTCCTTGAACTAGGGATGGATGAGATTCACGCCCTCAACATCTGAGTCAAGTAAAAAATTACCTTCTGTTGGGAAGTCATGGTACGAGGATTCGAGCAGCGCCGTATGGTGTGTCTCGTTAAGGTTGACTGAAAATAATTAAGCAAGTAAGAAGAAACGGCTGAAATGAAAAACGTACTGGAAAATCTGCAGCGGTGGTCTCGAAAATGACAAACAACCTTTGTGTGACCAACCGCTGAAGTGACAAATCGTACTGGAGTGGGACGGTCGTGCGCGAGGCCACAAAAACACTCCCAAAAGCAGCGCCGCCGCATTAAGTATGCTGCAATTCCGCTGGGTACAATGCGGAGACCTCTGGAGATTGGACTATATAACTACGAGTGAGTATTTAAGCAGAGAAACAGAGACAAAATACATACTATGCAATCTCAACACATTGACGAGCGTCACGAGAGTAAATTACGAGCTCCGTACTGCTACGTTGAGCAGCGCAAGCCGTTGCAAACAGCGTGTTTCGAGCAGGCATGGTAACAGTAGTTCACGGGGAAAACCAAAGGAGTAGTAGCGAGGTAGTCACTGATGAGAGAGCTTGAAAATGGCTGGGTTTATATATCATTGTCAGTGCTTCAATAAGTTCTCGCAAAGTTCGTCAGTCACCTCCTGAACAGAACTCGGCAGACATTCAATGGCCGAAAAAATCTGTTGCCATCGTTCGATTTTTCAAATGTGCACTAAGATGGGGGAGTTTGAGTAGTGTGTGGGCATGGCCAGTGGCATCAAGGGGTCCAGATAGCAAATGCCGTCTGAAAAAAAAGAAAAAAAACATACCGGAAAACCTCCGTAGTGAATAATCAGTCTTCTCTCGACGCATTTGACACGGCCGATGTGGAGATTTGTTAACTGCAATATTGCAAGCCAGCCGAGGACCTGTGAAGACTTGTGAAACCCGTGAGTGCATGAAAATTTATTGTTCAACTATACCAAAAAAGAGGAAACCAGAGGTCGGTGATGTAGCCGAAGTGACAACAGTCACTACTAGTGTGGAATTGCAAGGAGACTCTAGAGCAAATGGGTCGCAGAACAGGGTCTTCGTGTATTGAGTAGGTGACAGCCTGAGACGAGCGTTGAACGTTGAACTCAACTCGTCCAAATAAGGCAAGTTCGACTTCGCCGTGCATGATCCACTGATACTTACACTCAGATCATCTACTACTATATCTACTACGTCTTCGGTGCTCAGCGAAAATGCCCCCATATCATGGAATTATCCTCTGCTCAGCTTACTGCGCTTCAAAGTGCTCAGTCCATCTTACACGACGCTGGGCTGTCTCCTCGCGATCTCGATGATCACTCTCAAGCTTCGTCTCCATCCCCATCATCTTACTCTTCCCCAGATTCACCTACTACACCTCTCCCATTGTCTGATCCGGACTCGTGTTCTGCCATTCTCGCAGCCCAATATATTCCCCCTCCTGCACGCTCCTTCTCGCCAGCTGAAATATCTGCTGGTGCTCACCGTATCAATCGACAGTCAATCGCACATGCAATCATCAATCACCCACCAGGTATCATCGTCGAGTATCCTCAAACTGGTTCATCAAAGGGCAATGCTATTGCCCACATTTTTACTCTTGCTCGCGACTCAAACACCGCGGATTTCAACCCTGCTCCTCAGTCCAACTTCCAGTATTCACTAGGTGATGGTCATGGTCGCTTGAAGGGTGTTCAATGTCACCTGCTCCGTGATAGTGCGGGCCAGCCAGTGCGCTGCAAAAAACTCTCTACATCTTGTAAGTCTGCGACGTTTTTCTAACCTGCATTTAGTACTGACTGCTCCTTTGCAGGTAAAGGACTTAAAACGTGTTCTGCACGTTCGGAGAAAATTTTCAATGCCACGCACTCATATACGAATCGCTCGCACGTTGCAGAGCTCATTGCTCCCCCGCTCCTACCGTTTGAAGACAGTGCGAAGCGTGAAGTTTTCCTCAAGACATTTGCTTTTTTCTGCTCTCTTGTAGAGCACGGTTGTGCATTTATGGCCAGTCCTGAGTGCGTTGGCATGGATCGTGATGACGCAGACTCGGATGATGTTAGTATGACGAGTACTGTTATGGACGACGAAGAAGGTACCACACGACACTTGTCGAGTGCTAGTAGTACCTGCCAAGGTAAACTTGTCATGCGAGTTGACAGATTCAACCGGCGCTACATCCAGTAAGTTGTTTCTTTTGATTTTCTCATTACTGCGCAGCTAATGTAAGATTTAGATGCCAATTTCGCTCGCAAAATAATCGGTCCCACCTGATTCTCGGTAACCTGCAGGAATTTGATACTCGCTACCTGCAGGCTCTCCTTGATGATGATGAAGTACTCATTGCATCTCATGAGGAGGATGCGAGACAGGATGGATATGGCCCGCTCATTCCTTGTCGCTTTGTTGCCTCTCCGTCTGAGCAAAAGCAACTTTGTCGTGGGTTTTTCATTTATGTTCTTCTTGCAATGTCTTGAAGTTTTTGTAGCACATTGGCATCGATTCAGCGACGGAACATTAGCACGCGGAACATTACTTAAATGGGAGCACCATTGCACCGCCAAATTCGACATTTATGTACCCGAGGATTTACCTGCATGCCCTCAAGTTGTTGTCATTTGTCGCAACCCTCATTCACATCCACCACCGGCACCTGTCAAAACACCACCTTCACTAGTCAACCTATTTCGGTCTCTTCTACTGGATATGGACTGGCAGCTTGCTGATGCAACTCCACGTCGCATTGTTTTGGACTCGGGCTTCATGAAAGGACTTCGTATGGCATTAGGATGGGTGGCAGACCGAAGCCCTTGTCTTTCTGATATTCATCCGTCGCTCGCCAACCTTGATCATGTCCGGCGTTTAATTAATGTTTTCCGCTTTGAAAAATATCCCCTTGGTACCGGTTTTGAAGGTAACCGTGTTTTCGCATCTAATAAATGAAATTGACAGAATCATCTAGGTGCAAGGCTCCTAGTTGACGAAGAAAATAAACAGCCACGAGAACAGCGTTATGTTCGCTGTGCGGAGACCTACACTTTCACGGCGAAGACTGAATTCCGCCTTGTTATTTGCATGACAACCAGCATGGCTCAGCGTCTCTTGGGTGCAAAACGGATCTCGATTGACACATCATTCAAGCGCCTGCACGGTTGGCAGGAGTTCGAGATCGAGGCATGGGATAGCGAGCATATGCGGTGTAAGTCATTTGTCCAATCAGTCAGCTGTACTACTAAGGAATCAATAGCTGTGACGGGCGCGAGAGCTTTTACAACGTCTCAAAGTGCCCAAGCACACCTAATCTTATTCCAGCGTATTTTTCAGATCGCTGAAGAAGATACAGGATTATCGGTATCTTTCTATCACATTCACGGGACAGGATATGAGTCCGTTGTTGCTGACGGGCACATGGGACAAGGACTTGGTGAATTGTTTGTTCATCGTGATCTCTCTTTTGATCCTCATTGTTGAGATTCTAGGCCTCGGGATGTTCTGCGTTGAACTCTGTCAGAATAATCATGCGTTCTGCAGTTATGAGCAAAATCGCCGGCTTCGTGACCTAGATCCATATGACCACTTGCGTCGTTTCTACCGTGTTTGCATCACTCATTTCAAGCGCAACGTTCTTGCACTTCGGACATATGTCTCAAGTGAAGTATATTCTGCAATGTTGAGTCTAGCATCTACAGAAGCACAACCCGATATTGAAACGACATTCAAAACCATCCGCGCCGGTGGAAGGAAGGCCCAAGGTACATTTTACTGACAGTTTTCAAGCTTGACACTAACACGCACATAGCTTGGTTGAAGGATAAATTAGTAACGAACAAATTTGTGCTCGCTGCGATATACCGTCCAGCAAGCCTAATACCAGAAATCATTTGGAGAGCCTGTCCATCGACTACGAACGGCAACGAGCAAGCACATCGCAGTGCGAATCGTGACGGTGTTAATCTCACCCTTCTCGGTGGTATCATGCGGGGTCGGGACTTTGACGAGCGTGCTGCACAAAGCATGGGAGTCCATATGTCCTTGGGCATCAACACCCGTGATCAAGATGCAACACACGTGCGCCGTGCTACACGATCCATTGTTCAACAAGGTAATATATATTAAATTTGTTGCAATTCTAATTGAAATCTGACATGCTGTTAGCACTTGTTCAACGGCGTCGAGCCACAGTTGCACTACCTAAGCACACACCTTCAAGACTGAGCAACAGCACACTGCCACGACAGCAGTACCACGCTGAAGGCAGGCTTCCGCCGAGTCGTTTCAGCACCCTCACGGGTGCACTCGATGACACCATAGCACCACCGAGCTCGACATATGTCAGCACGCTCGAGCATGCACTGACACCTGGCGCGAACATTGTTGATTACTGGCCAACACCAAAGACCATCAGTAACTCGCCACAAACCATCAACAACTCACCAGAATCTGCGTGGCACCCCATCCGCATTCCACTCTCTCGTTTCAGCACCCTCGTGGGTGCACTCGATGACACCATAGCACCACCAAGCTCGACATATGTCAGCACGCTCGAGCATGCACTGACACCTGGCGCGAACATTGTTGATTACTGGCCAACACCAAAGACCATCAGTAACTCGCCACAAACCATCAACAACTCACCAGAATCTGCGTGGCACCACATCCGCATTCCACTCTCTCGGTTCAGCACCTTAGCTGGAGCTCTCGGTGAAGGCCTGTGATCTCGAGGGGGTGCGGAGCGGTATAGATAGTGCGGCAGGACGAAGGTATTGTTGACGAGGTAGTGCTAAATGGAGGAGCAAGTGTAAGAACCACATAGCATAGGAATCGAGTGCCTTTGATCAAGTCCTGACTGCTATCAACGTTTTACGATTATGTAATCATTGTAGCGCAGGAATCAAGAAAAATATACCTATAGTCCATTAGAGTCCTGACTGCTATTAACGTATTGCAACTAATCATCAAGAAAAACATACCTATAGTCTATTAGAGTCCTGACTGCTATCAACGTATTGCAACTAATCATCGTAGCACAATAAACAAGAAAAACATACCTCTCAGTAGAGTCCGGACTGCTACCAACGTTTTGCAACTAATCATCCTCAACACAGCGCAGTTATACGAGAGCAAACATAAATCAATGTATTGCGCGCAAGGGTACAACAATAATACAAAGTATAGCACGGACTGAACAACAATGACAGACAAAGATAACCATGACAACGATAAGAGAAGGTAAGGTAGGATGGTGCACGCTGTGGAGAACAGTGAGGAAGACGAGGGAACATGATGCAGAAAGAATGGGGGGGATGCGGAGATGGATACTGGGTTGAGGTATATATACAAGTAGGTGATGCCGTCAACTATACCTTGAAGCGAACTGAAGCGAACTTTTCGGGGGAGTCCTGGGGTCTTGAACCCTGTGAATGCCGTGAGGGTGTTCGGACTTTTTGCAGAGGTAGTTGAAGGAACCGAGCTAGCTCGGAGTCATAACAGGGCGCTACAAACTCTCCTTCGATAAATATTAGTAGAATCAATTAATATTAATTTCAACGCACCATGCTTCCGACACTTCTCACCTATATCCTATTCTCTCATACCGCAACGCACAACTCCTTTTTATCCAGCAATCATCAAGCGCTCATCAGCTTGTTAATTAACTGGCGAGTCAATTTCTTTGCAGCGTGTTCTGCTTCGCTGACAACTTCATGATATAAAAATTAGATTTAAATGCAAAAGCTGGTCGACTCAAGGAGACGCTGGAAATCAGCTGACTCCCAGTAAGTATTTCATTTTACTTACATTCTACACCATCTTGCCACGACTCCTTGATCTTATTGACGAGCTAATGAACTGGTACATCCGATTCAACAGGCAGAGATTGAAGGTCCGAGCATCGACAATGAATCATTAACCAGGTATTTACCACTCATATGTCTTGTCATCTGCCTCCTCGTCAGAAAACCAAGCAAACAACCCCTCCTCTTCAACAACTTGTTCAGCAGGGAGTAAAGATGCATCCGGTTCATCCTGCTCAGCGAGTGAATCCAGTCGGCAATGGTCAGTTACATCTAGTTTACAATCCATTAGAATAGAGCTTGTTTAAATTAAATTAAAATACAAAAGACATACCAAGACCCAGTCCTCCATGTACACCGCCCATGTAGTAAGTGCCGTCAGCACATAACAACTCCCTCTGATGTTCAAGGAGCGGCAAATTGTCTTCATCAACATCACCATAAACTATAGGTGGCGGCAGCTGTTCGGCAAGTTGGATAGAGTGAAGCAAATCTAAGTAGATGTGCCAAGCTGATTGGCGGGTGACTGGAGGCCGACCAAGGTCATCATAATGATGTTGAATATACTGATCGAGGGGTTGAGGCACCAAGTCGAATACTAGGTGATTGGGTTTGATATACGTGCGCCGTACGTGATCTATGCCGTCCTGATCAACGGTTACCTAGTGTGTATTAGTATGAGGATGTACTAGTAGGAAGAATGAAACTCACCTTAAAATCCATTGCCCCAAAGTCTTCAGGGGAGTCATAGATTAGGTTCGGCACACCGTGAGGTAGAACCTAGTCATTTGGAATGTGAGAGTGGTGTGCATGACGGCATGCCAAAAAAAATACCTTGTTACGATCCCGTCTCTTTGCAGTGTTATTGACACGGTCTTGATACCTGTCTAATTCACACTGCAGCCATGGGATGAACACCCATCTAAATACCATGACCTGAAGCACATTATCGACATCATACCAACCCCTCACCACGCCTTCGTCCAATAGTGATTCAAAACCAGGAGTAAAACGCCGGCGCAACTGGGACCAGGCAATTTCGGGCATAACATTCTTTTTCGTGCGCATCCACCAGTGTTGCAATGTGCCGTGCAGCGATGAATCATACATTTGGCACAGCATTGTGTGCGCATTAGTGATTCCGTAGTTCTCAGATCCTGGGTCGCTCTGCGTAATCATTGGAATGTCTATCATAAACCGCTGAGTGAAATAGCACAATGGGTATCAGTTTGAATAAACTTACGACCTAGCTTTTCGATTGTGTCGAGATAGTATGTGAGTATAAGTTGAGGGTTGTGGTTCGAGTGCCAGACTCGTATCCACATAATACGGTCAGAGAATGGCTCTATTCCTGTGTGAAGTCCAAGACCAAACCGAAGCCATTTGTCATGCTGATTGACAGCGAACAAGTCGTTCACACCAGCAGCCCAGAATCATCTCCGCTGAAGCCTACGGGCTTTCCGCTGATGCACCAGGTCCGCCTCATATGCGGCAAAGTATGAAATGACCACATTCCTGTGGTTTTCTGGTCAAATTCACTGCAGGTCAGTAGGAAACGAATCAAATACCGTGATACACTCAAGTTCTTCTTATGAAAGAGCAGTGAGATCATTTCTCGTGCACCAGCATTTGGATATGCCTCGTGGAGGTCCACCATGCTGTCATGGATGGACTCGATAGAGTGATTCTGCTGCCAAGTACGCTGAAGACCCATGGCGTTACGTATCTCCTTGAACTTTGTAATACTGTGCGCACAACAGATTGTCAGCGTAAAATAACAAGTAGCAACATTCAACTGACCCTATTCCATAGCGGGATGTATCAATAACCCCCTGCAAGTGTTCAACAATCATCTTGTCGGTCTGACAGGCTTTCCACAACCGCAGGATGTGAGGTGTAATTTCCTCAAGAGGTGCTATCAGCACAATGTTAGTTGGACTGACATCATCGAAAATCAAAAGTCCACGTATGAGTCAGCTTCCATTGGTTAGGCATGCCAGGATGTTCAGAGTGTGGACAAGTGAGTTGCATAGCATTGATGCTCTTTTAAGTGTGCCAGGATGGTGCAATTCTGAGTTGGATAAGAATGAGAAGAACAAATGGAGTTACTCAGGCGACTCAGGCAGAGTTTCAGTCCAATAGATAAGTATTATGAAGAACAAGAAGAACAAATGGAGTTACCTTGGGCGACTCAGGCAGAGTTTAGGTCCAATAGATACTCAGGTGACTCAGACATGGACTCAGGCAGTGCAAAGAATGGAGCTTGTATTCAGATAGAACAGCAGGATATAATGAACGAACTTCCAAGGAGGCCATTATGTGGTGATTGCAATTGGAAATGAATCCTGCCGGACCCCTGACTTGGGCGGTTGGAAGTAAAAATCGTGAACTGCAGGATTGCCCACTCCCTGTTCAATAATCAAGTGGATAAAAGGTAGTAGATGAGTGGCATACCTGTTCTTCGGGATGAATCCACCGTAACAAATCCTGCAGGACAGTTACCAGACCAGTCAGATGCTCGGGTGCCACTGCACACTGCTGGATTGCCCACTCCCTAATCGGCAATAAATCCTGCAGAACAGTTAGGAGAGTAGAGGGTACATACCAGTAAGTCAAACATGCACACGACGAATTGGAACATGATGAGTCGGAGCATGTTACAGACTAGAAGTATAAAGTATCAGGAAAGCCGGGCGCGGCATAAACATTGGTGTTCGTTCTCTGGCTTTTCTGTAATCCTGAACTGAATTCCTTGCAGAACATCTGTGAAGGCAAGAAGGACATTGATGCCTGGATTGACGCACCTGGACTCATCACTCTTGCTTTCGACACGGTCACTCCCAAACTCTTTGTTTTTGGAAATGGGTTTCCATGGCGCACCAATGAGTTCACTGTCCGGGATGCCACTTGGGTTGATCTCTCCACCCACCAGCCTAATGTCCCTTATTTTTTCTCCCAATGTTTAGTCCCTTCTCGATGTGGGCAAAAAGCGCCAACATTTAAATCCAAGCAGTTTGCATTGTCAGTTATTGTACCAGCTGTGCAGTGGGCTGAGTACGAGGAGTGGCTGGAGAAAATCGAAGAGGTAAGAGTATCAATGGAGTCAACGGCTTCTCAACAGCTCAGACTAACTACTATCTACCATCAGCATCGTCATTGTCAGTCTGTGGCTCAAGACTTGCCTACCGCTACTTCGACAACTTATGACTTTGGGGGCACTGATGACGGGAACAGTATCAACAACTTTGATGACGGGAATGGTATCAACAACTTCGATGACGGGAGCACTATTGAGGATTTTGAGGATGGGAATGAGCCGGAAGGTGCAAACTCAAATGACTGGGAAGGTACCAGCAACATGGAGTCTGGGAGTTCCAACGACTTGGACTCATCACAGGGTCATCGGACACCTTCTCTCTCAGCAAAGCGGACGGACTCAGCAAAGGATCGTCGGGCACCTTCTCTCTCAGCCAAGCGGACACATGTTCAAGCGGAGAGTGATTCTCACTCAAGCACTGTATCGCCTCCTCGCAAGAAGGCCACAGCTGCACCGTTATTGTCCAAAGGCTTGGATGCACTTTGCCTCCCTGGCCGTGACTCTATGAGAGAGGCATTGAAGCACGGAGGCAGCGCAAAGCTAGATGTATCCAGTAAAGGTGAGTGATTCATCATTGTTTCAACACACTGAACTTCATAACAACTTGACAGTTTTTGACCGGCATCACGAAGATATCGAATATTATCCAATTCCAACCTGTTCGCTCATTGAAATCCTGAAGACACCGCAATACCGCACATTTGAACTTGACATTTCAGACTCGCATATCAGCCAACTCACGATTGATGTTCCCCTCCACAGTATGATAGAGATTGGTGCTTTCAAAACGGCTCATCCTGGGTGGCTTACTCTATCCCCCATTGTTTCTAGTGGTCTTGGATCGCGCTCTCAGCATGGTGTGGTCGTTAAGCGACCATTTATTAGGGTCCCGCCAACAGGTCAGGCCACCACTGCCACCGCATCACTCAAGATCATGCGATATTCGTCAGTGGACGAGCTGAAACATGTCCTGAAAGAAAGTGTCGTCATGTACTGGGCGAAGTCGCTGCTCAACTACACTTATGATTACATTGACCACCATATCAGCACTTCACCAACACCTCCGCCCTTTGAGATTCCTCGTGTGTGTTTGTCGATGCTGGTGTTGCTTTGGGGTATGGACAGCACAGTGTCAGCTCAAAACCAGGAGAAAAATCAAACACAAAGGCAGGAACAGTTTCGGCCGTTTATCTTCTCGAAGAGCGCATCTTGTTTGATGACAACCAGGAGTTTACCAAATTCATTCACAACATGGATTATGTGCCTTCTCTCAATGAGGATCAATATGGCTATGATTTAGCCGTTTTCCTTGCATTTACACAGCACATTCAATACATGCAGACTGAAGGTTTGGTGTTTGTGTCTGATTATCAAGGTATTCACCACAGCGCACTCATTTCACTGAGACTGACACAAATTTAGGGAGTTTGACACTTCTAATGGACCCTCAAATCTTGACTCATCCGTGCGTGTTTCATATACCATTCGTTCATTTCAATGATCTTTTTCTTGGACAGGTCCGTAAATGACGGAGATGACGTCTTTGGGGGCGGGAATATTGAGGGCATAGTAGATGAGTTCGAGCGCAAGCATTCTTGCAACCATTACTGTAGATGGCCAGGGTTTGGATTGAAGCCATTTGTCAGTTCAGAGAAGAACGACGCGTCAGTGGTCACAAGTGTGGACGATTAGACAGATTTCTTGGGTATAAGACCTTAGTATTATTGTATGACTGGAATTGTATCTTGATTCTTAAGTAATGTAGGGTGTTCAAAGTCCTATTGCCTAATAGGGATTTGTGACATGCAAAAACGAGCACGGCTGTCCTGATTTCCATAATGAAATAGAACCCGCCCACGAGTTCGTAACTCGCACGATTAGGCACGATTGGTACGCCTCATGGTACGGACTCAACGTACTCAACCTTAAGCTTAAGTATATATGCAGCCCATTGCCCATTAATTAGATCTAGTTTGACAAGAGCGCTCACAGAGTTCACACACTAAAGTCTACAGTGATTATAAGCCTGCCCTCAGCGCTCAGTCCTGGACTCCCCAATATCATCATTTACCTTCATCCATGGATGCTTCAGAGATAAAACGGAAGATTGTTCGCCTTCGAATTCTCATCATAGGAAGAGCGAACGCAGGAAAAACTACCATCCTAAAGAGGGTTTGCAAAACCAACGAGAACCCAGAAATTTTCGACGGCGCTGGGAAAAAGGTGTGTATCGTGATGCTAGCACGATACTGATAGTGACGACTGCCCCGTTGGCATCAGATCGATATCGCGGTTTTGACAGCATCCAGAGAGGTAACATGTACTGCTATCAGTTAGCAACATCGACTGATGCTGTTCTCAGCGTGGAGAGCACGATATCGAGAACGAAATGGTGTTCCACGACAACCCAGGATTCATTTTTCATGATTCACGCGGTTTTGAAGCAGGCGGGGAATCTGAGTATGACAAGGTCAATGCATTTATCAAAGCCCGTTCGAAGAAAACAAATATAAAGGATCAAATCCATACGATATGGTAATTGGTCAACTTGGCGATATGCACTAGCTCACTCCTTGAGATAGGTATTGCATACCAATGGATTAGGCAAGTAGGTGTTTTACCGAAGGTGAACTCAAATTTTTCTCTCACTGTGACACCGGGAGCAGTAAGCTTTTACATTTGTCTGGTGTTGACTGATTTACAACTTGGATCCTCAGTTCCGGTGATCGTACTATTCACCAAATTCGATTGCCTCTACGATGTCGAATTTGCACGACTGATGGAGAATGGAGCATCAAGGAAAGACACTAAAAACCTGGCTCCAAAGCGTGCCGAGGACACATTTGCAAACGGGCATCAATTGAAGTTTCTATACCACTCCAAGGACATCCGACGACCTCCAAAATGTCACGTATGCCTCCCTGGTAAGTTGTGGACAGTTGAACTGTAATACATGATGACCATTGATTCATCAGACATGGACAATGACAATGCAGACTGCGGACCACTCATCGAACGAACAGCTGAAACTCTGGACAATGAAGTCCTGCAGCAACTTCTCATCTCAACTCAGCAGACCAACTTGGAGATCTGCATGAAATATGCAGTTGAGAGGTATCTACCCATAAGCTCATTTGCCTGCTGCGAGTGTTATTGACTGATGTTTTCCAGAACACTTGTCGCCTCTGCTGAAACAATTTCATATCAGGAGGCACTACGAAGATTGGGTGTCTGGTTTCCACATATTATGGTAAATTTATATTATGGGAACGTTCAAAAGTTGCTCTAATTTATGTCGCGCGTTTGCTTGCAGGTAGTACGTCTGTTGATCCTTGTTCGAGATCGTGCCATGCTGATCGAAGCCATTGCCACTGTTCGCAGGGTGTGAGTGTGATGATTATCCTAGTTCGAGCTTGAGCCATGCTGATCAAGGCCATTGCCCACTGTTCGCAGTATGTGAGTGTGATGATCCTCGTTCGAGCGCGAGCCATGCTGATCAAGGCCATTGCCCACTGTTCACAGGCTGTGAGTGTGATGATCCTCGTCCGAGCTCGAGCCATGTTGATCGAAGCCATTGCCCACTGTTTGCAGCATGTTGTGAGTATGATGATCCTCGTTCGAGTGTGAGCCATGCTGATCGAACCCATTGCTTGTTACAGTAACATGAAGAGCCCCTATCTTTTTCTGACCCTTCACCTCGTCACAACGTAACACCTTCACCTCTTCACGATTCACCATGATGCTTGACGCACGTCCTGATCCCCGCCAATCCTGACCTTCTGTGATAGAAGCTAGACACTTCCATTTGAACCCTTGATCTATGGCCTCATGGCCTGACTTCTGTAACGGCTGCTATGAGTTCGATGGGGAATTAGTAGTTATGAGGCGCTCTTTCTCTGGACGTAGAAAGACTTGAGAATATACGAGCCTTTTTCTGATATGTTGGAGTGCGTTCTTGGAGCGGGAGTTCAACAGATCAATTTCTGCTAGAGTACGAGCGTACATTTTGCGGTATATAAGTGTTTGGGATCCGAACGATTAAAGCGAGAGTCGAGTAGGTAGCATGTGGAACTAGAAAAAAGGTCAGCGAGACACGGTGACGATGGAATGAGAGCGCATGGTACAGTAAGAGAAGAGAGTAAGAAGGAATGTATCCGCGTAACTCGGATGCGAAGAGTTGAGCTCTTCGCATCAGTGAGTCACGTGGATGTGTTCTACTTGTAACAAGTTCGAACGCCTTGTTTTGAAGATGGGACGGTGCGTAAAGGATATACTATCCTTACATCACCCTCCCACTTCGAATATTGACCGTCCCTGGTCGATCTATCAACAAAATAAGCTAAAAACAAAGGAACTGTACTTGTAGAATAGAAAAAATTAGATAGAATGAATAAGGAGGGAAACACATCTAGTCTTCGTTGTTAAGTTCCTGGATGGTTTGAGGGTCGATATATTGGGTGACTTCGATAGATGAGGGAGAGTGTGGATAATAAGGAATAATGCGGAATGCAGCGAACTTGAGCTTTGAGACAGCTCCATCGATTTCGGCGAGTCGATAGGATCCTCCTTGCGAGCGAGATATCACGATCATTGGTCCGAAATAGCGTGGCTTGCATTTAGCGTTGGACGCTGCTTCAATTTTCTTGTTGAGAACCAACACGAGGTCTCCAGGCTGGAATGCATAATCATGGATAGTGTTGGCAAAGCGTCATTCGAAGTTCTTGGCAGATGCAAAGCGGGATTTGAGCAGACGTTCGTGCGCTAATTCTAAGTCATGGTCACGCTTAGCCAGCTGGTGGCTTCTGATAGCGAGTAGTTTGTCCGTGGAAATGAGAGAGCTGATGTCGGGGAGTAGGAAGGTTGCATCAGTGATATCGAAGGGGAGAATAGGTTCCACGCCGTGGGCTAAGAAGAAGGGGGTGTGGCCTGTGGTTTTTCGCGTGGTAACACGGTCCGCCCAGAAAACGTGTGGTGCAACAGATGGCCAACGAGTGATGTCGCCGTCACATGCTTTGACGAGCAAATCTCGTATTGTTTGATGAGAGCGTTCTACGAGGCTGTTAGCGCGTGAGTTGTATGGTGAGATTCGGATGTGGTTGATGTGGTAAGTCTTGGAGAGCCATTCGCCTGCTGCTACAAACGGTGTACCGTTATCCGTTACGATCTCTTCTATACCTCCCCATCTACATAATATGTCTTCGAAAATGAAGGATCCCAGCGTGCGTCCAGTCTCCGTTTTCAACATGCGCCATTCGGGCCAGTTTGACAATGAGCAGCGGGCTTGAACGATGTAGGTGTATCCTCGGGCGGTGGGCATATACATTGAGTCGGCGAATGCCTTCCTAAACAAGGGAGCTGGAATAGCGACGGTAGGGGGAATAATGACGCGTTCAACAGAGCGCAACTGGCATTGATGACAAGTCTTGAGGTACCAAGCTAAGTCTTTGTCTAATGAAGGCCACCAGAATCTGTCTGCTATGGTGCGTCGTGTGGGGTAGAATCCCTTATGACCGAGTTTGTCGTGGGCTTCAGTGAGAATACGAATACGATCTGGCGTGAAGATAATGAGCTGATGTCGTCCTGCTGGGTCTTTTCACCACAGGCAGTTTCCACGTGAGAAGAACTGATGAGCGCGTTTAACGAGGCGAGGGTGATCTTTGCTTGGGATGGCCGAAGGGAAAGAGAGAGTGTCGAGATAAGTTTGGATGGTGCGCAAATCATTGTCGAGGCGGGATGTGATGTTATCGGAGGGGATTTCAAGATGTGAGACATTAGATGAGGTGGTGAAAGCGACGGCGCTCCTCGTCACTTGTGTGAACGGTTCTTCTTCGACTTCCTTAGCCAGCCATACTCCTGAATCCAGCATCTCGTCTATCCATTGCTCTACGTTGTCCATCGTTTCCTGTTCTTCATCGTCGTCTTCTGGGACTCGTCGACGACGAGATAATCCATCGGGTCCTGCGTGTTTGGCTGCTGGTACGTGTCTGAGTCTGAAGCTGAAAATAAGAATTCCTGCTATCCATCTATTTACGGCCACATTAGGTTGGATGTCGGGATTATTCAACATGCCCTTAATATATTTAGCGTCGACTTCGAGAACGAGATTGCGTATGCCGATAATCCAAAGTTTGACTGCCTTGAGAGCTCGAAACACACCGTACAGCTCGATCTTAGCTTGGGAGTAACGGGATTCCCATTCATCCCACGTAATCGAGCTGAATCTTGAGGGATAGTGCCGTCCGTTTCTGATTTGGAGAAGGATCCAGCCGCACGCAATCTGCGATGAGTCGACCGCTAAAACGACTTCATCTGAGGACGTGTAATCGATTGGGGTGATTGCGGGTGAGTTGATGACGGCGGTCTTGAGCGTGTCCATAGCTAGCTGCGCTTCAGGGGACCAGTTGAAGGGTGTGTTGTTGCGAGTTAAGTTCGTGAGAGGGCGGCTGATGGCTGCATAGTCCTTGATCCAGTTTCGGACTGTTCCTGCCATGCCCAAAAATCCGCAAACCTCGGTGCGAGACGTGCAGGCAGGCCAGTGTTGGATTTTGGACACTTTAGATGAGTCTGGGATGCGTCCGTCGTAAGTACATAACTGGCCGACAACGAGAACTTGGGGCACACAGAGAAACAGCTTAGAAGCTGATACTGTAGCCCCCGCATGCTTCAAACGGTGCAGGACACGATTCGCGTCTGCACAATGCTCCCAGACGAACCTTCGGATACCGGCGTTATCAGGAATGCATTTGTGAGAGCCATCGGGCAACTCGTAGCGTGTCCGAGGTCCAAGAACATTGACGTCATCCTGAAAATTGGGTGCGACCTCGATTTGGGCTTGAAGTATGAATGCGACGTCGTTTTGAAAGACAGCGGGAGAATCTGTCCATCCCTGAGGGAGGACGGTAAGGCGATAAGTACCAAGGGGGGTTTGGAATGTGGTGATGTCGCGAGACTCTTCTGCGAGTGCGCAATGGTCGAATCCGACGAACAAGTCCATCATCGAGTAGATGGAGCGTCCTGCGCACTGTTCTGCAAACAGTTCGATGTAGGGCATAGTAGCTGCGTCCTTGACCGTGACGGAGTTAAGTTGCTGGAGGTCGTGAACAATCCGTACGGCGCCGCTCTTTTTCGCCACGCAAAACCAACGAGATTGGTATGACGAGTTGGAGGGCTCGTATACGCCCGACGCGATCTTGGATTGGATGAGCTTGATGACCTCATCCTTGATACCCGGGGGAATTGGAGGTTGGTGGTGAGTCCATGGCGTGTGCTCGATGGTGGGAATAATGACTGGGGGGAAGTAATCGTCCCGAAAATGACCCTTCTCCGTTTCGTCCCAGGCGAGCGCAAGCTCGTTGTTCATGAGAACGTGCGCGGCGAGCTTTCGTTCTTCTGGGAGGAGAAATGTGTTTTTGAAGATACCGAGGTCGTCCATGCGGCTTTGGGTGAGGCGAGTGCCGGGTGTGAAGGCAGGAGGAGTAGTTGAAAGGGGTGGAAGGGATGCAAGGGGGTCTTCTGGAAAGCGGCGGATGATGCGCGCGTGTGCAGGCATTGTCGTGGCCACAGGCCTTACCTTGTTAGCGACCTTTTTGTAGGCGAAGGTGCGGCGGATAGGGTCGATGTCGAAGTGTGCTTGAAGGAGGGATTCTGCGAAGGAGGAACTGGAGAGGCGAGAAATGGGAGTGAAAGAGTGTGTTGGAAAGTTAGAGGGAGGTGGTACTGGAACGGGCTCGTGTTTTGGTATACCGGGTGATGATGACGCTGATACTATACGGGTGGTACAGTCCTTCATAGCTGGTGGTGTTGGTGGCAATGCGGTTGAGACTGGGGACGTCGATGTAGAATAACTCGGAGACGGCGTGTCTGGCGTTGTTGGTGGGGTAATATACGTGCTGGTTGGAGGATATGCGGGTTTTGGTGGAGAAGGGTAACGATGACCATACAATGGAGTAGTCGCCAAAGCGGTTGGAGGATTTTGCGGAGTGGATAGAGCTGTGGATAGGGGATGTTTGATGGCATGGTAGATGTCAGTGGAGCTGGTTGGGGGAATTTGCGGAGTAGATAGGACTGTTGAACGAGGGTGTTTGATGGTGTGGTATATGTCAGTGAAGCTGGTTGGGATTTGCGGAGTAGATAGAGCTGAGAATGGGAAGAGAGAAGGGAGAACAGAGGAGAGTACTGAGGCTGTTAATGCGAGGGAGGGATGGGGCCAAGGACGAAGAGAAGTTTTGACGGTGCGAGTATTGCTGGGATCCCGTGGGTCGTGAACTGCAATGTGAACATCGTCAGTATCCTCAGCTTTGGAGAGACGAACCAAGCGTTGCCAAGGTCGTCCTAAGAGAAGACAATAGGGAGCTTGTGGCACTATATATGCGTGGGCCCAGGTCTTGA